ATGGTGAAATTCGTGCCATGTCCCAGCCTAAACCCTCACTCCACATCTCTCGGACCGTCCATGTTGCATACCCCTCTCGTAAATCACTTTCCACAGCTCCAATAAGTGACTTCCCTGATAACCATTTATCTGTCCAGAACTTAATGTTATTATTATCTCCAACTAGCCAGAACTTAATGTATGACTCTAAACCATCGCCCAAATTTTTAAGCAATATGGGACATTGTATACATATTTTTCCTTCATCGATTGAGTAATATATGTCCGTTTTTTAAATTTTGACTCACATTATATGCAGAAAAATATATTATTATATTAATTATATGTATTTTACATAAATTCAAAATAAATTAAATATAAGATTATATAAAAGTGAAAGAAGAATCATATATTAATGTTTCAATTAGGTAGAGAGGTTTTAGGAAATTAGCAATTAGTCAAATTTAGAAACAAAATCAATTTGTTACCATATTTAGAAGCCACAATTTCTTAAAAAAAATTTCTAAACTAATTTGTAATATTAATTAATAGATAAACATTTATAACAATGACATTCTCTTGTAAATAAGTGCCAACTCAAAAATTTATTTCATATTTGTACTTCGAAAATGTATATATAGATTTAAATTGAAATGGAACAATGAAAGATTTACATATACATCTTTATAAGATCATTTGCCATTCTATTTTTTAAAAAGATTTTACATAAAAACTTAAAATTCAGTCTCAAAATTCATCAATGTTCTATAATGCATATAGCACTAAATCAAGTATACTTTTAATGTTGTCTTTTTCTACATTTTACCTTATTTCCCACAAATTGATATTAAACAATTAACAACAAATTATCTTATAATAGTTTATTTTAAAAAATTATTTCATATTTAATTTAACTATAAATCATTACATAAATGAATACTATTCGAGAAGCAAAATGTAAGAAAATTATTAAAATGACAGTGTAAATTGAGGAATTGTTAGAAATGCATTTTTCCAATACCTCTTTTCAAAAATACAACCTACGTAAAACCTTTCCAAAATGTCCTTAAAAATCTGAGATTTACCTAAGTACGTATGTAACATTATAAAAGCATACAAAACTACCTTTATATGTATAAATACATTATTAAAACTTATAAATACCTTATAAAATCTTATACATATCTTATAAAACCTTATAAATATGTTATATAAATACGTTATAAAACCTTATAAATACTTAGATCGAGGCTTGAGTAATACTTACCATTCAGAAGTACCTCATAAATCTTTTCAGGCTTAATGAGACGTATTTTTTAAAATACATAGAAGAAGGAGACATTTTTTAAAAATGGCACACCAAAAAGGGCATTTTCAAAAATAAAATATAATTATAAGCTCATGCAAATTATTTATTATAAAGTGAAGGGATAATATGAAATAAATAATATAGCATCTTATCTATTTCAAAAATATTTAAATTTTTTTCATAACTTTGAGTGATGAAAAAAAAATCAAAGACAAAATATAGGATTTTTTTTTTAGCATTTAAAGACAAAGAAAAAGGACCACATGTCGTGAAAAAAGAAGTTAAAAACTTCATGACGAGCTCATTTTTAAATTAGAATTAATGGCCAAACCCTTATCTACACTTTTGTTATAGAAAAAAAGAAGGAGAAGATGATGATAGAGTTGAAGAATAAAATCTAATATTTGAGATTATGATCACTGATTTTTTCGTTGGAAGATGGGTGTTTTTTCTTTTCAAAAAAACGTCTACTTTTTATTCTTTATTGACCTTTTTCCTTCAGAAAAAGTTTTATAACATACTAATTTTTACATTCAAAATAAATTCCATAATGTATATGCCAATACTTTCAATTTTTAGCCACTCTATACGTATTTTACCTTTCTTTATAACAAAATTCTTAAACTGATAACAAAAGGAATAACTAAAGTGTTAAACAAATTCATGTATAATTATTTGCAAAGACATCAAAACCTATTATTGTATTATTTATTTTGCAATTACATTTTTAATCAGTATCCCACGCATCGCGTGGGTTTCTCTCTAGTATATAATAAATTAGAGATGCTTCTCGTGGTCGCATGTGTAACTTTTTGCTAAACTTTATTTGTCTTTCTTAATTAACTTTTTGTATGGCTTTTGTTGTTTTTGTTGTTGTCGTCGACGACCATTTTTTATTGCTTTAAGATCTACATTTATGTAACTTGAGAGTTAAGAAATTGCCAGTGGTTTCGCCGTTGTCACACTAATTTTGTGTTTTCTTTTTACTTTTTAGACTCTTAAAATTTAAGCACTATTCTAAATTGTAAATTAAGAAAGAGATTTACACAACTAGCCCATAGTTCCATGACTTTATATATATAGATCTAAGAAACACTAATATATTTCTTCTTTTAACAATAATAAGTTTTTTGGGTTTTAACTGTTGATGGGCAAATTGTTACTTAATTACTTATGCAGAATGTGGCCAAGAAAGCTAACGACAGGAGTAAAAACACTAATGATTTGGTTTCTTTAGATTTACTTTTTGTCCAGATTTTTTTTTTGTTAAAGTTTTTGTCCAGATTTGTTATTTGATAACACATACAGTATTTGTTTCTAATTAATAGAAAATTATTGGATGCAATATAATTATGACTTTTATCAATTGAAATCAGTTTGAATTTTGCCTAGTTAATTAAGATATCTTGAGCCTATTTAATATTTGGTCAACTTCTTTAGCCTATTTAAAATTGAGCTTTGTAGTTGGATGTGATTGCAAATGCTTGGATTAAATCTAAATTCTAATACAATGGCCAATCGATGTGGAGATTGTACCCCACGCGTCAAAAAAAGATAAAGATTAGAGAATGGTCACTATTTGTAGTTTGATCTTTCCATGCACGTAGTGTTAGCTTTAAAGTTTAAATTATTACTCTACTTCTTGCAACTTTTCTGCCTCCTTTTCTTTTGGTTGATAAAAACGAAAAGATGATATTGCTTGCCAGCTTCTAGAGATTTTTATCGGACATATGAGATTCGTTTCTAGGGTTACCTAATATAATTAGTGAAAAGATTCAAAATTATTAATCGCAATTTATTTGGTGATAAGTAGGATTCATGATGAAATCAAATTTGTTTCATTCAAGGGATTCACAGTATAGACAATTGTTGACCCCTAGTTTTAAGGACTCGATAACCATTCACTACAGCTGAGTCAATGGATCATAAGACAAAAACAAAGATATATACTAGTTTCGTCACTAATAAGCAATAAGGAGGACTGATCAGTGTTCAATGTATTCATGCGCTAATAAGCATTTGTAGTGATTAATTGTTTTCCTGCTAAACTACTCAAAGTAAATTAAATTCTATAATTGCTAAATAAAATAATATATGTGAAGCATACAATGACGACCCTTTTCTTAGGAAATGCGTTCTTGTACAATCCACCATAATTTGTCCGTATTATGTTTGGTGGCTTTCTTAGGTTATAGCATTGTTTAATTTCGTCCCATTTTGTCACCATTCAAAAAAATAATATGTGGACAAAACTATAAGATATGTCTTAGGTTGTTCAATTAGAGAACTCGTACAATATATAGCTTACTAAAATTGGCCAAATGAGAGACAAAATCACGTGAATTCGGATATTTCGAGGTCAAATTATAGGTTCTGTTGGCCACTATATATTAACGCTATGCAGTACCATAATTGCCAACACACGTGGAGCATAACCGGCCGTCCGGTATGATATCAAAACTTACCCCACTTCTGATCAGATTCTAGACCGGACAATCTTTAAAGGATTGCGCTCGATACTGAGGATCTGATCCTACTTAGAGTTGTTCCCATTAGGCGAGACGTTAGGACCGGGTTAAGATCTTAATACTTTGAAATATGCATCTAGAAGATGAATGATGAATCCTAAAAAGTAAACAAAAAAATATCTACACATATATGAAATAAGCTTATAAATTATAATATTGTTTTAAGAAAAAAAATTTAACTCCGAATTCTTTTTTTTTAGTAAAACTTATGCATAATGTTTACAAATTATCTAAGACAAAATCCCATAAGGATAGACATGGAGAGCGCCGCTAGGGTTGGTGACGAAAAGACAATCCAAGATGAAACCATGGAAGATGAAGGGCGGCCGCCGGGATTGGAGGCTGGATCTTCACGGGAGTGGGTAGAGAAAGTCCAGAGCAGTAACGGGGGAGGGATAGCAGTACCGGAGACCATCTTGGCTGATGATTTTGTAAGATCGAAGATGAGATTGGAATTCCCAAATGGAGATGGAGGGGAACCAGTAATCACAATCGGGAAGGAGATTTTGGAGGTGATGAACGGGTTATACAAGCAGTGTATGGTGGTCAAGGTGTTGGGTAGACATCTCTCCGTGGCGGCGATGAATCGGAAGTTGCAGGATTTGTGGCGGCCGTTAGGGGGAATGTTTGTGGTTGACCTACCTAAGCAATTCTTTATGTTGAGATTTGATTTAGAGGAGGACTACATGAAGGCGTTGACTGGTGGCCCGTGGAGAGTATTCGGAAGCATCATGATGGTGCAGGCATGGTCACCAGATTTCGATCCTTTAACTGATGAAATCGCGACAACTCCGGTGTGGGTTCGGATTGCTAATGTGCCTGTTAATTTCTATCATCGAGCAATTCTAATGGGCATAGCTGAGGGCTTAGGCAGTCCGATAAGAGTGGATTTGACAACTATGAGGGTTACAAGAGCGAGATTTGCACGCGTTTGTGTGGAGGTAAACCTCAAAAAACCATTGAAGGGTTCAGTTGTAGTCAATGGTGAGAGATACTATGTCGCGTACGAAGGTTTAAGTAATATTTGCGCATTATGTGGGATGTATGGGCATACGGTAGGAGCCTGTCCAACTAGGAATGCAGGTCAGTTGGTGCAGCTTCAGTCACAAGAGACTACCGGGGTTCAATTGAGAAGTAGTCAAGATGGTGAAGGTTTTACGGAGGTAAGGAGAAAGGGACGTAGTCCAAATACGCAAGCTCCAACTATGCAAGCTCCAAAAGTTGTGTTTGAGGCTGGCGGGTCAGGGAAGAAACAGGGGTTGAATCTGAATGCTAATGCACATGAGAATGTTCCGGTTCCACTGGGAGTTTCTAACAGATTTTCAGGTTTGGTGGGTGATGGTGAGTTGCATGAGACAGGGGGGGAAATGGTCGTGATTGAAGAGGATAAGGAGAATGTGAGTAGTCAGAATGGGGTGAGGCAGGGGCAGGAAAGGCTTCCAGGAAATGGTATTGTGGCTGCAGGTAGGAAAGCTTTGGATGGTGGGAAAAAGCTAACTGTGGAGTTGGAGAAAAGGAATGGTGGTCTAAAACAAGGGAAGCAACCTCGAGGTAAACTGGTTAAGTCGAATGCGCCAACCAGAGGCTTGGTTTTTGGACCGGGGAGAGGAGAAGTATTAGGGATTTCTTCTGGGAAGCGCCTTCGGGTAGAAAATGAGAGTGTGGGCAGAGCTGGTGGCGTTTATATCGCAGGATCTGATGGGTTGAGGGATACAGGGAGTCAGGCTCAAGGTAATGAGGTGATGACAACTACAGGTACTGGTTCATCAGGAGTTGATGGCACGAGTATGGATCTGGTTCTCCAGGAGGATAGATCGGGCCAGCATGTGGTTGATGGGGATAAATAACAGTTTTCCCCGGCTGTTCTGTGTGATTTATTCAGAATTACAATGAAGTGTTTATTATGGAATTGCCGGGGGGCGAACAAACCCAGTTTTCGAAGAGCAATTAGATACATGTTGAAGAAGCATGAGACTGATATTCTAGCCTTGTTTGAGACTCATGCTGAAGGAGAGAGAGCGGGAAGGATTTGTCAGAGGCTGGGCCTTGAAAATTCTTTTAGAGTGGATGCAACAGGGCAAAGTGGAGGGTTATGGCTGTTATGGAGATCTAGCGTGGGTCAGGTGGAGATTGTGGTATCCTCTAGCCAGTTTATTCATGCGCGAGTAGTGAATGGGGAGGAGTCCATGAATCTGGTGGTAGTATATGCGGCTCCCTCCGTGAGCCGAAGGAGTGGTTTATGGGCAGAGCTTCGGGACGTGATTAGAGTTATGGAAGGTCCGTTGGTTATTGGCGGTGATTTTAATACCATAGTGCGCTTGGATGAGAGGACGGGAGGGAATGGTAGGCTGTCGCCGGATTCATTGGCATTCGGAGACTGGATTAATGATTTGTCACTCATTGACATGGGGTTCAAGGGTGGAAAGTTTACATGGAAGAGAGGGCTAGTGGAGAATACCTTTGTTGCTAAAAGACTAGACCGAGTCTTGTGTTGTGCGAATGCGAGGTTAAAATGGCAGGAGGCGGTCGTAGCTCACCTCCCTTTTCTGTCATCAGATCACGCTCCCCTTTATGTGCAGTTATGTCCACAGCAGGATCTAGATCCGAGGAGGAGACCCTTTCGGTTTGAGGCGGCATGGATGAAACATGAAGGGTTTAAGGATTTATTGCTGGCGTCCTGGGATCCAGATATCACGACTCCAGCAGCGTTATTGAAGTTAAGGGGGATGTTGAAGAAGTGGAACAGAGAAGTGTTTGGAGATGTTCATACTCGTAAGGAGAAGCTGATTACTGAGATAAAGGAGGTGCAGGAGTTGCTGGATCTAGTTCAAACAGATGATCTGCTAGTGAAGGAGGATCGGCTGTTGAAGGAGTTTGATGTTTTGCTGGAACAGGAAGAGACAATGTGGTTCCAGAAGTCTCGGGAAAAGGTTATTGCACTGGGAGACAGGAATACAACCTTCTTTCATACGTCTACAATTATCCGGCGGAGGAGAAATAGGATAGAAATGTTAAAAGACGTGGAGGATAGGTGGGTTTCGGATAAGAGGGAGTTAGAGAAGATGGCTGTGGATTACTACAGGAAGTTGTACTCGCTGGAGGATGTTGATGTAGGGCAGGTCATACTACCAGCTATGGGGTTTTTGCAGCTGACTAGAGAGGAGAAGAGGGCGTTGGAGAAGCCTTTTTCAGCAGAAGAAGTTTTGGTGGCAGTGAAGAGTATGGGAAGCTTTAAAGCACCAGGGCCTGATGGGTTCCAACCCGTCTTTTACCAGAGAAGTTGGGAGGTGGTTGGAAGCTCGGTGACAAGGTTTGTTCTTGAGTTTTTTGAGTCAGGTGTGCTTCCGCAGCGGACGAATGCCGCTTTATTGGTACTGTTGCCAAAGGTTGCGAGACCGGAAAGGATCACTCAATTCCGACCTGTGAGCCTCTGCAATGTACTGTTTAAAATAATCACTAAGATGATGGTGATTAGGCTGAAAAGTGTGATCTCAAAGTTGATTGGCCCGGCCCAAGCAAGTTTTATCCCGGGTAGGCTGAGCATAGATAACATTGTGGTGGTGCAAGAAGCGGTCCACTCAATGAGACGTAAAAAAGGTCGTAAGGGTTGGATGTTGCTTAAACTTGATCTTGAGAAGGCATATGACCGTATCCGATGGGATTATCTGGAGGAGACGTTGGGAGCTGCTGGGCTATCCGAGGAATGGAGACGGCGGATAATGCAGTGTGTAGCAGAACCGGAGATGAGCTTATTGTGGAATGGCGAGAAGACGGAATCATTCTCACCGGCGCGGGGTTTGAGGCAAGGTGATCCTTTGTCACCATATCTTTTTGTGTTATGTTTGGAGAGATTATGCCACCAAATTGAGGCGGCGGTTGGTAGTGGGGAGTGGAAGCCGATTAGTCTTTCCCGTGGTGGTCCTAAGCTCTCCCATGTGTGTTTTGCGGATGACCTAATCTTGTTTGCTGAAGCGTCTGTGGTTCAAGTGAAGCTTATAAGGAAGGTGTTGGAAAGATTTTGCTTGGCTTCAGGACAGAAAGTAAGTTTGGAGAAATCCAAAATCTTTTTTTCAGGGAATGTAAGCCGGGATATGGAGAGATTGATAACAGCGGAGAGTGGTATTGGATCCACAAGAGAGTTGGGGAAATATCTTGGTATGCCTATTCTCCATAAAAGAATAAATAAGACGACGTATGGAGAAGTCTTAGAGAAAGTGTCGTCTCGATTAGCGGGCTGGAAGAGCAATACGTTGAGTATGGCAGGAAGGATAACACTCACGAAATCGGTTCTGTTTTCGATTCCGGTACATTCTATGAGTTCGATCATGTTACCTGCATCAACGCTCGAGAGTCTAGACAAGTTATCAAAGTCTTTTGTGTGGGGCAGTACGGTAGAAAAAAGGAAGCAACATTTGTTGGCTTGGGGAAGGATATGCAAACCAAAAGGAGAGGGTGGTTTGGGGTTGAAGGAAGCAAGAGTAATGAATAAGGCTTTGTTGGCTAAAGTGGGTTGGAGACTACTAAGGGACAAGTCAAGTTTGTGGGCGAAAGTGCTAAGGAGTAAGTATAAAGTTGGCGAGGTCCATGACCATTCCTGGGTAGTGCCGAAGAGTACTTGGTCTTCCACTTGGAGAAGCATTGGAGTGGGTCTAAGGGAGGTGGTGTCACGTGGGCTTGGTTGGGTCCCCGGTGATGGAAAAACCATCAGGTTCTGGACGGATAGGTGGTTGATTGGTGAGCGCTTGTTGGAGCAGTCTATAACTCAAGTACCAGTGGCGGAGGTTGGGAAGAGACTTGAAGATTATTGGACGGTTGGGTATGGCTGGAACTTGGCAGTCTTGAGTCAATTTCTTCCACAGAATATTTTACATCGACTTCATGCGGTAGTATTAAAAGGAGTACCATTTATGAGTGATGAGATTTCTTGGCACGGGACTGCAGATGGAGAATTTTCGGTGAGGTCTGCTTATTCTCTTCTTACACAGGTGACTGAGCCAATGCCGAGTATGGAGAGGTTTTTTAAGCGGGTTTGGGATATGGTGGTTCCGGAGAGAGTCAAGGTGTTTCTCTGGCTAGTATCTCATCAAGTTATCATGACGAATGTGGAGAGGGTGAGAAGACACATTGGTGATAATGTGGTTTGTCCGGTTTGTAATGGGGCGAATGAGTCAATTATTCATGTGTTGCGGGATTGTCCAGCAATGGAGGGGATATGGCTGCGGTTGGTTCCTCAACATGAGAGACAATCTTTTTTCACAAGATCGTTATTGGAGTGGTTGTTTGGGAATTTGAATGCAGGTCATGCGAACGAGAGAAGTAATTGGGTCACTCTTTTCGGTATGGCAGCTTGGTGGGCGTGGAAGTGGAGATGCGGAAACGTATTTGGAGAGAGGGGAAAATGTCGAGACAGAACACGTTTTCTCAAGGAGTTGGCGGTGGAAGTTACTAAGGCGCATGAGACAGCTAGTGTGGAGTCTCGGACAGGTGGAGATGCAGGTTCGGGACGGCGCACGGAGATCATGGTGTCATGGATGAAGCCGAGAGAAGGTTGGGTGGCGCTGAACACGGACGGGGCGTCACGCGGAAACCCAGGGCTGGCGACAGCTGCGGGTGTGATTCGGGACGGTGAGGGGCTTTGGTTGGGAGGCTTCGCCTTCAATATTGGCATATGCTCAGCCCCGATGGCGGAGTTGTGGGGAGTCTACTATGGGTTAGTGATTGCGTGGGATCGAGGTTTTAGGCGAGTGGAGTTGAGAGTGGATTCGGCGTTGGTAGTAGGTTTTCTTCGGTCAGGGGTAAGCGATGCTCATCCTCTGTCCTTCCTGGTACGATTGTGCCATGGCTTCATTTCAAGGGACTGGTTAGTCCGGGTTACGCATACGTATAGGGAGTCTAATCGTCTAGCAGATGGATTAGCAGCCTATGCTTTTTCTTTGGAGTTGGGGTTTCTTTCATTAGAGCATTGTCCGGATGAAATGAGACTGATTTTGTTGGAAGATGCTAATGGGAATGCATTCCCACGTACTATTCGGATGTAATTTTTTATTTTATTTTAATAATATGAGGGAGACAATTGTCTCCCCTCTGCCTACCAAAAAAAAGAAATCTAAGACAAAAAAAAAATTAAGACGGTCTAACTTGTATATTCTCGAAAAATACCTACCCGAGTTGGTCCATATCTTTTTTTTTGGTAAAAGGTGAAATAGTTGGTCCATATCTGATCCCAAGCAATGCTTATCTTGCATAAGGAAACATATATATCCGTTGAGATTATCAAACTTGATCCATTACTCATTATACACTAAATTTTTATTAATATCCAAATTTCAAAAACATTTAAAACCTTATATTCATTTTCAATATAAACTTGATATGCAAAGTTCAAAGTTCAATATAAACTTGATTATCAAGCTTGGTGTTTGCATCGTCGCTTCTCGATGGAGGATGTTATTGCTCTCTGCTCTTTCTCCTGTTACTTTGCGTTTTGGGCATGTGGCCTTGTATGTTCCTTTTGGTTAGTTTTGTTTCTGTTGGGCTTGTAGCTGTCTTGGGCTTCTAAGTCTTGTACTTCCCTTTCTTTGTTCTTATTTAATGGAAAAAAAAAAACAAAAAAAGTTCAAAATTTAGGTAAAAGCAGCTTCCAGAAACATGCCTGACAAATGATACAATAGATTCAGAAATATCTAGGTCTTGTTTGTACAAGGATCAAATCGGGCCAAACTTCCAGCTTTGGAGCTACATGTAGTTAGGCCAGTTTAGTAGAATTTTATTTGGGCCTATTTGGTAACTAGGCCAAGTTTAGTAGGATCTAAGTTGGGCCCAAGATTTTTGAATATTTTTCTCTTGTAGAGACCCTTTAAACGAAACAGAGGGACTTCTCGAATATCTCTTCAAACGTGGTTTGCTCAAGTCCGGTAAGCGCGCCGCCGAGGGAAGAGAGAAAGAGAGGGATTGATTCAGCGAGAATGGCGATCAGGAAGCTTCTGCTTCTATTGAAACCGATTGATCCGTACCCATTTCTTCAAACCGAAGGTTCATCGCTCATCAAAAATCCCCAGGTACCAATTACTTTCCCCCATTGCGTCTCATCTCGATTTTTGAATCCCGATCATGTCCTTTTCGTTTCGTATTGAAGGTGTTCGACAAAATTTCCCACAGAGTATAATGAAACATTGACATTTACGTGAAAAAAGGAATTCTTTTTTTGGGTTCTTATGTATTTTTATGGTGCCAAATGTTAGTTATAAAGATAACGGTGAAGTAGACTAGATTAAGTAGCAACTTTACTGTGTTCACTATGAACATTTTAGTTTCTTCTTATGGTCTACACAAAGCTTACAGATTTATTGGGAATTTTGAAATTCGTATCAGCAGTGTTTACTCAAAATATGTATGCAAATAAGTAACTAAAAAATTGCTTAGCTCAGGATCCTCTGTCGTTGTTGTTGTTCTAGTTGGCCTCTGATGGAAGTGGGATTTTTCTGTTTTGTTTTGTTTCACAGGTTCTTAAATATCTGGAAAGCAGGTGCAAAGTACACAGGAATGCTATTAATTTCTGTCAGGAAATACTAAGTAAGAAGCCTGTCGAGTGGAAACCCATTTCACGTAACGACTTATCCCATCCCATTCGTGATGTGGATATGGTCATCACTGTGGGTGGAGACGGTACCCTCTTGCATGCCAGTCATTTCATCGATGATTCTGTTCCGGTTCTAGGAGTCAATTCTGACCCGACACAAGCTCAGGAGGTTTTGTAGCGCAACTTTCTCATTTTGCCTGATATGATTTTGCTATTAATAAATAATGTGAAATGATGTAGCTAAGTGTGTTGTTATAACTATAGGTTGAAGAACTGAGCGATCAGTTTGACGCTAGTAGAAGTACTGGTCATCTTTGTGCTGCAACCGTTAATAATTTTGAACAGGTAAGTCAATTAGAGAAACAGAAAGGGAAGAACTTTAGGCAGCCCATTTATTCTCTTACTTGATCCTTAGAACATTCAATGGTTACGCAATTTTGGTTTGAACATTCAGCTATTTGTTCACAGGTGCTGGATGACATTTTGTTTGGCAGAGTGGTTCCTTCTAAAGTTTCCAGAATATCATTGAAGTTAAATTCAGAACTTCTTCTTTCACATGCACTTAATGACATTTTGATCGCACACCCATGCCCTGCGGCGGTTTCTAGGTTCTCATTCAAGTAAGCGCTCCTAAGATTAAAAATTCTTTTTAACCTGATTGTTTTGTGTAGACATGATCCCTTGTTTGTTCAATTGGATAGAGTTGTTATAAGCACATATCTCAACTAGGGGTGCCCAATACGATTTTCGGTATATGAAATCCAAAAACCCAAAACCATTGAGTTTGGTTTGGATACCGTTTTGTAGAAACTACACCTCTAATTTTAATGGTTTACAAAGAAAAGTTTTATTGGTTTTATTCCTTTTCAGATTGGTAAGGTTACACCTACAGTATGTTCGGATATGGAATAACAAAACCGAATTGGGTGATATTTTCTTCAGTTCGGTTAAACTGTTGGGCACCCCTATAATATCCAACACTTATGAATCAATGTTCTCTACAATGTGCGCAGGATTAAGAACAAAAACGGTGAGAGCAGTCCAAAGACAGTGAACTGCCGCTCAAGCGGTCTAAGAATCTGCACAGCTGCTGGCTCAACTGCCGCAATGCAGTCAGCAGGTGGGTTCGTGATGCCAATGTTGTCTCGTGATCTACAGTTCATGGTTAGAGAGCCAATCTCTCCTGGTTCAACTGCTTCTTTAATGCATTCTGCCTTCAAACCGGACCAATTCATGGACGTTAACTGGTATTCAGACCATGGGACTATATACATCGACGGTTGTCAGGTTCAACACAGCGTGCAGCTGGGAGATACAATCGAGATATCATCGGATGCGCCGGTCTTAAACGTTTACTTGTCTCACGGCATTTCTCAGATCAAATCAAGGTACTAGATTTGGTACAATGGTAGATTTGTTCATAAAGTTAAGAGTTGGTACACATTGATAGCCCTTTTAGCCCACTTGTCTATAGATATGGTATAAAAGATTCTTTGGTCCGGAAGATTCGTTGATTCTTGAATCTTTGGTGCTTGAAGAAGTTTAATTCGAGTAGCTATCTTTCTCCTACCAAGAACGTGGATGTGTCTAATCCTCTTAAATAAAATCTATATTTAAAGAAAAATAATAGTATCAAAATCATCTAGAATTTCTCTATCATTTCCGTGCAAAATGTTAATTTTGGGAAAATATCTTTTTCGAAATGGGACCTTATTAATGATTGATTGATATAATGTCCTTTGCCTACTAATTAATTAATTTGTTTTTGGCTAGTGTTGTTGAAATAAAAATCTTAGTCTCATGTAGGCCCGAATTAGCCTCCTCCACTCGTAACCATACGTGGATTCATATAATCATCATAATGAGAGATTTTTCTGCAAATGCAAGAACCGGGACAAAAGTTTAACAAACTAGAATAAATAGGTTCTTTCTAAAAAATGGTCAAATTGAATAGACAATCGTTTTGAAACTAGATATTCTACTTGAAACATACATATCAATCACTTTCAGCTTATAATTTTATTTTGTCTTTAAACTTTTCTCTTCTAAAAAAAAAACCTACATGCAAAAAAAAATATCTGCGAATATTTTTTCTTTTCTTTTGGGGACCTAATATTTGTGATCTTTTGATACATACAGCTTGAGACAGCAAAGATTGTCTCCTGCAATTAAGACACTTGTATTAGTAGATTTGTCACGTGTCTATCCAATGTTCACTCATAGATTAGTCTAAACAAATATCTCTCCTTTAACGCCTCCATATTTCCAAATCTACCCCACCACTTTTAAATAGTGCACAGAGACCCTCTCTCTCTCTTTTTGAAAAGAAATCCTCTTTATATTGCCACTATTCATTATTTTACTAATATAAACGATATTTTTCCCACAACGACTTATCTAGAATCCAAATGATTCAATTAATTTTTGATTAGTCAGAAAGTTATAAATAATCACATTTTCCGACGTCAAATAAAAATCAAAGAAGTTGACAACAAACAACAACAAATCCAAAGAGAAAACGTAAGATTTGCTTAAACCATAAACCTCAAGCTCCACTTGTCTTTCCTCAAAATTTTATCAACAAATCAAGGTCTCCTCCGACACTAAATTCAAGATAAGTATCGGTGTCTCGAGATTTTTGATTCTTTTCAACAAAAAAAAAAGATCTCAGATTTTGTGTTTTCTGGATGAGTTGGAGGAGATAAAGAAAAGATCAGAGAGGATGAAGATTCAGTGCAACGTTTGTGAGGCGGCGGAAGCGACGGTGCTATGTTGCGCCGACGAGGCTGCTCTGTGTTGGGCTTGCGATGAGAAAGTTCACGCTGCTAATAAACTCGCCGGAAAACATCAGAGAGTCCCTCTCTCTGTCTCTTCCTCTTCCATACCCAAATGCGACATTTGTCAGGTCTGATCTCTTGAATTTTCTTCTCGATTTCCTGAATCTTTGATCTGATTTCAGATTACCCATGTTTTAAATCCTCAATATTTTGAGAAAAGTTTGAATCTTTTTAGGATTAGAGATTTGGTGACTGTTTTTTTTCTTCTAAAATTTGGGATTTTTGTACAGGAAGCATCTGGATTCTTCTTCTGTCTGCAAGATAGAGCTTTACTTTGTAGGAAATGTGATGTTGCAATCCACACTGTTAATCCTCATGTTTCAGCTCACCAGAGATTTCTTCTGACTGGAATCAAAGTTGGTCTTGAATCTATAGACACTGGTCCTTCTACAAAATCCTCACCAACCAATGATGATAAAACCATGGAGACAAAACATTTTGTTCAATCTATACCTGAGCCTCAAAAGATGGGCTTTGATCATCATCATCAGCAGCAGCAGCAGCAAGGAGTTTTACCGGAAACTAAAGTCAGTGATCACACATCTACAAAGCTTCCTTTCGCTAGCAGCGGATCAACTACTGGAAGCATTCCTCAGTGGCAAATAGAGGAGATATTCGGGCTAACCGACTTTGATCAGAGCTATGAATACATGGAGAATAATGGATCATCTAAGGTAACAGTTTAGTTATATCTAGTATATAATATGAGGTCTTCTTCGATTCTTGAGACAGAAGTTTTCAAGGTGAAACTCTAGATAGTGAGAGTCTTGGGAAGAAATTGAAAAGCAGTATGATGAATCTTGTGACTTTTTGATTCATCTATTTTTGGTTTCTCATTATCTAAGCTTGATTCTTGTTGCAGGCGGATACTTGTAGACGAGGAGATTCAGACAGTTCTTCGATGATGAGATCTACGGAAGAAGATGGAGAAGATAACAATAACTGCTTGGGAGGCGAGACATCATGGGCGGTTCCACAGATTCAGTCTCCACCTACAGCGTCTGGTCTAAACTGGCCTAAGCATTTTCACCACCACTCAGTGTTTGTTCCGGACATATCTTCTTCAACTCCTTATACCGGTTCATCCCCGAGCCAAAGGGTTGGGAAACGGCGGCGACGGTTCTAACATTTGCAACTATCTTTTGGCCGTTTGAGAAAAGAGATGGGCAGCTTTTCTCAGTAGATGTAAGATCACATTAATGATTTGGAAACTTGTACTGTAGTGATCTGTGAGAGTCCATGTTCTTTGTTAGCTGAAAAAACAAAGAAGAGGTCGTTTCAGAAAGATGTTTATTTGGTTATAAGGAGATTACATTATTAAATTATCAATTTGGCTTAACATGATCTTTCATTAGGTGGCTGTTGTATTTTGCTTGAAGCTTACTCATTTTGTTCACTATCACTGGGGAAAGAGTTCCATGAATAGACCAGTTCAGTTAAACCGGGAAAAAGAAAAGAAAAAACCGTTAATTTTGCACGAACCGAAATTATAATAAGTATTAAAACCCAAAAAACCTTGAGACCACTATGCAGATTTAGAGAACCAAAATTTATACATCACATTAAAGTCGAGAATCATAAAGTATCATTTCCTAAATTCTAAATTTGTAGAGTTCAAAAAGAAAAATGAGAAAAACAGAACCTCTTGATCCAAACTATATAAAAAGTTTCATCTATAGTTTCAGTTGCTGCCAGAAGCTTGAGCAGTCCAATTTGGTGGAATACGGTCGGAAACTGGCAAAACAGTAGAAGTGGGCATGTTTCGAACATTGATGTCAAGAGGATACAATCTATACTCAATGTCAAGCTCTCTGCAAATCTTGGCAATCTCTTCAACAAGTTGAGACCTTCGAGCCCATTTCTCTCCCATATCTTGATGATTCATCCGATGCGTTGGCCAAACCGCAATTCTCACGCTGTTTAATGACTCCATGTCTTTGAATACTATCATTGGCGCCGGATACCAATGATCCTTCTTCCCCTCAATGTAACTATCACAACAATGAAAGCAGGTAATGAATACATACATATAAAGGATTCAGGTAATGAAATTTCTGAAACTGTGATTCCAAATTTGCAATGTACCTTGTGATTCTCTGTTTGATGAGGATGATTTTCTCAGCTGGAGTAGTAATGTGGATGGAGAATTCGATTCCATCTCCCATATCGGGGCTACGGTAATAGTTTCCAATGGATTTAGTCCAGAGAAGACTGTTCGGGTACACGACTTTTTGATTATCAAATCTCAAGAAAACTGTTGTCAAAATGTTCATCTCTTCCACAACCATCTGAAAAAGAAGTTTATTTAACATTAGAATTGGAAAATGGAACTTTTAGTTACTAGTGTTTGGATTTTCGAATTTACCTGGACTCCATCAATTTCGCATCGATCGCCTACATCAAATGGGTGTATCACAAACAAGTAGATGATAGATTCGAATACTATCTTGCACATGTTTCCAAATATGAATGCGACAACCACGACTTGCGAGCTCATGACCACAAGGAATTTGGTGGAAGTGATTCCAAGTATGATAAGCCAAATAACAAGTATGATGATCCCAACCACGATATTCACCATCTTGTGAAGCCTGTTTACTGCTGTTTTGGTGTCGTTTAGGGTCAATGCAAGAGCTCTTCTTTCTCTAAAAGCATTCACCTATGAAAAAATGTTTGCGCATATTCATTAGTATCTGAATACATTAAAGAATGTAAATTCATTCCAAAATTCTTACCACCCAGTTTTTAAGAGATGATTTGCTGATCCTGTTCGTCTCAGATGCTCCTTCAAAGAGACTTAAAGTCTTCAAAGCTTCGTCATCCGGCAGAAACCGCATAATGTCATTCGCGTAGATGAACCTAAATAAAAAAAATGTTAATATCCACAAGGCAATACTGGTAAAGGCTTTGTATAAAGGAAAAAGTGATTTTATTTACTTTGATCCTGGCTTAGCAACATTATGAAAGATCTTTCTTGCGGCGAGCTTTGCCTCGAACTCACTTCTGATTTGGTTTCCTTTATCATCATCCAAGCTTGGATCTTCAAGCTGTTCATCCAAAGTGGTAAGTGATCCATTCCTTATTATATTCATCAGCCTCTTCATTTTCCATGCCGAAACATTCTTAGGATTCAGCTTATGAAGGCTATCGATCGTAATCCCTTTGTTTTCTCCTCCTCCCCCTCCTCCATTAGATAGAACACGAGAGATCAAAGGGCTTTTCCCGGTCTTCATCGGACTTTTCTGAGCCCCTGACTGAATCTCAACACCTCCTGGATTCTGAAACTTCTTAACCTCAACACTGATTCTTTCTTCCTCTTCCTCGTTTTTTTGGATCTCAATCAAAGGAGGACCCGAGAGCGTCTCAATCACATACTGAGTAAAGAGAGACTCTTGAATCCTATCGAAGTAAGTGCTCATGTGGAACGAGGAAGCAAGAACCTTAACCAACAGTGTCTTCACGAGCCACAACAAGAACCCAACCAACAAGCACACAAAGATCTTAGTCACAACCCGAAGCGCCTTAGTGTTTGCTGCTTTAGCCACTTTCTCATCAAACAAGAAATGCCAAGCCAGTAAAACAAGTCCTAACCATAAGCAATTCTGCACCGCTTTTCGGACACCATAGACGAAATACAAAACTCTTTTCCTCAAAAGAAAGTTCCTTTCGATGAAGAAGACAACTATCTTAACAATCCAACTAGACACTAACCTACCACAGATCAACACCAAAACCATTGATTCCCATTTCCATAGCTGTAGTTCCCAGAGTTTCTTCTTACGCAAGGAAGGTATCGCAAGAGTGCAAACAAATCCAGCTATTATCAAAATCAAACTCAACCATTCCAACACGATCCATAGACTAAGTTTATCTTTCCTATACTCTTCTGGTAAATCCTCCGCTGCAAATGGATCATCTTCTTCTTCCTCCCCTTGATTCTTAGGGCTTTTTCCGAAAAACCCAGATTTCATCTGCCCGGATTTCGGAATCCGACCCGATTTCATATCCGCCGTTTGCGGTGGCAACTGAGGCGTTGGCGGATCCGAAAGCCGTGACTTAGTCCTCATCTTAAGCAAATTGCTAGAGCTTCTCTGAATCGGAGCATTACCACTACACTTGACAACTTCTACATCATCGTTATTTGTGTTATTACTGCGGCTGTCTCGTCTTCCCACGGGGTCAGGAGGTTTGGTAGGCACTTTCGCCGACGTCGGAGATTCCGATACCGGAGTTAAACCTCTAGATTGAAGCTCATCCATACCTAAGTCCATATCAAGACAAATCTCACCGGAAGCTTGCTGTTTATGGAGAAACTGACCAATAAGCTTGGTGGGAGGATCTTCACCGCGCCGAAACTCAAAACCCTCATCTTGTTGCTCCTCCGTCGTAGCGGCGGATCTATCAGAATCAACCGCCGCAGCATTATGACCTTTGTTGAGGTTACCTTCACCATCAGTCCAAAAATCGTAACTTCCGTCTCTCCATATTCTTCCTACTGTCTCTCCGGAGACTCCATTGTTATCACCGTCGATTTTGACGATAACTTCTCGCCGGTCAGCCGAATCAACGGCCATAACTCAACAATACAGCGCAATCTAGGTTTGGCGTACACACCACCGATTAGAGAAGGAAAGAAAAAGCAAAAAAATTTAATCACACTTTTGGGTAACTGTGAAAGCTAGAGAGAAGAGAAAACGCTTTTATTTGATCAGAGCTGGTGATGACTCTCTATGTGAGAGAGAAAGAGTAAGTAATAAGGAAATAAAATCATCTAATTAAGGTATGACGCGTGTAAGCCAATCGCTGCCAACATCATCACTTTGAAATTTGTACGACACACAGAGATCTTCTCTCTCTCTGTCTTAATATTATTATATTTTTCAATACCAAACTTTGGCAAAGTTCGAGAAGAAGATGGGAACTTGCTCACGGCGAACCATGTAGTTTTTTTTTTTTTGTCAAACTTTGGCAAACAATTTTTGTTCCTTTTGTTTTGTGGATATCGTTTTACATATTTTGTTTGATTCTAGGCTTAGCATATATTTAAAAAAAAATCAAATTATTCCGTTTTTGGTATTGTTTAATAGGTTAGGTTTTGTGGGGGTGGGACATTCGTCACATGTATGATGGACTCACGGAAAACGATTAATATTGTATTTAATGGCTTAGTTAGGGGTTGTCGTCAAAGGCGGACCTAGTAAGGTTTTAAGGGGGTCAGCTGACCTCCCTAAAATTCTGAAATTGTTTTATAGTCCCTTAAGTCTTATATTATTTTTATTTAATTTTTCTGTTTTGACCCTCGTAAAATTATAAATTTATGTTTAGAACCATCAAATTTAATAAATTTTTTATATTTCTTTATCTTTTGGCCCAATTCCTCACATATTTTTAGCCTTTTTTTGCTTCACCCATAAATAGGAAAAAAACCCGAAAAAACCGTCATCTATTTTTTATTTGGCCGTTTAATACTTTGGTTTATTTTTTTGGAATAAAAATACCTTAAATATTTATAGTTGCTAAAAAAATACCTCATCTTTTAATTGTTGGTAGACTTCAACTCACGACTTAACATCCGTTAACGGACGGTGTTAAATTTTAACCTTACGTATTTATACTGATATATATTATCCGATGTAGAGTATTACAATTATGATGTCCTCGTCTAGTGGCAATGCGTTTGCTTTGTAAGTCTCGATACCTGGGTTCGAAACTCCAACTTTTGCTCTCATTTTTTTTTTTTTTTTTTCTGTGTCTTCCTCGACACCCATGAAACCCTAGCCGCCGACCACCATGAATCGTCCGCCTCTTTTGCTTTCCTTGCCTCCTCCGCCTCTTTTTCTTTTTGATTTGATTGGATCCACATGTGATGATGCTCATGAATTGTTTTGATGATGATGATGCTCATGAAGGTTCGATGGATTTCTTTACAACAGAGCATGTGATTCAAGTAAAAAACTTCCCACAATCAACAAAATTAAATAGATCAGATGTTTTTGGTGGCTAGGACACAGAAAGCAGCGACGGAGTAATCGCCATCGGAGAGGAAGAAGTCGCCGTCACCATCGGTAAAGAAGACAAAGAACACAAAAAAATTGAAAAAAATAATATCAAAAAACTAAAATTGGAGACTCGATTCCGGGTCATGTGGTTTATTTAACCCATGCGTTGCCACTAGACGAGGACAATATAACAGCAACGTCTTACAAAAGGATAATATATAACAGTATAAACACATAAAGTTATAATTTAACACCGTTAAATGATTTCATAACGTCTGTTAACGGATGTTAAGTTGTGAGTTGGAGTCTACCAACAATTAAAAGATGAGGTATTTTTTTAGCAACTATAAATATTTAAGGTATTTTTATTCCAAAAAAATAAACCAAGGTATTAAACGGCCAAATAAAAAATAGATGACGGTTTTTTCGGGTTTTTTTCCCCCATAAATATTGAACCTAATTTATGGTTTATTTATATAAGACGGAATTGTGCCTTAACCCCACAAATGAAATTAACTTGGTGAACAAGGCCATGTCGTCTGTATTAAATAATCGATGAGGGCTTTTTCATTTAAATCGGTTTTCGTGTGTGAGCTTGTTGAGATTTGGGGTTCTTCCTCTATTTAACCTTCAGAGGTTCACCATCTTTATCAAATTGAAAGATCTCTTCTTTAATCAAAAACATATTATAAAAAAAAAGAACAAATTATTGAAATCTTCATCAAAGCGAAAAGTCTACCTGAATATTAGTGTTCCTCACTGTTTTGCTAAACTGAGAGCTCCTAGAGAAGACACCAGCTGACCTCTCAAGATTCAAGACAGAGATCAATGAAGGGAAATATTGTATGTTTCTTGATTTAGGGTTAAGCCAGAGAAAAAAGATTTGATACATTACTTGACCAAGGACAATAACTAAAGATGCATTAAACGTCTTTATTGCATGGAGAAGCAGCTGCAATTTTAAAACATGATACCATATCAGAAATCTTGTAGTTCATAGCAAAAGTACATAACAAAAGTTGGTTCACGAAAAACCGAAAAAGAAGAAAGAAAAATTAGGTTATATTAAAACCTAAAAAATCAGAATTTGAAGTCAATTACCTTGGTGTTGTGTGACCAAAGTAGTGCACAAGAGGAAACCCTTCAACAGTGTGAGACCCAACCTCTCATTAAGCCATTATGGGCCCAGCAAAGCAAAAACCTAAAACGTGTCATGTATTTAAGCGTAAGCATCTTCTTCTTCGTGAAGCCGTTTTCAACACCATCCCTTCTCGACCTTGACGTTGGGAAGCTGCAGCAAATTTCGATCTCAAGTCACCGTCATCCACCGTGGTTGAGTTTGTTTGTGTGCGTTGTTTAGTACGGACTTGAAAGTAAGAGAGGAATAAACGAACGGTGAAGGAGATCGGAGAGATCGTAACCGTCGGAGCAACCGCTAGCCACCATTGTTCCTTTGGGTAAGGAAATGTAACTTAATTACGTATTCTTTCCTGCAAGTCCATGGGTTTGTTCTTTGAAATCCTTTTCTTAAAGCTGATTTTTTTTTTTATGGTGAAGAAGAAGAAGAAACGACTTGCAAGTAAGGGTTTTGGTAAACAGTTTATCGTCAAACCAGAATGACTTAGATCAAGATTATTGAGGCGTTGGATAGATCTTATTGCAAGGAATCCATTGCATTTTACAGCTCGTCAATCTGAAATAAACTCGAGCAGTGGTGAGATTTTCTTCCTGTCCAAGTAACAGCTAAAACTGGTCAAATCTGAAACCTAGAAACCAGATCCGAGAAGGCTTCTTGAGAGAGAAGTTTGGGAGTCTAAACTTACTCCGATCTGTCTTTGTACTTGCAGAGAGTTGTCTTTGTACTTCCTGTCCAAGTGTCTGCGAAAATACCGAATCACTTGTTGAGGAAGTAACACGATGTCTTTGTACTTGCAGAGAGTTGTGTACGTCGGTTGGTTGCTAGAAAATAAAAAGGAAATTTGAAAATTATTAAGTAATTACCATTTTAATTAAATAGAAGAATAGGATTTTAACTTTTCTTAATAATGTTAAGTGGTTTGCTATAAATATGATGTATGCTCATAGAAGAGCAAGAACCACAGAACCCCGACACTCTCTCTCGCTCACAATCTCTCTTAAGTCTTAACCAAAGACTAATCATGAATGCTTTGAGAAACCTAAGGAAGAACATGGCGTCACTGTCGCTCTCGTCCAAGCGTGGTACCTCTTCATCTTCATCAAGCTCCTCGTCTGCCTTCGACTTGTCACCCAAAGAAATTGAAAAGTACAGGGGCATGACGATATTTGACATATCATTACGTCTACAGATAAACGGTCCTTTCCTTGTCGACGCATACAAACTGGATAACCAAGCTAACGACATACTAATGAAGGCGAGGGAGGCTGAAACAAAATACAAAGCGTTCATGAAGTTGGCTGAAGCAAACAATAATAATGAGGATTACATTAGGTTGGCAATCAATGCAAAGAATGAAAGTGATGATCTTCTTAAAGTCAGGGAGGAGAAGATGCGAAAGGCTGACGAAATTAGGAACTTCAAGGCTAGTATTCCCGGAAGGTCGAGGGCAATATTTCGCATGTTAGGTGGGGGTTCAAATAATTAGGATTTGTTTAATTATTATGCATGTGCGGTAGAGTACATCTCTACTTTTTTAATTTAAGCAAGTGTGTGTGTGTGTGTTTTTTTTTTTTAATGGTTTTTGAGTCTGGTCTATTTTCTTTAGAGTTATGTATTCTGGATGATGATATGCTAAGGTCTATGTTTTAAGTGTTTCACAAGCAATTTGAAGTATGCTTCTGCCCCGTATTAATATATATATATATTACCAAGAACATTATTCACATCAAGTAATTTTTGTTCTTGATTCTTTAGAATCTGAATTAAACATGTTTTCTGACACAAAAGGTTCAATTTCATGTTTGACACCACCACGCTTTTAACATCTTTATCTTGATAATAACTAAGAAGTAAGAACCAAACAGGATCTCAGTGGCATTATAAAGTACGTTGACATAGATTCATAATAAACAAAGAAAACTCCATAAACACAAGATTCGTGTGGTACATTGTAAAGCATCACATGACATAAGAATTTCTAAAATCCTTGTACCATCAAATTCACTATGTAAATATAATAATCCACCAAAAAAAAACTTAAAACCAGAGATTGACAAGACGAAGACGATCATACCTAAGCAAAGCAGTGAACCGAAGATGCCGCAAAATCCTGCTGAAAATTTCCCTCTAAAGCTACGAAAATCATCCTAACCCTTCAACTCTTATTCCTCTGACTTTTCACACATTCATCAAATTCACAAACATTTTCCTATGATCAACATCATCAGTCTTCGGTCTCATTCCGTTTTGCAGCAGCTTCACTTTCACTCTCTTCCAAAAGCTTCCCAACAGGTTATTCATCAGTTTGCTGAACCTTCTTCTGAGCATCTTTAGCCTTCAAAGCCTGCAACTTGCAGTGATTATAATCGGCAACACCCAACGAACATACCATTTCACTCCCGTGATTTCTCACACTTTTAAACTTTAAAGACTGATCTAAACCAAAAACAAACAATCTCGCCGGTGTAATAAATATATGGCTGAAATGGAATATATATCTAGCATTGCTACTATGTAAATGATTAAGTCGTGTATATGATACTAACACTGACAATGACCAATCCTCAAAATGAATCTAGTAAGTAAAAAAACCCAGAAACTTTTAGTAACACGCAGTACTCAAAATGAGCAAAAGCAATAGAAAAAGGGAGTTAAGTTTACCAAATACCTGTAATAACTTTGAGAGAAGTATAAAAGTCTGCATTCGAACCACATCACAAGGATTACAGAGACATTGAGTAATCTTTGGTATTTAACTATCCAGGCAAACAAACCATTAGCCTTTGGCGTGTAACAGTTAAGTGTTTTTAGCATCTGAGAAAAGACTAATTATATGTAAATGTTCAGTATAGGATTTAACACTGAATCATGGCTGTATAGTGAACACAGAAGTCAGTCAATCGTCACTACAAGATTGTTACGCAAGGCTGCACATTCCCTCTTTTCAAGCTAGTACAAGAGTAAGGCATATCAACGAGTTCACATAGATTAAAATAAACTGCAGAGAGTCGAAACGAGACTGTCTTCATTGAATCGGACTCCTGATATATAAGAAATTTTTTCTTTCAAGAAATATCAGAATGATAAATAAACAGTAGAATCAGCAAACAGAAAATTGATGGACCTGTGCAAAGAGAAGGATATACCTTTAAGCAAGCTTCCCGTCAACCAAACAAAGCTTGCCATGTCAACCATTACCAAGACTGACTATAGAGAGGGGGAGCCTTTTTATTTTTTGATAAATAGTCTTTAAGATATGTCATAATCCAAAACACAAAACAATTGTTTTAAAAATTCAATTGAGCAAGTTAGTGTGTATAATAATACTCCAGTACAATATAAGCCATTAGTTTGGTAGGCTGAGTACTATATTTGATCTTTTTAATATGATCTTACATCTTTCTATGTATCGATATTGAGTTACAAGAACAGCTAATTTTTTGAGGAGTAGCGACTGCGAATGTAGAGGAACAAAGCCGTGGATGCAGCAACCATATAGGGGAAGATCGTCCATACTCCCTGCACAAATATTGGAACCAAAACTTCAAACTTGTATGAAAGCAAATTTACATCAGTTTTCTCTTTCTCTCTCTTTCTCTACTTACCACTGCATTTGCTACTGCTGCAAGAGCAAACATGGGGAGTTCTCTAAGGAGAAACCCAATCACAAGCTGAAACATTTTTTAGAATCAGTATCCTCTAGTTAGTCCTCAGATTCACATTGTAAAAAAGAATCGAAGTCGAATATAAAGAAAGCAGATAAAACTGAAGTGGAAGAGTAATCAAGCCGCCACAACAAACTCCTGCAAAGAAACACTCTAGAGATATTCCCTGTAAAGATTCATGTATGATAGGTTTGGTTAACCGTATGCTACATATTGAATCAACTCCGCAACACACTTACAAGAGCCCCGGCAAAGAATGCTGTAGGATTCCTCATTCGCAGAGAAAATCTTTCAACTGCATTCATAGAGACAAAATAAAGTCATTCATCACATTCTAGAAAATCTTTTCCACTGCATTCAGTTTGCTACTTACCAAAACCTGAGAGGTTGCCGTACTTTTGGACAGCCTGAGTAATGCTCAGTGCTTTCTCCTTACCTATACCCAGCTTTATATCAAAAAGTAGAAAACAATCGGCTTTTGGGATACAAATATTTGAATCGAAAAATATGTTTTCCTTTTATCAATATCTTAACCCCACAAATGAAATTAACTTGGTGAACAAGGCCATGTCGTCTGTATTAAATAATCGATGAGGGCTTTTTTAGATTTAGGTGGCGAAGATTACCAATTCTTCAATTAGGGTTTTTTTCCTCTCTCGGTTCATGATGACGTCTATGCTTCTGAGCCGGCTCCGCCTTGGGACAGCTAGAAGATTCTCTCGTCTTCTTCTCTCTAATGGCTTCTCATCTTCGATGCTGCAAACCCCTCCTTGTTCCATCCTCGCAGCTAAACCTTGTGGAGAGGGTCTCGGGAAGCTCGTGACTATGAGTTTGATGATGAAGAATGGTTCTGATACGGACAGTTGCTTCAATTTTTCGGATAAGAAGGTGCCTTTGGAGTTGATAAGAGGAAGTGATGGAATGGTAACGATAGGGGCATCTCATGGCTGGGTGGCTACTTTGACGAAGGACGACGGGATTCTGCGTCTCCAAGATGATCTAAACCCGGTTGCATCAGATGTAAACCCGAAACGCATCCCGCTGCCTCCTCTTGTAACTCTGCCTGGTTGCCAAACCGACATCATAACAAACGTGTCAATGTCCTCATCTTCTCCCGAGGATGAAGACTGTGTTGTGGCTGTCAAGTTCTTGGGACCTCAACTCAGCTTTTGCAGACCCGCTCAAAGCAACTCCCAGTGGACCAACGTGAGAATCGAAAACCCCTGTTTCTTCTCCTCCCGAGTCATGTTTTCCAAGGGCATGTTTCGCATTCCCGGATCTGGTGGGCATCTCATTGGATCATGGGATCTCAACCACCACACATCGAAGTTTCAGGAGTTGCATTTTCAAAACCTTCCCGAGCTGACCAAGACCCAACGAGAGCTTCTAGATTTGTGTTTTACGAGCCAACACTTGGTAGAGTCACCAGCTGGTGAGACCTTCTTGGTTACGTGGTACAGGAAGACTGATGCGGAGACCATCAATGGTATATCCAAATTGAAGACAGAAGCTTTAATGGTGTTCAAGCTGAATGAATACGGAAGTGCTGTTTACACCCAAGACATTGGAGATCTCTGCATTTTCCTCTCAAAGTCTGAACCTTTCGCTGTCTCTGCTACCTCCTTTCCAGGCATCTTGTCTAACCACGTCGTAATCTATGATTTCGATGAACTCATATTTGTCCAGCTAGATGAGGCTGATTCTCCCATCGTCCTTGGTGACATTGCTACATTCGGGGCCCCTTATCATATTCCACCTCAAAATATATAAGACGGAATTGTGTCTGTCTTTGAAATTGAATGAGAGTCATGCATCCAGAATTAAAAAGCTTTGGTGCATGCACAAGCTGCTGTTGTTGTTGCTGTTTTTTTTGAAGTATTATTGCTTTTGATGTTTCCTCTAAACCAAATTTCAGTTAGTTCAAATTTCATATACTCTCAGTCTCTCATAATCTTTCATGCATCATGCATGTGTAAGTTTTATCAAAAGAATCCGAAAACTTCTTTTAGAATCTGTACACACGTTTAAGGTCTACAAATTTTGTATCGATAGATTTACCTTAGATTGGTTTGTGAGTTTTAGCAATTGACAGGAGATGCTATTCTGTTGTGGAATGTGTTGCATGTGGAGCCAGTGCCATGATTGATTCTGCAGAAGAAAGAAGATAGTCAATTGGAAGATAAAGTAATTGGTCTAGGGAAGCTGGATAGATTTACCTTAGATTGGTTTGTGAGTTTTAGCAATTGACAGGAGATGCTATTCTGTTGTGGAATGTGTTGCATGTGGAGCCAGTGCCATGATTGATTCTGCAGAAGAAAGAAGATAGTCAATTGGAAGATAAAGTAATTGGTCTAGGGAAGCTGGAAAATAATGTGATATAGACTTGTGGAACATAACCGGAATTGGTGATGGTTGTGATGGCGGAATGTGTCAAGTCCGAGACTTAGATCAAGATTATTGAGGCGTTGGATAGATCTTATTGCAAGGAATCCATTGCATTTTACAGCTCGTCAATCTGAAATAAACTCGAGCAGTGGTGAGATTTTCTTCCTGTCCAAGTAACAGCTAAAACTGGTCAAATCTGAAACCTAGAAACCAGATCCGAGAAGGCTTCTTGAGAGAGAAGTTTGGGAGTCTAAACTTACTCCGATCTGTCTTTGTACTTGCAGAGAGTTGTCTTTGTACTTCCTGTCCAAGTGTCTGCGAAAATACCGAATCACTTGTTGAGGAAGTAACACGATGTCTTTGTACTTGCAGAGAGTTGTGTACGTCGGTTGGTTGCTAGAAAATAAAAAGGAAATTTGAAAATTATTAAGTAATTACCATTTTAATTAAATAGAAGAATAGGATTTTAACTTTTCTTAATAATGTTAAGTGGTTTGCTATAAATATGATGTATGCTCATAGAAGAGCAAGAACCACAGAACCCCGACACTCTCTCTCGCTCACAATCTCTCTTAAGTCTTAACCAAAGACTAATCATGAATGCTTTGAGAAACCTAAGGAAGAACATGGCGTCACTGTCGCTCTCGTCCAAGCGTGGTACCTCTTCATCTTCATCAAGCTCCTCGTCTGCCTTCGACTTGTCACCCAAAGAAATTGAAAAGTACAGGGGCATGACGATATTTGACATATCATTACGTCTACAGATAAACGGTCCTTTCCTTGTCGACGCATACAAACTGGATAACCAAGCTAACGACATACTAATGAAGGCGAGGGAGGCTGAAACAAAATACAAAGCGTTCATGAAGTTGGCTGAAGCAAACAATAATAATGAGGATTACATTAGGTTGGCAATCAATGCAAAGAATGAAAGTGATGATCTTCTTAAAGTCAGGGAGGAGAAGATGCGAAAGGCTGACGAAATTAGGAACTTCAAGGCTAGTATTCCCGGAAGGTCGAGGGCAATATTTCGCATGTTAGGTGGGGGTTCAAATAATTAGGATTTGTTTAATTATTATGCATGTGCGGTAGAGTACATCTCTACTTTTTTAATTTAAGCAAGTGTGTGTGTGTGTGTTTTTTTTTTTTAATGGTTTTTGAGTCTGGTCTATTTTCTTTAGAGTTATGTATTCTGGATGATGATATGCTAAGGTCTATGTTTTAAGTGTTTCACAAGCAATTTGAAGTATGCTTCTGCCCCGTATTAATATATATATATATTACCAAGAACATTATTCACATCAAGTAATACTGCAACCAGAGAAGGGAATCATATCAACTGATAAGTAAAAAGGCTCTAAAAACTCATGAACAGTACAATAGCATCCAAGTAATATAAATCACATAACGTTACAACATCAAGGGCTAAAACAGATAAACATCTATGTTTATTTTTGTTTTGTATAAGTGCCTTACTGGGAAGGGAATATCATCAACTAATAACTGCAGAGGTTCTAAAAATCATGAACAGAAGGGAAGACTCATCATTCTCAAAACAGAACCCCACCGTTACATCTATAGCTTGCAGTATCATGAAGAACGCCACAAATTTACAACCAGATCCGACATCGTTTCGACTTCCAAACGTTGCCTTTAAAAACGCATCGCTGAATAAGAAGTTATATTAAAACCTAAAGAATAAGAATTTGAAGTCAATTACCTTGGTGTTGTGTGACCAAAGTAGTGCACAAGAGCCTTATCAAGAGGAAACCCTTCAACAGGATCCACAAGCATTTTGATAGGAGTAGCAGAAACAGTTCCCGGTATGGTTATTGAGCTTTGTCCAATGTTAAGGTCTACAAATGTCGGTTTCCAACCATCTTTCACTGCCCAATTCAGAAGCACCTTAGCCGATGTACTCTTCCCAGAGTCTATATCCCGTACAATGACAACCATCGAACAAAACCATAAAAGAAAACCGAGAGTTCAAGTTGCTACAAGGCTTCTTGGTTCATAGATAAACTCAGTTAATATGAACTAGCACATGTTTTGTCAAGTGATTCTGATGAAGTGGTTCAAGCTTCTTCTATGGCCTTTTACTATATCATTTTGTTGTTGGATGTTTAAAAAGGTGTCAAAGATTTGTTGTTCTCTTGGTGAAAAACTTAATGGAAACAAACCTCTGTGTCCTACCCTGTCATCTATCATATTCATGAAAGACAAAAACATGTGAAAACTTCTACCAGTATCAATAATGTTAAGATTGAGGCCATAGAAGAAGCTTGAAAACACAGTTGTACGTGAAACTTCATCGGTATTCACCACAGGCATTACACGTGTATGATGACTTTTGATGAATAGAGTAAAGTCAAAGTGTATAAGAGAAGCAAATACGTACGTACCTCTAAAAAGTCTCTAACAACAAGATGATTTGTAATGTTAGATCCACAACACGGCGACTTCTTTCCAAGCTGACCAAGACCCTTACTTAAATCTAGAACAAAACAAAACAAACAAACAAAAAAAAAATTCTAGAACAAAACTTGTAAGCCTTTTTTCATACATTGGAAACACAAGAACACTGAGCCTCCTCAACTCCTTGGTAGAAGATCCAACTTGACTTTTATTGACTTAGTCTCGGACTTGACACATTCCGCCATCACAACCATCACCAATTCCGGTTATGTTCCACAAGTCTATCACATTATTTTCCTGCTTCACTAGACCAATATAACGAAAAGTTATATTTTTGACTTTATCTTCCAATTGACTATCTTCTTTCTTCTGCAGAATCAATCATGGCACTGGCTCCCATTGCTAAAACTCACAAACCAATCTAAGGTAAATCTATCTATACAAAATTTGTAGACCTTAAACATGTGTACAGATTCTAAAGAAGTTTTCGGATTATTTTGATAGAACTTACACATGAAAGATTATGAGAGACTGAGAGTATATGAAATTTGAACTAACTGAAATTTGGTTTCGAGGAAATACAGTTACATGCATAATCAAATCTAAATAAAAGCAAGAAAGTCGACTCTCACTCGATTCCAAATATTACTTGTGTATATTTTGAGGCGGAATATAGTAAGGGGACGGGTTTCTGGTACTCCTCCAAATCAGGGGGAAACTAGTCAGGCTGAAATATGCGATTTCATCGAAATCCCTGATGACAACGTAGTTAGAATACACGCCTGGAAAGGAGGTAGCAGAGACAGCGAAAGGTTCAGATTTTGAGAGGAAAATGCAGAGATCTCCAATGTCTTGGGTGTAAACAGCACTTCCGTATTCATTCACCTTGAACACCATTAAAGCTTCTGTCTTCAATTTTGCTATACCATTGATGGTCTCCGCATCAGTCTTCCTGTACTGCTTAACCAAGAAAGTCTCACCAGCTGGTGATTCCACCAAGTGTTGGCTCCTGTAGCACGAACGCAAAAGCTCTCGTTTGATCTTGGTCAGCTCGGGAAGGTTTTGAAAATGCAAATCCTGAAACTTCGATGTGTGGTGGTTGAGATCCCATGATCCAATGAGGTGCCCACCAGATCCGGGAATGCGAAACATGCCCTTGGAAAACATGACTCGGGAGGAGAAGAAACAAGGGTTTTCGATTCTCACGTTGGTCCACTGGGAGTTGCTTTGAGCGGGTCTGCAAAAGCTGAGTTGAGGTCCCAAGAACTTGACAGCCACAACACAGTCTTCATCCTCGGGAGAAGATGAGGACATTGACACGTTTGTTATGATGTCGGTTTGGCAACCAGGCAGAGTTACAAGAGGAGGCAGCGGGATGCGTTTCGGGTTTACATCTGATGCAACCGGGTTTAGATCATCTTGGAGACGCAGAATCCCGTCGTCCTTCGTCAAAGTAGCCACCCAGCCATGAGATGCCCCTATCGTTACCATTCTTTTATTATAAAGAAAATTGTACACCAACTCCATAGGCACCTTCTTACCCAATTTAGTGAAGTCATCTCTATTAGCATTCGAAATGATGAGCCTTCCCATACGTCCTCCGCAGTGCTCAGCGCCCATGATGGTACAAGGAGGGGTTTGTAGCGGGGTAGATGAGAAGCCATTAGAGAGAAGAAGACGAGAGAATCTTTTCACCGACGCAGAGCGGCTGAGAAACAAAGACATGACTGTTCTTAACCGAGAAGCCAAAAAATTTAAGAGACGAAAAAAACCCTAATTGAAGAATTGGTGATGGTTGTTCAATTTTTTTTTTTCACCTATAAAACAGAGGGATGATGACCTTGGCCACCAAGTTTTTTTTTTTTTTTTTTTTTTTACTTTTTTAAAAATAAGATATTTACGGTTGCCACATGTGTGATTTTCAAAGGGTCATTTCCTCTTTGATGAGCAGAAGTTGAACTACGCCCTTGAAATTAAACCACCAATCTGATAGAAGTAATTCTATCGAAGTTTACGGTTTAGGTGTAGAGGGTGAGATCCTTGGTCACTCCATAGAAGTAATTCTGTGCAGAAGCAAATTGAAAGATCTCTTCTTTAATCAAAAACATATTATAAAAAAAAAAAAGAACAAATTATTGAAATCTTCATCAAAGCGAAAAGTCTACCTGAATATTAGTGTTCCTCACTGTTTTGCTAAACTGAGAGCTCCTAGAGAAGACACCAGCTGACCTCTCAAGATTCAAGACAGAGATCAATGAAGGGAAATATTGTATGTTTCTTGATTTAGGGTTAAGCCAGAGAAAAAAGATTTGATACATTACTTGACCAAGGACAATAACTAAAGATGCATTAAACGTCTTTATTGCATGGAGAAGCAGCTGCAATTTTAAAACATGATACCATATCAGAAATCTTGTAGTTCATAGCAAAAGTACATAACAAAAGTTGGTTCACGAAAAACCGAAAAAGAAGAAAGAAAAATTAGGTTATATTAAAACCTAAAAAATCAGAATTTGAAGTCAATTACCTTGGTGTTATGTGACCAAAGTAGTGCACAAGAGGAAACCCTTCAACAGTGTGAGACCCAACCTCTCATTAAGCCATTATGGGCCCAGCAAAGCAAAAACCTAAAACGTGTCATGTATTTAAGCGTAAGCATCTTCTTCTTCGTGAAGCCGTTTTCAACACCATCCCTTCTCGACCTTGACGTTGGGAAGCTGCAGCAAATTTAGATCTCAAGTCACCGTCATCCACCGTGGTTGAGTTTGTTTGTGTGCGTTGTTTAGTACGGACTTGAAAGTAAGAGAGGAATAAACGAACGGTGAAGGAGATCGGAGAGATCGTAACCGTCGGAGCAACCGCTAGCCACCATTGTTCCTTTGGGTAAGGAAATGTAACTTAATTACGTATTCTTTCCTGCAAGTCCATGGGTTTGTTCTTTGAAATCCTTTTCTTAAAGCTGATTTTTTTTTTTATGGTGAAGAAGAAGAAGAAACGACTTGCAAGTAAGGGTTTTGGTAAACAGTTTATCGTCAAACCAGAATGACTTAGATCAAGATTATTGAGGCGTTGGATAGATCTTATTGCAAGGAATCCATTGCATTTTACAGCTCGTCAATCTGAAATAAACTCGAGCAGTGGTGAGATTTTCTTCCTGTCCAAGTAACAGCTAAAACTGGTCAAATCTGAAACCTAGAAACCAGATCCGAGAAGGCTTCTTGAGAGAGAAGTTTGGGAGTCTAAACTTACTCCGATCTGTCTTTGTACTTGCAGAGAGTTGTCTTTGTACTTCCTGTCCAAGTGTCTGCGAAAATACCGAATCACTTGTTGAGGAAGTAACACGATGTCTTTGTACTTGCAGAGAGTTGTGTACGTCGGTTGGTTGCTAGAAAATAAAAAGGAAATTTGAAAATTATTAAGTAATTACCATTTTAATTAAATAGAAGAATAGGATTTTAACTTTTCTTAATAATGTTAAGTGGTTTGCTATAAATATGATGTATGCTCATAGAAGAGCAAGAACCACAGAACCCCGACACTCTCTCTCGCTCACAATCTCTCTTAAGTCTTAACCAAAGACTAATCATGAATGCTTTGAGAAACCTAAGGAAGAACATGGCGTCACTGTCGCTCTCGTCCAAGCGTGGTACCTCTTCATCTTCATCAAGCTCCTCGTCTGCCTTCGACTTGTCACCCAAAGAAATTGAAAAGTACAGGGGCATGACGATATTTGACATATCATTACGTCTACAGATAAACGGTCCTTTCCTTGTCGACGCATACAAACTGGATAACCAAGCTAACGACATACTAATGAAGGCGAGGGAGGCTGAAACAAAATACAAAGCGTTCATGAAGTTGGCTGAAGCAAACAATAATAATGAGGATTACATTAGGTTGGCAATCAATGCAAAGAATGAAAGTGATGATCTTCTTAAAGTCAGGGAGGAGAAGATGCGAAAGGCTGACGAAATTAGGAACTTCAAGGCTAGTATTCCCGGAAGGTCGAGGGCAATATTTCGCATGTTAGGTGGGGGTTCAAATAATTAGGATTTGTTTAATTATTATGCATGTGCGGTAGAGTACATCTCTACTTTTTTAATTTAAGCAAGTGTGTGTGTGTGTGTTTTTTTTTTTTAATGGTTTTTGAGTCTGGTCTATTTTCTTTAGAGTTATGTATTCTGGATGATGATATGCTAAGGTCTATGTTTTAAGTGTTTCACAAGCAATTTGAAGTATGCTTCTGCCCCGTATTAATATATATATATATTACCAAGAACATTATTCACATCAAGTAATTTTTGTTCTTGATTCTTTAGAATCTGAATTAAACATGTTTTCTGACACAAAAGGTTCAATTTCATGTTTGACACCACCACGCTTTTAACATCTTTATCTTGATAATAACTAAGAAGTAAGAACCAAACAGGATCTCAGTGGCATTATAAAGTACGTTGACATAGATTCATAATAAACAAAGAAAACTCCATAAACACAAGATTCGTGTGGTACATTGTAAAGCATCACATGACATAAGAATTTCTAAAATCCTTGTACCATCAAATTCACTATGTAAATATAATAATCCACCAAAAAAAAACTTAAAACCAGAGATTGACAAGACGAAGACGATCATACCTAAGCAAAGCAGTGAACCGAAGATGCCGCAAAATCCTGCTGAAAATTTCCCTCTAAAGCTACGAAAATCATCCTAACCCTTCAACTCTTATTCCTCTGACTTTTCACACATTCATCAAATTCACAAACATTTTCCTATGATCAACATCATCAGTCTTCGGTCTCATTCCGTTTTGCAGCAGCTTCACTTTCACTCTCTTCCAAAAGCTTCCCAACAGGTTATTCATCAGTTTGCTGAACCTTCTTCTGAGCATCTTTAGCCTTCAAAGCCTGCAACTTGCAGTGATTATAATCGGCAACACCCAACGAACATACCATTTCACTCCCGTGATTTCTCACACTTTTAAACTTTAAAGACTGATCTAAACCAAAAACAAACAATCTCGCCGGTGTAATAAATATATGGCTGAAATGGAATATATATCTAGCATTGCTACTATGTAAATGATTAAGTCGTGTATATGATACTAACACTGACAATGACCAATCCTCAAAATGAATCTAGTAAGTAAAAAAACCCAGAAACTTTTAGTAACACGCAGTACTCAAAATGAGCAAAAGCAATAGAAAAAGGGAGTTAAGTTTACCAAATACCTGTAATAACTTTGAGAGAAGTATAAAAGTCTGCATTCGAACCACATCACAAGGATTACAGAGACATTGAGTAATCTTTGGTATTTAACTATCCAGGCAAACAAACCATTAGCCTTTGGCGTGTAACAGTTAAGTGTTTTTAGCATCTGAGAAAAGACTAATTATATGTAAATGTTCAGTATAGGATTTAACACTGAATCATGGCTGTATAGTGAACACAGAAGTCAGTCAATCGTCACTACAAGATTGTTACGCAAGGCTGCACATTCCCTCTTTTCAAGCTAGTACAAGAGTAAGGCATATCAACGAGTTCACATAGATTAAAATAAACTGCAGAGAGTCGAAACGAGACTGTCTTCATTGAATCGGACTCCTGATATATAAGAAATTTTTACTTTCAAGAAATATCAGAATGATAAATAAACAGTAGAATCAGCAAACAGAAAATTGATGGACCTGTGCAAAGAGAAGGATATACCTTTAAGCAAGCTTCCCGTCAACCAAACAAAGCTTGCCATGTCAACCATTACCAAGACTGACTATAGAGAGGGGGAGCCTTTTTATTTTTTGATAAATAGTCTTTAAGATATGTCATAATCCAAAACACAAAACAATTGTTTTAAAAATTCAATTGAGCAAGTTAGTGTGTATAATAATACTCCAGTACAATATAAGCCATTAGTTTGGTAGGCTGAGTACTATATTTGATCTTTTTAATATGATCTTACATCTTTCTATGTATCGATATTGAGTTACAAGAACAGCTAATTTTTTGAGGAGTAGCGACTGCGAATGTAGAGGAACAAAGCCGTGGATGCAGCAACCATATAGGGGAAGATCGTCCATACTCCCTGCACAAATATTGGAACCAAAACTTCAAACTTGTATGAAAGCAAATTTACATCAGTTTTCTCTTTCTCTCTCTTTCTCTACTTACCACTGCATTTGCTACTGCTGCAAGAGCAAACATGGGGAGTTCTCTAAGGAGAAACCCAATCACAAGCTGAAACATTTTTTAGAATCAGTATCCTCTAGTTAGTCCTCAGATTCACATTGTAAAAAAGAATCGAAATCGAATATAAAGAAAGCAGATAAAACTGAAGTGGAAGAGTAATCAAGCCGCCACAACAAACTCCTGCAAAGAAACACTCTAGAGATATTCCCTGTAAAGATTCATGTATGATAGGTTTGGTTAACCGTATGCTACATATTGAATCAACTCCGCAACACACTTACAAGAGCCCCGGCAAAGAATGCTGTAGGATTCCTCATTCGCAGAGAAAATCTTTCAACTGCATTCATAGAGACAAAATAAAGTCATTCATCACATTCTAGAAAATCTTTTCCACTGCATTCAGTTTGCTACTTACCAAAACCTGAGAGGTTGCCGTACTTTTGGACAGCCTGAGTAATGCTCAGTGCTTTCTCCTTACCTATACCCAGCTTTATATCAAAAAGTAGAAAACAATCGGCTTTTGGGATACAAATATTTGAATCGAAAAATATGTTTTCCTTTTATCAATATCTTAACCCCACAAATGAAATTAACTTGGTGAACAAGGCCATGTCGTCTGTATTAAATAATCGATGAGGGCTTTTTTAGATTTAGGTGGCGAAGATTACCAATTCTTCAATTAGGGTTTTTTTCCTCTCTCGGTTCATGATGACGTCTATGCTTCTGAGCCGGCTCCGCCTTGGGACAGCTAGAAGATTCTCTCGTCTTCTTCTCTCTAATGGCTTCTCATCTTCGATGCTGCAAACCCCTCCTTGTTCCATCCTCGCAGCTAAACCTTGTGGAGAGGGTCTCGGGAAGCTCGTGACTATGAGTTTGATGATGAAGAATGGTTCTGATACGGACAGTTGCTTCAATTTTTCGGATAAGAAGGTGCCTTTGGAGTTGATAAGAGGAAGTGATGGAATGGTAACGATAGGGGCATCTCATGGCTGGGTGGCTACTTTGACGAAGGACGACGGGATTCTGCGTCTCCAAGATGATCTAAACCCGGTTGCATCAGATGTAAACCCGAAACGCATCCCGCTGCCTCCTCTTGTAACTCTGCCTGGTTGCCAAACCGACATCATAACAAACGTGTCAATGTCCTCATCTTCTCCCGAGGATGAAGACTGTGTTGTGGCTGTCAAGTTCTTGGGACCTCAACTCAGCTTTTGCAGACCCGCTCAAAGCAACTCCCAGTGGACCAACGTGAGAATCGAAAACCCCTGTTTCTTCTCCTCCCGAGTCATGTTTTCCAAGGGCATGTTTCGCATTCCCGGATCTGGTGGGCATCTCATTGGATCATGGGATCTCAACCACCACACATCGAAGTTTCAGGAGTTGCATTTTCAAAACCTTCCCGAGCTGACCAAGACCCAACGAGAGCTTCTAGATTTGTGTTTTACGAGCCAACACTTGGTAGAGTCACCAGCTGGTGAGACCTTCTTGGTTACGTGGTACAGGAAGACTGATGCGGAGACCATCAATGGTATATCCAAATTGAAGACAGAAGCTTTAATGGTGTTCAAGCTGAATGAATACGGAAGTGCTGTTTACACCCAAGACATTGGAGATCTCTGCATTTTCCTCTCAAAGTCTGAACCTTTCGCTGTCTCTGCTACCTCCTTTCCAGGCATCTTGTCTAACCACGTCGTAATCTATGATTTCGATGAACTCATATTTGTCCAGCTAGATGAGGCTGATTCTCCCATCGTCCTTGGTGACATTGCTACATTCGGGGCCCCTTATCATATTCCACCTCAAAATATATAAGACGGAATTGTGTCTGTCTTTGAAATTGAATGAGAGTCATGCATCCAGAATTAAAAAGCTTTGGTGCATGCACAAGCTGCTGTTGTTGTTGCTGTTTTTTTTGAAGTATTATTGCTTTTGATGTTTCCTCTAAACCAAATTTCAGTTAGTTCAAATTTCATATACTCTCAGTCTCTCATAATCTTTCATGCATCATGCATGTGTAAGTTTTATCAAAAGAATCCGAAAACTTCTTTTAGAATCTGTACACACGTTTAAGGTCTACAAATTTTGTATCGATAGATTTACCTTAGATTGGTTTGTGAGTTTTAGCAATTGACAGGAGATGCTATTCTGTTGTGGAATGTGTTGCATGTGGAGCCAGTGCCATGATTGATTCTGCAGAAGAAAGAAGATAGTCAATTGGAAGATAAAGTAATTGGTCTAGGGAAGCTGGAAAATAATGTGATATAGACTTGTGGAACATAACCGGAATTGGTGATGGTTGTGATGGCGGAATGTGTCAAGTCCGAGACTTAGATCAAGATTATTGAGGCGTTGGATAGATCTTATTGCAAGGAATCCATTGCATTTTACAGCTCGTCAATCTGAAATAAACTCGAGCAGTGGTGAGATTTTCTTCCTGTCCAAGTAACAGCTAAAACTGGTCAAATCTGAAACCTAGAAACCAGATCCGAGAAGGCTTCTTGAGAGAGAAGTTTGGGAGTCTAAACTTACTCCGATCTGTCTTTGTACTTGCAGAGAGTTGTCTTTGTACTTCCTGTCCAAGTGTCTGCGAAAATACCGAATCACTTGTTGAGGAAGTAACACGATGTCTTTGTACTTGCAGAGAGTTGTGTACGTCGGTTGGTTGCTAGAAAATAAAAAGGAAATTTGAAAATTATTAAGTAATTACCATTTTAATTAAATAGAAGAATAGGATTTTAACTTTTCTTAATAATGTTAAGTGGTTTGCTATAAATATGATGTATGCTCATAGAAGAGCAAGAACCACAGAACCCCGACACTCTCTCTCGCTCACAATCTCTCTTAAGTCTTAACCAAAGACTAATCATGAATGCTTTGAGAAACCTAAGGAAGAACATGGCGTCACTGTCGCTCTCGTCCAAGCGTGGTACCTCTTCATCTTCATCAAGCTCCTCGTCTGCCTTCGACTTGTCACCCAAAGAAATTGAAAAGTACAGGGGCATGACGATATTTGACATATCATTACGTCTACAGATAAACGGTCCTTTCCTTGTCGACGCATACAAACTGGATAACCAAGCTAACGACATACTAATGAAGGCGAGGGAGGCTGAAACAAAATACAAAGCGTTCATGAAGTTGGCTGAAGCAAACAATAATAATGAGGATTACATTAGGTTGGCAATCAATGCAAAGAATGAAAGTGATGATCTTCTTAAAGTCAGGGAGGAGAAGATGCGAAAGGCTGACGAAATTAGGAACTTCAAGGCTAGTATTCCCGGAAGGTCGAGGGCAATATTTCGCATGTTAGGTGGGGGTTCAAATAATTAGGATTTGTTTAATTATTATGCATGTGCGGTAGAGTACATCTCTACTTTTTTAATTTAAGCAAGTGTGTGTGTGTGTGTTTTTTTTTTTTAATGGTTTTTGAGTCTGGTCTATTTTCTTTAGAGTTATGTATTCTGGATGATGATATGCTAAGGTCTATGTTTTAAGTGTTTCACAAGCAATTTGAAGTATGCTTCTGCCCCGTATTAATATATATATATATTACCAAGAACATTATTCACATCAAGTAATACTGCAACCAGAGAAGGGAATCATATCAACTGATAAGTAAAAAGGCTCTAAAAACTCATGAACAGTACAATAGCATCCAAGTAATATAAATCACATAACGTTACAACATCAAGGGCTAAAACAGATAAACATCTATGTTTATTTTTGTTTTGTATAAGTGCCTTACTGGGAAGGGAATATCATCAACTAATAACTGCAGAGGTTCTAAAAATCATGAACAGAAGGGAAGACTCATCATTCTCAAAACAGAACCCCACCGTTACATCTATAGCTTGCAGTATCATGAAGAACGCCACAAATTTACAACCAGATCCGACATCGTTTCGACTTCCAAACGTTGCCTTTAAAAACGCATCGCTGAATAAGAAGTTATATTAAAACCTAAAGAATAAGAATTTGAAGTCAATTACCTTGGTGTTGTGTGACCAAAGTAGTGCACAAGAGCCTTATCAAGAGGAAACCCTTCAACAGGATCCACAAGCATTTTGATAGGAGTAGCAGAAACAGTTCCCGGTATGGTTATTGAGCTTTGTCCAATGTTAAGGTCTACAAATGTCGGTTTCCAACCATCTTTCACTGCCCAATTCAGAAGCACCTTAGCCGATGTACTCTTCCCAGAGTCTATATCCCGTACAATGACAACCATCGAACAAAACCATAAAAGAAAACCGAGAGTTCAAGTTGCTACAAGGCTTCTTGGTTCATAGATAAACTCAGTTAATATGAACTAGCACATGTTTTGTCAAGTGATTCTGATGAAGTGGTTCAAGCTTCTTCTATGGCCTTTTACTATATCATTTTGTTGTTGGATGTTTAAAAAGGTGTCAAAGATTTGTTGTTCTCTTGGTGAAAAACTTAATGGAAACAAACCTCTGTGTCCTACCCTGTCATCTATCATATTCATGAAAGACAAAAACATGTGAAAACTTCTACCAGTATCAATAATGTTAAGATTGAGGCCATAGAAGAAGCTTGAAAACACAGTTGTACGTGAAACTTCATCGGTATTCACCACAGGCATTACACGTGTATGATGACTTTTGATGAATAGAGTAAAGTCAAAGTGTATAAGAGAAGCAAATACGTACGTACCTCTAAAAAGTCTCTAACAACAAGATGATTTGTAATGTTAGATCCACAACACGGCGACTTCTTTCCAAGCTGACCAAGACCCTTAAATCTAGAACAAAACAAAACAAACAAACAAAAAAAAAATTCTAGAACAAAACTTGTAAGCCTTTTTTCATACATTGGAAACACAAGAACACTGAGCCTCCTCAACTCCTTGGTAGAAGATCCAACTTGACTTTTATTGACTTAGTCTCGGACTTGACACATTCCGCCATCACAACCATCACCAATTCCGGTTATGTTCCACAAGTCTATCACATTATTTTCCTGCTTCACTAGACCAATATAACGAAAAGTTATATTTTTGACTTTATCTTCCAATTGACTATCTTCTTTCTTCTGCAGAATCAATCATGGCACTGGCTCCCATTGCTAAAACTCACAAACCAATCTAAGGTAAATCTATCTATACAAAATTTGTAGACCTTAAACATGTGTACAGATTCTAAAGAAGTTTTCGGATTATTTTGATAGAACTTACACATGAAAGATTATGAGAGACTGAGAGTATATGAAATTTGAACTAACTGAAATTTGGTTTCGAGGAAATACAGTTACATGCATAATCAAATCTAAATAAAAGCAAGAAAGTCGACTCTCACTCGATTCCAAATATTACTTGTGTATATTTTGAGGCGGAATATAGTAAGGGGACGGGTTTCTGGTACTCCTCCAAATCAGGGGGAAACTAGTCAGGCTGAAATATGCGATTTCATCGAAATCCCTGATGACAACGTAGTTAGAATACACGCCTGGAAAGGAGGTAGCAGAGACAGCGAAAGGTTCAGATTTTGAGAGGAAAATGCAGAGATCTCCAATGTCTTGGGTGTAAACAGCACTTCCGTATTCATTCACCTTGAACACCATTAAAGCTTCTGTCTTCAATTTTGCTATACCATTGATGGTCTCCGCATCAGTCTTCCTGTACTGCTTAACCAAGAAAGTCTCACCAGCTGGTGATTCCACCAAGTGTTGGCTCCTGTAGCACGAACGCAAAAGCTCTCGTTTGATCTTGGTCAGCTCGGGAAGGTTTTGAAAATGCAAATCCTGAAACTTCGATGTGTGGTGGTTGAGATCCCATGATCCAATGAGGTGCCCACCAGATCCGGGAATGCGAAACATGCCCTTGGAAAACATGACTCGGGAGGAGAAGAAACAAGGGTTTTCGATTCTCACGTTGGTCCACTGGGAGTTGCTTTGAGCGGGTCTGCAAAAGCTGAGTTGAGGTCCCAAGAACTTGACAGCCACAACACAGTCTTCATCCTCGGGAGAAGATGAGGACATTGACACGTTTGTTATGATGTCGGTTTGGCAACCAGGCAGAGTTACAAGAGGAGGCAGCGGGATGCGTTTCGGGTTTACATCTGATGCAACCGGGTTTAGATCATCTTGGAGACGCAGAATCCCGTCGTCCTTCGTCAAAGTAGCCACCCAGCCATGAGATGCCCCTATCGTTACCATTCTTTTATTATAAAGAAAATTGTACACCAACTCCATAGGCACCTTCTTACCCAATTTAGTGAAGTCATCTCTATTAGCATTCGAAATGATGAGCCTTCCCATACGTCCTCCGCAGTGCTCAGCGCCCATGATGGTACAAGGAGGGGTTTGTAGCGGGGTAGATGAGAAGCCATTAGAGAGAAGAAGACGAGAGAATCTTTTCACCGACGCAGAGCGGCTGAGAAACAAAGACATGACTGTTCTTAACCGAGAAGCCAAAAAATTTAAGAGACGAAAAAAACCCTAATTGAAGAATTGGTGATGGTTGTTCAATTTTTTTTTTTCACCTATAAAACAGAGGGATGATGACCTTGGCCACCAAGTTTTTTTTTTTTTTTTTTTTTTACTTTTTTAAAAATAAGATATTTACGGTTGCCACATGTGTGATTTTCAAAGGGTCATTTCCTCTTTGATGAGCAGAAGTTGAACTACGCCCTTGAAATTAAACCACCAATCTGATAGAAGTAATTCTATCGAAGTTACGGTTTAGGTGTAGAGGGTGAGATCCTTGGTCACTCCATAGAAGTAATTCTGTGCAGAAGCAAATTGAAAGATCTCTTCTTTAATCAAAAACATATTATAAAAAAAAAAAAGAACAAATTATTGAAATCTTCATCAAAGCGAAAAGTCTACCTGAATATTAGTGTTCCTCACTGTTTTGCTAAACTGAGAGCTCCTAGAGAAGACACCAGCTGACCTCTCAAGATTCAAGACAGAGATCAATGAAGGGAAATATTGTATGTTTCTTGATTTAGGGTTAAGCCAGAGAAAAAAGATTTGATACATTACTTGACCAAGGACAATAACTAAAGATGCATTAAACGTCTTTATTGCATGGAGAAGCAGCTGCAATTTTAAAACATGATACCATATCAGAAATCTTGTAGTTCATAGCAAAAGTACATAACAAAAGTTGGTTCACGAAAAACCGAAAAAGAAGAAAGAAAAATTAGGTTATATTAAAACCTAAAAAATCAGAATTTGAAGTCAATTACCTTGGTGTTATGTGACCAAGTAGTGCACAAGAGGAAACCCTTCAACAGTGTGAGACCCAACCTCTCATTAAGCCATTATGGGCCCAGCAAAGCAAAAACCTAAAACGTGTCATGTATTTAAGCGTAAGCATCTTCTTCTTCGTGAAGCCGTTTTCAACACCATCCCTTCTCGACCTTGACGTTGGGAAGCTGCAGCAAATTTCGATCTCAAGTCACCGTCATCCACCGTGGTTGAGTTTGTTTGTGTGCGTTGTTTAGTACGGACTTGAAAGTAAGAGAGGAATAAACGAACGGTGAAGGAGATCGGAGAGATCGTAACCGTCGGAGCAACCGCTAGCCACCATTGTTCCTTTGGGTAAGGAAATGTAACTTAATTACGTATTCTTTCCTGCAAGTCCATGGGTTTGTTCTTTGAAATCCTTTTCTTAAAGCTGATTTTTTTTTTTATGGTGAAGAAGAAGAAGAAACGACTTGCAAGTAAGGGTTTTGGTAAACAGTTTATCGTCAAAACCAGAATGACTTAGATCAAGATTATTGAGGCGTTGGATAGATCTTATTGCAAGGAATCCATTGCATTTTACAGCTCGTCAATCTGAAATAAACTCGAGCAGTGGTGAGATTTTCTTCCTGTCCAAGTAACAGCTAAAACTGGTCAAATCTGAAACCTAGAAACCAGATCCGAGAAGGCTTCTTGAGAGAGAAGTTTGGGAGTCTAAACTTACTCCGATCTGTCTTTGTACTTGCAGAGAGTTGTCTTGTACTTCCTGTCCAAGTGTCTGCGAAAATACCGAATCACTTGTTGAGGAAGTAACACGATGTCTTTGTACTTGCAGAGAGTTGTGTACGTCGGTTGGTTGCTAGAAAATAAAAAGGAAATTTGAAAATTATTAAGTAATTACCATTTTAATTAAATAGAAGAATAGGATTTTAACTTTTCTTAATAATGTTAAGTGGTTTGCTATAAATATGATGTATGCTCATAGAAGAGCAAGAACCACAGAACCCCGACACTCTCTCTCGCTCACAATCTCTCTTAAGTCTTAACCAAAGACTAATCATGAATGCTTTGAGAAACCTAAGGAAGAACATGGCGTCACTGTCGCTCTCGTCCAAGCGTGGTACCTCTTCATCTTCATCAAGCTCCTCGTCTGCCTTCGACTTGTCACCCAAAGAAATTGAAAAGTACAGGGGCATGACGATATTTGACATATCATTACGTCTACAGATAAACGGTCCTTTCCTTGTCGACGCATACAAACTGGATAACCAAGCTAACGACATACTAATGAAGGCGAGGGAGGCTGAAACAAAATACAAAGCGTTCATGAAGTTGGCTGAAGCAAACAATAATAATGAGGATTACATTAGGTTGGCAATCAATGCAAAGAATGAAAGTGATGATCTTCTTAAAGTCAGGGAGGAGAAGATGCGAAAGGCTGACGAAATTAGGAACTTCAAGGCTAGTATTCCCGGAAGGTCGAGGGCAATATTTCGCATGTTAGGTGGGGGTTCAAATAATTAGGATTTGTTTAATTATTATGCATGTGCGGTAGAGTACATCTCTACTTTTTTAATTTAAGCAAGTGTGTGTGTGTGTGTTTTTTTTTTTTAATGGTTTTTGAGTCTGGTCTATTTTCTTTAGAGTTATGTATTCTGGATGATGATATGCTAAGGTCTATGTTTTAAGTGTTTCACAAGCAATTTGAAGTATGCTTCTGCCCCGTATTAATATATATATATATTACCAAGAACATTATTCACATCAAGTAATTTTTGTTCTTGATTCTTTAGAATCTGAATTAAACATGTTTTCTGACACAAAAGGTTCAATTTCATGTTTGACACCACCACGCTTTTAACATCTTTATCTTGATAATAACTAAGAAGTAAGAACCAAACAGGATCTCAGTGGCATTATAAAGTACGTTGACATAGATTCATAATAAACAAAGAAAACTCCATAAACACAAGATTCGTGTGGTACATTGTAAAGCATCACATGACATAAGAATTTCTAAAATCCTTGTACCATCAAATTCACTATGTAAATATAATAATCCACCAAAAAAAAACTTAAAACCAGAGATTGACAAGACGAAGACGATCATACCTAAGCAAAGCAGTGAACCGAAGATGCCGCAAAATCCTGCTGAAAATTTCCCTCTAAAGCTACGAAAATCATCCTAACCCTTCAACTCTTATTCCTCTGACTTTTCACACATTCATCAAATTCACAAACATTTTCCTATGATCAACATCATCAGTCTTCGGTCTCATTCCGTTTTGCAGCAGCTTCACTTTCACTCTCTTCCAAAAGCTTCCCAACAGGTTATTCATCAGTTTGCTGAACCTTCTTCTGAGCATCTTTAGCCTTCAAAGCCTGCAACTTGCAGTGATTATAATCGGCAACACCCAACGAACATACCATTTCACTCCCGTGATTTCTCACACTTTTAAACTTTAAAGACTGATCTAAACCAAAAACAAACAATCTCGCCGGTGTAATAAATATATGGCTGAAATGGAATATATATCTAGCATTGCTACTATGTAAATGATTAAGTCGTGTATATGATACTAACACTGACAATGACCAATCCTCAAAATGAATCTAGTAAGTAAAAAAACCCAGAAACTTTTAGTAACACGCAGTACTCAAAATGAGCAAAAGCAATAGAAAAAGGGAGTTAAGTTTACCAAATACCTGTAATAACTTTGAGAGAAGTATAAAAGTCTGCATTCGAACCACATCACAAGGATTACAGAGACATTGAGTAATCTTTGGTATTTAACTATCCAGGCAAACAAACCATTAGCCTTTGGCGTGTAACAGTTAAGTGTTTTTAGCATCTGAGAAAAGACTAATTATATGTAAATGTTCAGTATAGGATTTAACACTGAATCATGGCTGTATAGTGAACACAGAAGTCAGTCAATCGTCACTACAAGATTGTTACGCAAGGCTGCACATTCCCTCTTTTCAAGCTAGTACAAGAGTAAGGCATATCAACGAGTTCACATAGATTAAAATAAACTGCAGAGAGTCGAAACGAGACTGTCTTCATTGAATCGGACTCCTGATATATAAGAAATTTTTTCTTTCAAGAAATATCAGAATGATAAATAAACAGTAGAATCAGCAAACAGAAAATTGATGGACCTGTGCAAAGAGAAGGATATACCTTTAAGCAAGCTTCCCGTCAACCAAACAAAGCTTGCCATGTCAACCATTACCAAGACTGACTATAGAGAGGGGGAGCCTTTTTATTTTTTGATAAATAGTCTTTAAGATATGTCATAATCCAAAACACAAAACAATTGTTTTAAAAATTCAATTGAGCAAGTTAGTGTGTATAATAATACTCCAGTACAATATAAGCCATTAGTTTGGTAGGCTGAGTACTATATTTGATCTTTTTAATATGATCTTACATCTTTCTATGTATCGATATTGAGTTACAAGAACAGCTAATTTTTTGAGGAGTAGCGACTGCGAATGTAGAGGAACAAAGCCGTGGATGCAGCAACCATATAGGGGAAGATCGTCCATACTCCCTGCACAAATATTGGAACCAAAACTTCAAACTTGTATGAAAGCAAATTTACATCAGTTTTCTCTTTCTCTCTCTTTCTCTACTTACCACTGCATTTGCTACTGCTGCAAGAGCAAACATGGGGAGTTCTCTAAGGAGAAACCCAATCACAAGCTGAAACATTTTTTAGAATCAGTATCCTCTAGTTAGTCCTCAGATTCACATTGTAAAAAAGAATCGAAGTCGAATATAAAGAAAGCAGATAAAACTGAAGTGGAAGAGTAATCAAGCCGCCACAACAAACTCCTGCAAAGAACACTCTAGAGATATTCCCTGTAAAGATTCATGTATGATAGGTTTGGTTAACCGTATGCTACATATTGAATCAACTCCGCAACACACTTACAAGAGCCCCGGCAAAGAATGCTGTAGGATTCCTCATTCGCAGAGAAAATCTTTCAACTGCATTCATAGAGACAAAATAAAGTCATTCATCACATTCTAGAAAATCTTTCCACTGCATTCAGTTTGCTACTTACCAAAACCTGAGAGGTTGCCGTACTTTTGGACAGCCTGAGTAATGCTCAGTGCTTTCTCCTTACCTATACCCAGCTTTATATCAAAAAGTAGAAAACAATCGGCTTTTGGGATACAAATATTTGAATCGAAAAATATGTTTTCCTTTTATCAATATCTTAACCCCACAATGAAATTAACTTGGTGAACAAGCCATGTCGTCTGTATTAAATAATCGATGAGGGCTTTTTTAGATTTAGGTTGGCGAAGATTACCAATTCTTCAATTAGGGTTTTTTTCCTCTCTCGGTTTCATGATGACGTCTATGCTTCTGAGCCGGCTCCGCCTTGGGACAGCTAGAAGATTCTCTCGTCTTCTTCTCTCTAATGGCTTCTCATCTTCGATGCTGCAAACCCCTCCTTGTTCCATCCTCGCAGCTAAACCTTGTGGAGAGGGTCTCGGGAAGCTCGGACTATGAGTTTGATGATGAAGAATGGTTCTGATACGGGACAGTTGCTTCAATTTTTTCGGATAAGAAGGTGCCTTTGGAGTTGATAAGAGGAAGTGATGGAATGGTAACGATAGGGGCATCTCATGGCTGGGTGGCTACTTTGACGAAGGACGACGGGATTCTGCGTCTCCAAGATGATCTAAACCCGGTTGCATCAGATGTAAACCCGAAAACGCATCCCGCTGCCTCCTCTTGTAACTCTGCCTGGTTTGCCAAACCGACATCATAACAAACGTGTCAATGTCCTCATCTTCTCCCGAGGATGAAGACTGTGTTGTGGCTTGTCAAGTTCTTGGGACCTCAACTCAGCTTTTGCAGACCCGCTCAAAGCAACTCCCAGTGGACCAACGTGAGAGATCGAAAACCCCTGTTTTCTTCTCCTCCCGAGTCATGTTTTCCAAGGGCATGTTTCGCATTCCCGGATCTGGTGGGCATCTCATTGGATCATGGGATCTCAACCACCACACATCGAAGTTTCAGGAGTTGCATTTTCAAACCTTCCCGAGCTGACCAAGACCCAACGAGAGCTTCTAGATTTGTGTTTTACGAGGCCAACACTTGGTTAGAGTCACCAGCTTGTTGAGACCTTCGTGGTTACGTGGTACAGGAAGACTGATGCGGAGACCATCAATGGGTATATCCAAATTGAAGACAGAAGCTTAATGGTGTTCAAGCTGAATGAATACGGAAGTGCTGTTTTACACCCAAGACATTGGAGATCTCTGCATTTTCCTCTCAAAGTCTGAACCTTTCGCTGTCTCTGCTACCTCCTTTCCAGGCAATCTTGTCTAACCACGTCGTAATCTATGATTTCGATGAACTCATATTGTCCAGCTAGATGAGGTCTGATTCTCCCATCTTCCTTGGTGACATTGCTACATTCGGGGCCCCTTATCATATTCCACCTCAAAATATATAAGACGGAATTGTGTCTGTCTTTGAAATTGAATGAGAGTCATGCATCCAGAATTAAAAAGCTTTGGTGCATGCACAAGCTGCTGTTGTTGTTGCTGTTTTTTTTTGAAGTATTATTGCTTTTGATGTTTCATCTAAACCAAATTTCAGTTAGTTCAAATTTCATATACTCTCAGTCTCTCATAATCTTTCATGCATCATGCATGTGTAAGTTTTTATCAAAGAATCCGAAAACTTCTTTTAGAATCTGTACACACGTTTAAGGTCTACAAATTTTGTATCGATAGATTACCTTAGATGGTTTGTGAGTTTTAGCAATTGACAGGAGATGCTATTCTGTTGTGGAATGTGTTGCATGTGGAGCCAGTGCCATGATTGATTCTGCAGAAGAAAGAAGATAGTCAATTGGAAATAAAGTAATTGGTCTAGGGAAGCTGGAAAATAATGTGATATAGACTTGTGGAACATAACCGGAATTGGTGATTGGTTTTGATGGCGGAATGTGTCAAGTCCGAGACTTAGATCAAGATTATTGAGGCGTTGGATAGATCTTATTGCAAGGAATCCATTGCATTTTACAGCTCGTCAATCTGAAATAAACTCGAGCAGTGGTGAGATTTTCTTCCTGTCCAAGTAACAGCTAAAACTGGTCAAATCTGAAACCTAGAAACCAGATCCGAGAAGGCTTCTTGAGAGAGAAGTTTGGGAGTCTAAACTTACTCCGATCTGTCTTTGTACTTGCAGAGAGTTGTCTTTGTACTTCCTGTCCAAGTGTCTGCGAAAATACCGAATCACTTGTTGAGGAAGTAACACGATGTCTTTGTACTTGCAGAGAGTTGTGTAGTCGGTTGGTTGCTAGAAAATAAAAAGGAAATTTGAAAATTATTAAGTAATTACCATTTTAATTAAATAGAAGAATAGGATTTTAACTTTTCTTAATAATGTTAAGTGGTTTGCTATAAATATGATGTATGCTCATAGAAGAGCAAGAACCACAGAACCCCGACACTCTCTCTCGCTCACAATCTCTCTTAAGTCTTAACCAAAGACTAATCATGAATGCTTTGAGAAACCTAAGGAAGAACATGGCGTCACTGTCGCTCTCGTCCAAGCGTGGTACCTCTTCATCTTCATCAAGCTCCTCGTCTGCCTTCGACTTGTCACCCAAAGAAATTGAAAAGTACAGGGGCATGACGATATTTGACATATCATTACGTCTACAGATAAACGGTCCTTTCCTTGTCGACGCATACAAACTGGATAACCAAGCTAACGACATACTAATGAAGAGGGAGGCTGAAACAAAATACAAAGCGTTCATGAAGTTGGCTGAAGCAAACAATAATAATGAGGATTACATTAGGTTGGCAATCAATGCAAAGAATGAAAGTGATGATCTTCTTAAAGTCAGGGAGGAGAAGATGCGAAAGGCTGACGAAATTAGGAACTTCAAGGCTAGTATTCCCGGAAGGTCGAGGGCAATATTTCGCATGTTAGGTGGGGGTTCAAATAATTAGGATTTGTTTAATTATGCATGTGCGGTAGAGTACATCTCTACTTTTTAATTTAAGCAAGTGTGTGTGTGTGTGTTTTTTTTTTTTAATGGTTTTTGAGTCTGGTCTATTTTCTTTAGAGTTATGTATTCTGGATGATGATATGCTAAGGTCTATGTTTTAAGTGTTTCACAAGCAATTTGAAGTATGCTTCTGCCCCGTATTAATATATATATATTACCAAGAACATTATTCACATCAAGTAATACTGCAACCAGAGAAGGGAATCATATCAACTGATAAGTAAAAAGGCTCTAAAAACTCATGAACAGTACAATAGCATCCAAGTATATAAATCACATAACGTTACAACATCAAGGGCTAAAACAGATAAACATCTATGTTATTTTTGTTTTGTATAAGTGCCTTACTGGGAAGGGAATATCATCAACTAATAACTGCAGAGGTTCTAAAAATCATGAACAGAAGGGAAGACTCATCATTCTCAAAACAGAACCCCACCGTTACATCTATAGCTTGCAGTATCATGAAGAACGCCACAAATTTACAACCAGATCCGACATCGTTTCGACTTCCAAACGTTGCCTTTAAAAACGCATCGCTGAATAAGAAGTTATATTAAAACCTAAAGAATAAGAATTTGAAGTCAATTACCTTGGTGTTGTGTGACCAAAGTAGTGCACAAGAGCCTTATCAAGAGGAAACCCTTCAACAGGATCCACAAGCATTTTGATAGGAGTAGCAGAAACAGTTCCCGGTATGGTTATTGAGCTTTGTCCAATGTTAAGGTCTACAAATGTCGGTTTCCAACCATCTTTCACTGCCCAATTCAGAAGCACCTTAGCCGATGTACTCTTCCCAGAGTCTATATCCCGTACAATGACAACCATCGAACAAAACCATAAAAGAAAACCGAGAGTTCAAGTTGCTACAAGGCTTCTTGGTTCATAGATAAACTCAGTTAATATGAACTAGCACATGTTTTGTCAAGTGATTCTGATGAAGTGGTTCAAGCTTCTTCTATGGCCTTTTACTATATCATTTTGTTGTTGGATGTTTAAAAAGGTGTCAAAGATTTGTTGTTCTCTTGGTGAAAAACTTAATGGAAACAAACCTCTGTGTCCTACCCTGTCATCTATCATATTCATGAAAGACAAAAACATGTGAAAACTTCTACCAGTATCAATAATGTTAAGATTGAGGCCATAGAAGAAGCTTGAAAACACAGTTGTACGTGAAACTTCATCGGTATTCACCACAGGCATTACACGTGTATGATGACTTTTGATGAATAGAGTAAAGTCAAAGTGTATAAGAGAAGCAAATACGTACGTACCTCTAAAAAGTCTCTAACAACAAGATGATTTGTAATGTTAGATCCACAACACGGCGACTTCTTTCCAAGCTGACCAAGACCCTTACTTAAATCTAGAACAAAACAAACAAAAACAAAAAAAAATTCTAGAACAAAACTTGTAAGCCTTTTTTCATACATTGGAAACACAAGAACACTGAGCCTCCTCAACTCCTTGGTAGAAGATCCAACTTGACTTTTATTGACTTAGTCTCGGACTTGACACATTCCGCCATCACAACCATCACCAATTCCGGTTATGTTCCACAAGTCTATCACATTATTTTCCTGCTTCACTAGACCAATATAACGAAAAGTTATATTTTTGACTTTATCTTCCAATTGACTATCTTCTTTCTTCTGCAGAATCAATCATGGCACTGGCTCCCATTGCTAAAACTCACAAACCAATCTAAGGTAAATCTATCTATACAAAATTTGTAGACCTTAAACATGTGTACAGATTCTAAAGAAGTTTTGGATTATTTTGATAGAACTTACACATGAAAGATTATGAGAGAGACTGAGAGTATATGAAATTTGAACTAACTGAAATTTGGTTTCGAAATACAGTTACATGCATAATCAAATCTAAATAAAAGCAAGAAAGTCGACTCTCACTCGATTCCAAATATTACTTGTGTATATTTTGAGGCGGAATATAGTAAGGGGACGGGTTTCTGGTACTCCTCCAAATCAGGGGGAAACTAGTCAGGCTGAAATATGCGATTTCATCGAAATCCCTGATGACAACGTAGTTAGAATACACGCCTGGAAAGGAGGTAGCAGAGACAGCGAAAGGTTCAGATTTTGAGAGGAAAATGCAGAGATCTCCAATGTCTTGGGTGTAAACAGCACTTCCGTATTCATTCACCTTGAACACCATTAAAGCTTCTGTCTTCAATTTTGCTATACCATTGATGGTCTCCGCATCAGTCTTCCTGTACTGCTTAACCAAGAAAGTCTCACCAGCTGGTGATTCCACCAAGTGTTGGCTCCTGTAGCACGAACGCAAAAGCTCTCGTTTGATCTTGGTCAGCTCGGGAAGGTTTTGAAAATGCAAATCCTGAAACTTCGATGTGTGGTGGTTGAGATCCCATGATCCAATGAGGTGCCCACCAGATCCGGGAATGCGAAACATGCCCTTGGAAAACATGACTCGGGAGGAGAAGAAACAAGGGTTTTCGATTCTCACGTTGGTCCACTGGGAGTTGCTTTGAGCGGGTCTGCAAAAGCTGAGTTGAGGTCCCAAGAACTTGACAGCCACAACACAGTCTTCATCCTCGGGAGAAGATGAGGACATTGACACGTTTGTTATGATGTCGGTTTGGCAACCAGGCAGAGTTACAAGAGGAGGCAGCGGGATGCGTTTCGGGTTTACATCTGATGCAACCGGGTTTAGATCATCTTGGAGACGCAGAATCCCGTCGTCCTTCGTCAAAGTAGCCACCCAGCCATGAGATGCCCCTATCGTTACCATTCTTTTATTATAAAGAAAATTGTACACCAACTCCATAGGCACCTTCTTACCCAATTTAGTGAAGTCATCTCTATTAGCATTCGAAATGATGAGCCTTCCCATACGTCCTCCGCAGTGCTCAGCGCCCATGATGGTACAAGGAGGGGTTTGTAGCGGGGTAGATGAGAAGCCATTAGAGAGAAGAAGACGAGAGAATCTTTTCACCGACGCAGAGCGGCTGAGAAACAAAGACATGACTGTTCTTAACCGAGAAGCCAAAAAATTTAAGAGACGAAAAAAACCCTAATTGAAGAATTGGTGATGGTTGTTCAATTTTTTTTTTCACCTATAAAACAGAGGGATGATGACCTTGGCCACCAAGTTTTTTTTTTTTTTTTTTTTTTACTTTTTTAAAAATAAGATATTTACGGTTGCCACATGTGTGATTTTCAAAGGGTCATTTCCTCTTTGATGAGCAGAAGTTGAACTACGCCCTTGAAATTAAACCACCAATCTGATAGAAGTAATTCTATCGAAGTTTACGGTTTAGGTGTAGAGGGTGAGATCCTTGGTCACTCCATAGAAGTAATTCTGTGCAGAAGCAAATTGAAAGATCTCTTCTTTAATCAAAAACATATTAAAAAAAAAAAAAGAACAAATTATTGAAATCTTCATCAAAGCGAAAAGTCTACCTGAATATTAGTGTTCCTCACTGTTTTGCTAAACTGAGAGCTCCTAGAGAAGACACCAGCTGACCTCTCAAGATTCAAGACAGAGATCAATGAAGGGAAATATTGTATGTTTCTTGATTTAGGGTTAAGCCAGAGAAAAAAGATTTGATACATTACTTGACCAAGGACAATAACTAAAGATGCATTAAACGTCTTTATTGCATGGAGAAGCAGCTGCAATTTTAAAACATGATACCATATCAGAAATCTTGTAGTTCATAGCAAAAGTACATAACAAAAGTTGGTTCACGAAAAACCGAAAAAGAAGAAAGAAAAATTAGGTTATATTAAAACCTAAAAAATCAGAATTTGAAGTCAATTACCTTGGTGTTATGTGACCAAAGTAGTGCACAAGAGGAAACCCTTCAACAGTGTGAGACCCAACCTCTCATTAAGCCATTATGGGCCCAGCAAAGCAAAAACCTAAAACGTGTCATGTATTTAAGCGTAAGCATCTTCTTCTTCGTGAAGCCGTTTTCAACACCATCCCTTCTCGACCTTGACGTTGGGAAGCTGCAGCAAATTTCGATCTCAAGTCACCGTCATCCACCGTGGTTGAGTTTGTTTGTGTGCGTTGTTTAGTACGGACTTGAAAGTAAGAGAGGAATAAACGAACGGTGAAGGAGATCGGAGAGATCGTAACCGTCGGAGCAACCGCTAGCCACCATTGTTCCTTTGGGTAAGGAAATGTAACTTAATTACGTATTCTTTCCTGCAAGTCCATGGGTTTGTTCTTTGAAATCCTTTTCTTAAAGCTGATTTTTTTTTTTATGGTGAAGAAGAAGAAGAAACGACTTGCAAGTAAGGGTTTTGGTAAACAGTTTATCGTCAAACCAGAATGACTTAGATCAAGATTATTGAGGCGTTGGATAGATCTTATTGCAAGGAATCCATTGCATTTTACAGCTCGTCAATCTGAAATAAACTCGAGCAGTGGTGAGATTTTCTTCCTGTCCAAGTAACAGCTAAAACTGGTCAAATCTGAAACCTAGAAACCAGATCCGAGAAGGCTTCTTGAGAGAGAAGTTTGGGAGTCTAAACTTACTCCGATCTGTCTTTGTACTTGCAGAGAGTTGTCTTTGTACTTCCTGTCCAAGTGTCTGCGAAAATACCGAATCACTTGTTGAGGAAGTAACACGATGTCTTTGTACTTGCAGAGAGTTGTGTACGTCGGTTGGTTGCTAGAAAATAAAAAGGAAATTTGAAAATTATTAAGTAATTACCATTTTAATTAAATAGAAGAATAGGATTTTAACTTTTCTTAATAATGTTAAGTGGTTTGCTATAATATGATGTATGCTCATAGAAGAGCAAGAACCACAGAACCCCGACACTCTCTCTCGCTCACAATCTCTCTTAAGTCTTAACCAAAGACTAATCATGAATGCTTTGAGAAACCTAAGGAAGAACATGGCGTCACTGTCGCTCTCGTCCAAGCGTGGTACCTCTTCATTCATCAAGCTCCTCGTCTGCCTTCGACTTGTCACCCAAAGAAATTGAAAAGTACAGGGGCATGACGATATTTGACATATCATTACGTCTACAGATAAACGGTCCTTTCCTTGTCGACGCATACAAACTGGATAACCAAGCTAACGACATACTAATGAAGGCGAGGGAGGCTGAAACAAAATACAAAGCGTTCATGAAGTTGGCTGAAGCAAACAATAATAATGAGGATTACATTAGGTTGGCAATCAATGCAAAGAATGAAAGTGATGATCTTCTTAAAGTCAGGGAGGAGAAGATGCGAAAGGCTGACGAAATTAGGAACTTCAAGGCTAGTATTCCCGGAAGGTCGAGGGCAATATTTCGCATGTTAGGTGGGGGTTCAAATAATTAGGATTGTTTTAATTATTATGCATGTGCGGTAGAGTACATCTCTACTTTTTTAATTTAAGCAAGTGTGTGTGTGTGTTTTTTTTTTTTAATGGTTTTTGAGTCTGGTCTATTTTCTTTAGAGTTATGTATTCTGGATGGATATGCTAAGGTCTATGTTTTAAGTGTTTCACAAGCAATTTGAAGTATGCTTCTGCCCCGTATTAATATATATTATATTACCAAGAACATTATTCACATCAAGTAATTTTTGTTCTTGATTCTTTAGAATCTGAATTAAACATGTTTTCTGACACAAAAGGTTCAATTTCATGTTTGACACCACCACGCTTTTAACATCTTTATCTTGATAATAACTAAGAAGTAAGAACCAAACAGGATCTCAGTGGCATTATAAAGTACGTTGACATAGATTCATAAAACAAAGAAAACTCCAAACACAAGATTCGTGTGGTACATTGTAAAGCATCACATGACATAAGAATTTCTAAAATCCTTGTACCATCAAATTCACTATGTAAATAATAATCCACCAAAAAAAACTTAAAACCAGAGATTGACAAGACGAAGACGATCATAAAGCAAAGCAGTGAACCGAAGATGCCGCAAAATCCTGCTGAAAATTTCCCTCTAAAGCTACGAAAATCATCCTAACCCTTCAACTCTTATTCCTCTGACTTTTCACACATTCATCAAATTCACAAACATTTTCCTATGATCAACATCATCAGTCTTCGGTCTCATTCCGTTTTGCAGCAGCTTCACTTTCACTCTCTTCCAAAAGCTTCCCAACAGGTTATTCATCAGTTTGCTGAACCTTCTTCTGAGCATCTTTAGCCTTCAAAGCCTGCAACTTGCAGTGATTATAATCGGCAACACCCAACGAACATACCATTTCACTCCCGTGATTTCTCACACTTTTAAACTTTAAAGACTGATCTAAACCAAAAACAAACAATCTCGCCGGTGTAATAAATATATGGCTGAAATGGAATTATATCTAGCATTGCTACTATGTAAATGATTAAGTCGTGTATATGATAAACACTGACAATGACCAATCCTCAAAATGAATCTAGTAAGTAAAAAAACCCAGAAACTTTTAGTAACACGCAGTACTCAAAATGAGCAAAAGCAATAGAAAAAGGGAGTTAAGTTTACCAAATACCTGTAATAACTTTGAGAGAAGTATAAAAGTCTGCATTCGAACCACATCACAAGGATTACAGAGACATTGAGTAATCTTTGGTATTTAACTATCCAGGCAAACAAACCATTAGCCTTTGGCGTGTAACAGTTAAGTGTTTTTAGCATCTGAGAAAAGACTAATTATATGTAAATGTTCAGTATAGGATTTAACACTGAATCATGGCTGTATAGTGAACACAGAAGTCAGTCAATCGTCACTACAAGATTGTTACGCAAGGCTGCACATTCCCTCTTTTCAAGCTAGTACAAGAGTAAGGCATATCAACGAGTTCACATAGATTAAAATAAACTGCAGAGAGTCGAAACGAGACTGTCTTCATTGAATCGGACTCCTGATATATAAGAAATTTTTCTTTCAAGAAATATCAGAATGATAAATAAACAGTAGAATCAGCAAACAGAAAATTGATGGACCTGTGCAAAGAGAAGGATATACCTTTAAGCAAGCTTCCCGTCAACCAAACAAAGCTTGCCATGTCAACCATTACCAAGACTGACTATAGAGAGGGGGAGCCTTTTTATTTTTTGATAAATAGTCTTTAAGATATGTCATAATCCAAAACACAAAACAATTGTTTTAAAAATTCAATTGAGCAAGTTAGTGTTATAATAATACTCCAGTACAATATAAGCCATTAGTTTGGTAGGCTGAGTACTATATTTGATCTTTTTAATATGATCTTACATCTTTCTATGTATCGATATTGAGTTACAAGAACAGCTAATTTTTTGAGGAGTAGCGACTGCGAATGTAGAGGAACAAAGCCGTGGATGCAGCAACCATATAGGGGAAGATCGTCCATACTCCCTGCACAAATATTGGAACCAAAACTTCAAACTTGTATGAAAGCAAATTTACATCAGTTTTCTCTTTCTCTCTCTTTCTCTACTTACCACTGCATTTGCTACTGCTGCAAGAGCAAACATGGGGAGTTCTCTAAGGAGAAACCCAATCACAAGCTGAAACATTTTTTAGAATCAGTATCCTCTAGTTAGTCCTCAGATTCACATTGTAAAAAAGAATCGAAGTCGAATATAAAGAAAGCAGATAAAACTGAAGTGGAAGAGTAATCAAGCCGCCACAACAAACTCCTGCAAAGAAACACTCTAGAGATATTCCCTGTAAAGATTCATGTATGATAGGTTTGGTTAACCGTATGCTACATATTGAATCAACTCCGCAACACACTTACAAGAGCCCCGGCAAAGAATGCTGTAGGATTCCTCATTCGCAGAGAAAATCTTTCAACTGCATTCATAGAGACAAAATAAAGTCATTCATCATTCTAGAAAATCTTTTCCACTGCATTCAGTTTGCTACTTACCAAAACCTGAGAGGTTGCCGTACTTTTGGACAGCCTGAGTAATGCTCAGTGCTTTCTCCTTACCTATACCCAGCTTTATATCAAAAAGTAGAAAACAATCGGCTTTTGGGATACAAATATTTGAATCGAAAAATATGTTTTCCTTTTATCAATATCTTAACCCCACAAATGAAATTAACTTGGTGAACAAGGCCATGTCGTCTGTATTAAATAATCGATGAGGGCTTTTTTAGATTTAGGTGGCGAAGATTACCAATTCTTCAATTAGGGTTTTTTTCCTCTCTCGGTTCATGATGACGTCTATGCTTCTGAGCCGGCTCCGCCTTGGGACAGCTAGAAGATTCTCTCGTCTTCTTCTCTCTAATGGCTTCTCATCTTCGATGCTGCAAACCCCTCCTTGTTCCATCCTCGCAGCTAAACCTTGTGGAGAGGGTCTCGGGAAGCTCGTGACTATGAGTTTGATGATGAAGAATGGTTCTGATACGGACAGTTGCTTCAATTTTTCGGATAAGAAGGTGCCTTTGGAGTTGATAAGAGGAAGTGATGGAATGGTAACGATAGGGGCATCTCATGGCTGGGTGGCTACTTTGACGAAGGACGACGGGATTCTGCGTCTCCAAGATGATCTAAACCCGGTTGCATCAGATGTAAACCCGAAACGCATCCCGCTGCCTCCTCTTGTAACTCTGCCTGGTTGCCAAACCGACATCATAACAAACGTGTCAATGTCCTCATCTTCTCCCGAGGATGAAGACTGTGTTGTGGCTGTCAAGTTCTTGGGACCTCAACTCAGCTTTTGCAGACCCGCTCAAAGCAACTCCCAGTGGACCAACGTGAGAATCGAAAACCCCTGTTTCTTCTCCTCCCGAGTCATGTTTTCCAAGGGCATGTTTCGCATTCCCGGATCTGGTGGGCATCTCATTGGATCATGGGATCTCAACCACCACACATCGAAGTTTCAGGAGTTGCATTTTCAAAACCTTCCCGAGCTGACCAAGACCCAACGAGAGCTTCTAGATTTGTGTTTTACGAGCCAACACTTGGTAGAGTCACCAGCTGGTGAGACCTTCTTGGTTACGTGGTACAGGAAGACTGATGCGGAGACCATCAATGGTATATCAAAATTGAAGACAGAAGCTTTAAATGGTGTTCAAGCTGAATGAATACGGAAGTGCTGTTTACACCCAAGACATTGGAGATCTCTGCATTTTCCTCTCAAAGTCTGAACCTTTCGCTGTCTCTGCTACCCTCCTTTCCAGGCATCTTGTCTAACCACGTCGTAATCTATGATTTCGATGAACTCATATTTGTCCAGCTAGATGAGGCTGATTCTCCCATCGTCCTTGGTGACATTGCTACATTCGGGGCCCCTTATCATATCCACCTCAAAATATATAAGACGGAATTGTGTCTGTCTTTGAAATTGAATGAGAGTCATGCATCCAGAATTAAAAAGCTTTGGTGCATGCACAAGCTGCTGTTGTTGTTGCTGTTTTTTTTGAAGTATTATTGCTTTTGATGTTTCCTCTAAACCAAATTTCAGTTAGTTCAAATTTCATATACTCTCAGTCTCTCATAATCTTTCATGCATCATGCATGTGTAAGTTTTATCAAAAGAATCCGAAAACTTCTTTTAGAATCTGTACACACGTTTAAGGTCTACAAATTTTGTATCGATAGATTTACCTTAGATTGGTTTGTGAGTTTTAGCAATTGACAGGAGATGCTATTCTGTTGTGGAATGTGTTGCATGTGGAGCCAGTGCCATGATTGATTCTGCAGAAAGAAGATAGTCAATTGGAAGATAAAGTTGGTCTAGGGAAGCTGGAAAATAATGTGATATAGACTTGTGGAACATAACCGGAATTGGTGGTTGTGATGGCGGAATGTGTCAAGTCCGAGACTTAGATCAAGATTATTGAGGCGTTGGATAGATCTTATTGCAAGGAATCCATTGCATTTTACAGCTCGTCAATCTGAAATAAACTCGAGCAGTGGTGAGATTTTCTTCCTGTCCAAGTAACAGCTAAAACTGGTCAAATCTGAAACCTAGAAACCAGATCCGAGAAGGCTTCTTGAGAGAGAAGTTTGGGAGTCTAAACTTACTCCGATCTGTCTTTGTACTTGCAGAGAGTTGTCTTTGTACTTCCTGTCCAAGTGTCTGCGAAAATACCGAATCACTTGTTGAGGAAGTAACACGATGTCTTTGTACTTGCAGAGAGTTGTGTACGTCGGTTGGTTGCTAGAAAATAAAAGGAAATTTGAAAATTATTAAGTAATTACCATTTTAATTAAATAGAAGAATAGGATTTTAACTTTTCTTAATAATGTTAAGTGGTTTGCTATAAATATGATGTATGCTCATAGAAGAGCAAGAACCACAGAACCCCGACACTCTCTCGCTCACAATCTCTCTTAAGTCTTAACCAAAGACTAATCATGAATGCTTTGAGAAACCTAAGGAAGAACATGGCGTCACTGTCGCTCTCGTCCAAGCGTGGTACCTCTTCATCTTCATCAAGCTCCTCGTCTGCCTTCGACTTGTCACCCAAAGAAATTGAAAAGTACAGGGGCATGACGATATTTGACATATCATTACGTCTACAGATAAACGGTCCTTTCCTTGTCGACGCATACAAACTGGATAACCAAGCTAACGACATACTATGAAGGCGAGGGAGGCTGAAACAAAATACAAAGCGTTCATGAAGTTGGCTGAAGCAAACAATAATGAGGATTACATTAGGTTGGCAATCAATGCAAAGAATGAAAGTGATGATCTTCTTAAAGTCAGGGAGGAGAAGATGCGAAAGGCTGACGAAATTAGGAACTTCAAGGCTAGTATTCCCGGAAGGTCGAGGGCAATATTTCGCATGTTAGGTGGGGGTTCAAATAATTAGGATTTGTTTAATTATTATGCATGTGCGGTAGAGTACATCTCTACTTTTTTAATTTAAGCAAGTGTGTGTGTGTGTTTTTTTTTTTTAATGGTTTTTGAGTCTGGTCTATTTTCTTTAGAGTTATGTATTCTGGATGATGATATGCTAAGGTCTATGTTTTAAGTGTTTCACAAGCAATTTGAAGTATGCTTCTGCCCCGTATTAATATATATATTACCAAGAACATTATTCACATCAAGTAATACTGCAACCAGAGAAGGGAATCATATCAACTGATAAGTAAAAAGGCTCTAAAAACTCATGAACAGTACAATAGCATCCAAGTAATATAAATCACATAACGTTACAACATCAAGGGCTAAAACAGATAAACATCTATGTTTATTTTTGTTTTGTATAAGTGCCTTACTGGGAAGGGAATATCATCAACTAATAACTGCAGAGGTTCTAAAAATCATGAACAGAAGGGAAGACTCATCATTCTCAAAACAGAACCCCACCGTTACATCTATAGCTTGCAGTATCATGAAGAACGCCACAAATGTTACAACCAGATCCGACATCGTTTCGACTTCCAAACGTTGCCTTTATAAAACCGCATCGCTGAATAAGAAGTTATATTAAAACCTAAAGAATAAGAATTTGAAGTCAAATTACCTTGGTGTTGTTGTGACCAAAGTAGTGCACAAGAGCCTATCAAGAGGAAACCCTTCAACAGGATCCACAAGCATTTTGCTAGGAGTAGCAGAAACAGTTCCCGGTATGGTTATTGAGCTTTGTCCAATGTTAAGGTCTACAAATGTCGGTTTTCCAACCATCTTTCACTGCCAAATTCAGAAGCACCTTAGCCGATGTACTCTTCCCAGAGTCTATATCCCTACAATGACAACCATCGAACAAAAACCATAAAAGAAAACCGAGAGTTCAATGTTGCTACAAGGCTTCCTTGGTTCATAGATAAACTCAGTTAATATGAACTAGCACATGTTTTGTCAAGTATTCTGATGAAGTGGTTCAAGCTTCTTCTATGGCCTTTTAACTATATCATTTTGTTGGTTGGATGTTTAAAAAGGTGTCAAAGATTTGTTGTTCTCTTGGTGAAAAACGTAATGGAAACAAACCTCTGTGTCCTACCCTGTCATCTCTCATATTCATGAAAGACAAAACATGTGAAAACTTCTACCAGTATCAATAATGTTAAGATTGAGGCCATAGAAGAAGCTTGAAACAACAGTTGTACGTGAAACTTCATCGGTATTCACACAGGCATTACACGTGTAATGATGACTTTTGATGAATAGAGTAAAGTCAAGTGTATAGAGAAGCAAAATACGTACGTACCTCTAAAAGTCTCTAACAACAAGATTGATTTGTAATGTTAGATCCACAACACGGCGACTTCTTTCCAAGCTGACCAAGACCCTTAAATCTAGAACAAAACAAAACAAACAAACAAAAAAAAAAATTCTAGAACAAAACTTGTAAGCCTTTTTCATACATTGGAAACACAAGAACACTGAGCCTCCTCACTCCTTGGTAGAAGATCCAACGTTACTTTTATTGACTTAGTCTCGGACTTGACACATTCCGCCATCACAACCATCACCAATTCCGGTTATGTTCCACAAGTCTATCACATTATTTTCCTGCTTCACTAGACCAATATAACGAAAAGTTATATTTTTGACTTTATCTTCCAATTGACTATCTTCTTTCTTCTGCAGAAATCAATCATGGCACTGGCTCCCATTGCCTAAAACTCACAACCAATCTAAGGTAAATCTATCTATACAAAATTTGTAGACCTTAAACATGTGTACAGATTCTAAAGAAGTTTTTCGGATTATTTGATAGAACTTACACATGAAAGATTATGAGAGACTGAGAGTATATGAAATTTGAACTAACTGAAATTTGGTTTCGAGGAAATACAGTTACATGCATAATCAAATCTAAATAAAAGCAAGAAAGTCGACTCTCACTCGATTCCAAATATTACTTGTGTATATTTTGAGGCGGAATATAGTAAGGGGACGGGTTTCTGGTACTCCTCCAAATCAGGGGGAAACTAGTCAGGCTGAAATATGCGATTTCATCGAAATCCCTGATGACAACGTAGTTAGAATACACGCCTGGAAAGGAGGTAGCAGAGACAAGCGAAAGGTTCAGATTTTGAGAGGAAAATGCAGAGATCTCCAATGTCTTGGGTGTAAACAGCACTTCCGTATTCATTCACCTTGAACACCATTAAAGCTTCTGTCTTCAATTTTGCTATACCATTGATGGTCTCCGCATCAGTCTTCCTGTACTGCTTAACCAAGAAAGTCTCACCAGCTGGTGATTCCACCAAGTGTTGGCTCCTGTAGCACGAACGCAAAAGCTCTCGTTTGATCTTGGTCAGCTCGGGAAGGTTTTGAAAATGCAAATCCTGAAACTTCGATGTGTGGTGGTTGAGATCCCATGATCCAATGAGGTGCCCACCAGATCCGGGAATGCGAAACATGCCCTTGGAAAACATGACTCGGGAGGAGAAGAAACAAGGGTTTTCGATTCTCACGTTGGTCCACTGGGAGTTGCTTTGAGCGGGTCTGCAAAAGCTGAGTTGAGGTCCCAAGAACTTGACAGCCACAACACAGTCTTCATCCTCGGGAGAAGATGAGGACATTGACACGTTTGTTATGATGTCGGTTTGGCAACCAGGCAGAGTTACAAGAGGAGGCAGCGGGATGCGTTTCGGGTTTACATCTGATGCAACCGGGTTTAGATCATCTTGGAGACGCAGAATCCCGTCGTCCTTCGTCAAAGTAGCCACCCAGCCATGAGATGCCCCTATCGTTACCATTCTTTTATTATAAAGAAAATTGTACACCAACTCCATAGGCACCTTCTTACCCAATTTAGTGAAGTCATCTCTATTAGCATTCGAAATGATGAGCCTTCCCATACGTCCTCCGCAGTGCTCAGCGCCCATGATGGTACAAGGAGGGGTTTGTAGCGGGGTAGATGAGAAGCCATTAGAGAGAAGAAGACGAGAGAATCTTTTCAACCGACGCAGAGCGGCTGAGAAACAAAGACATGACTGTTCTTAACCGAGAAGCCAAAAAATTTAAGAGACGAAAAAAACCCTAATTGAAGAATTGGTGATGGTTGTTCAATTTTTTTTTTTCACCTATAAAACAGAGGGATGATGACCTTGGCCACCAAGTTTTTTTTTTTTTTTTTTTTTTTTACTTTTTTAAAAATAAGATATTTACGGTTGCCACATGTGTGATTTTCAAAGGGTCATTTCCTCTTTGATGAGCAAAGTTGAACTACGCCCTTGAAATTAAAACCACCAATCTGATAGAAGTAATTCTATCGAAGTTTACGGTTTAGGTGTAGAGGGTGAGATCCTTGGTCACTCCATAGAAGTAATTCTGTGCAGAAGCAAATTGAAAGATCTCTTCTTTAATCAAAAACATATTATAAAAAAAAAAAAGAACAAATTATTGAAATCTTCATCAAAGCGAAAAGTCTACCTGAATATTAGTGTTCCTCACTGTTTTGCTAAACTGAGAGCTCCTAGAGAAGACACCAGCTGACCTCTCAAGATTCAAGACAGAGATCAATGAAGGGAAATATTGTATGTTTCTTGATTTAGGGTTAAGCCAGAGAAAAAAGATTTGATACATTACTTGACCAAGGACAATAACTAAAGATGCATTAAACGTCTTTATTGCATGGAGAAGCAGCTGCAATTTAAAACATGATACCATATCAGAAATCTTGTAGTTCATAGCAAAAGTACATAACAAAAGTTGGTTCACGAAAAACCGAAAAAGAAGAAAGAAAAATTAGGTTATATTAAAACCTAAAAAATCAGAATTTGAAGTCAATTACCTTGGTGTTATGTGACCAAAGTAGTGCACAAGAGGAAACCCTTCAACAGTGTGAGACCCAACCTCTCATTAAGCCATTATGGGCCCAGCAAAGCAAAAACCTAAAACGTGTCATGTATTTAAGCGTAAGCATCTTCTTCTTCGTGAAGCCGTTTTCAACACCATCCCTTCTCGACCTTGACGTTGGGAAGCTGCAGCAAATTTCGATCTCAAGTCACCGTCATCCACCGTGGTTGAGTTTGTTTGTGTGCGTTGTTTAGTACGGACTTGAAAGTAAGAGAGGAATAAACGAACGGTGAAGGAGATCGGAGAGATCGTAACCGTCGGAGCAACCGCTAGCCACCATTGTTCCTTTGGGTAAGGAAATGTAACTTAATTACGTATTCTTTCCTGCAAGTCCATGGGTTTGTTCTTTGAAATCCTTTTCTTAAAGCTGATTTTTTTTTTTATGGTGAAGAAGAAGAAGAAACGACTTGCAAGTAAGGGTTTTGGTAAACAGTTTATCGTCAAACCAGAATGACTTAGATCAAGATTATTGAGGCGTTGGATAGATCTTATTGCAAGGAATCCATTGCATTTTACAGCTCGTCAATCTGAAATAAACTCGAGCAGTGGTGAGATTTTCTTCCTGTCCAAGTAACAGCTAAAACTGGTCAAATCTGAAACCTAGAAACCAGATCCGAGAAGGCTTCTTGAGAGAGAAGTTTGGGAGTCTAAACTTACTCCGATCTGTCTTTGTACTTGCAGAGAGTTGTCTTTGTACTTCCTGTCCAAGTGTCTGCGAAAATACCGAATCACTTGTTGAGGAAGTAACACGATGTCTTTGTACTTGCAGAGAGTTGTGTACGTCGGTTGGTTGCTAGAAAATAAAAAGGAAATTTGAAAATTATTAAGTAATTACCATTTTAATTAAATAGAAGAATAGGATTTTAACTTTTCTTAATAATGTTAAGTGGTTTGCTATAAATATGATGTATGCTCATAGAAGAGCAAGAACCACAGAACCCCGACACTCTCTCTCGCTCACAATCTCTCTTAAGTCTTAACCAAAGACTAATCATGAATGCTTTGAGAAACCTAAGGAAGAACATGGCGTCACTGTCGCTCTCGTCCAAGCGTGGTACCTCTTCATCTTCATCAAGCTCCTCGTCTGCCTTCGACTTGTCACCCAAGAAATTGAAAAGTACAGGGGCATGACGATATTTGACATATCATTACGTCTACAGATAAACGGTCCTTTCCTTGTCGACGCATACAAACTGGATAACCAAGCTAACGACATACTAATGAAGGCGAGGGAGGCTGAAACAAAATACAAAGCGTTCATGAAGTTGGCTGAAGCAAACAATAATAATGAGGATTACATTAGGTTGGCAATCAATGCAAAGAATGAAAGTGATGATCTTCTTAAAGTCAGGGAGGAGAAGATGCGAAAGGCTGACGAAATTAGGAACTTCAAGGCTAGTATTCCCGGAAGGTCGAGGGCAATATTTCGCATGTTAGGTGGGGGTTCAAATAATTAGGATTTGTTTAATTATTATGCATGTGCGGTAGAGTACATCTCTACTTTTTTAATTTAAGCAAGTGTGTGTGTGTGTGTTTTTTTTTTTTTAATGGTTTTTGAGTCTGGTCTATTTTCTTTAGAGTTATGTATTCTGGATGATGATATGCTAAGGTCTATGTTTTAAGTGTTTCACAAGCAATTTGAAGTATGCTTCTGCCCCGTATTAATATATATATATATTACCAAGAACATTATTCACATCAAGTAATTTTTGTTCTTGATTCTTTAGAATCTGAATTAAACATGTTTTCTGACACAAAAGGTTCAATTTCATGTTTGACACCACCACGCTTTAACATCTTTATCTTGATAATAACTAAGAAGTAAGAACCAAACAGGATCTCAGTGGCATTATAAAGTACGTTGACATAGATTCATAATAAACAAAGAAAACTCCATAAACACAAGATTCGTGTGGTACATTGTAAAGCATCACATGACATAAGAATTTCTAAAATCCTTGTACCATCAAATTCACTATGTAAATATAATAATCCACCAAAAAAAAACTTAAAACCAGAGATTGACAAGACGAAGACGATCATACCTAAGCAAAGCAGTGAACCGAAGATGCCGCAAAATCCTGCTGAAAATTTCCCTCTAAAGCTACGAAAATCATCCTAACCCTTCAACTCTTATTCCTCTGACTTTTCACACATTCATCAAATTCACAAACATTTTCCTATGATCAACATCATCAGTCTTCGGTCTCATTCCGTTTTGCAGCAGCTTCACTTTCACTCTCTTCCAAAAGCTTCCCAACAGGTTATTCATCAGTTTGCTGAACCTTCTTCTGAGCATCTTTAGCCTTCAAAGCCTGCAACTTGCAGTGATTATAATCGGCAACACCCAACGAACATACCATTTCACTCCCGTGATTTCTCACACTTTTAAACTTTAAAGACTGATCTAAACCAAAAACAAACAATCTCGCCGGTGTAATAAATATATGGCTGAAATGGAATATATATCTAGCATTGCTACTATGTAAATGATTAAGTCGTGTATATGATACTAACACTGACAATGACCAATCCTCAAAATGAATCTAGTAAGTAAAAAAACCCAGAAACTTTTAGTAACACGCAGTACTCAAAATGAGCAAAAGCAATAGAAAAAGGGAGTTAAGTTTACCAAATACCTGTAATAACTTTGAGAGAAGTATAAAAGTCTGCATTCGAACCACATCACAAGGATTACAGAGACATTGAGTAATCTTTGGTATTTAACTATCCAGGCAAACAAACCATTAGCCTTTGGCGTGTAACAGTTAAGTGTTTTTAGCATCTGAGAAAAGACTAATTATATGTAAATGTTCAGTATAGGATTTAACACTGAATCATGGCTGTATAGTGAACACAGAAGTCAGTCAATCGTCACTACAAGATTGTTACGCAAGGCTGCACATTCCCTCTTTTCAAGCTAGTACAAGAGTAAGGCATATCAACGAGTTCACATAGATTAAAATAAACTGCAGAGAGTCGAAACGAGACTGTCTTCATTGAATCGGACTCCTGATATATAAGAAATTTTTTCTTTCAAGAAATATCAGAATGATAAATAAACAGTAGAATCAGCAAACAGAAAATTGATGGACCTGTGCAAAGAGAAGGATATACCTTTAAGCAAGCTTCCCGTCAACCAAACAAAGCTTGCCATGTCAACCATTACCAAGACTGACTATAGAGAGGGGGAGCCTTTTTATTTTTTGATAAATAGTCTTTAAGATATGTCATAATCCAAAACACAAAACAATTGTTTTAAAAATTCAATTGAGCAAGTTAGTGTGTATAATAATACTCCAGTACAATATAAGCCATTAGTTTGGTAGGCTGAGTACTATATTTGATCTTTTTAATATGATCTTACATCTTTCTATGTATCGATATTGAGTTACAAGAACAGCTAATTTTTTGAGGAGTAGCGACTGCGAATGTAGAGGAACAAAGCCGTGGATGCAGCAACCATATAGGGGAAGATCGTCCATACTCCCTGCACAAATATTGGAACCAAAACTTCAAACTTGTATGAAAGCAAATTTACATCAGTTTTCTCTTTCTCTCTCTTTCTCTACTTACCACTGCATTTGCTACTGCTGCAAGAGCAAACATGGGGAGTTCTCTAAGGAGAAACCCAATCACAAGCTGAAACATTTTTTAGAATCAGTATCCTCTAGTTAGTCCTCAGATTCACATTGTAAAAAAGAATCGAAGTCGAATATAAAGAAAGCAGATAAAACTGAAGTGGAAGAGTAATCAAGCCGCCACAACAAACTCCTGCAAAGAAACACTCTAGAGATATTCCCTGTAAAGATTCATGTATGATAGGTTTGGTTAACCGTATGCTACATATTGAATCAACTCCGCAACACACTTACAAGAGCCCCGGCAAAGAATGCTGTAGGATTCCTCATTCGCAGAGAAAATCTTTCAACTGCATTCATAGAGACAAAATAAAGTCATTCATCACATTCTAGAAAATCTTTTCCACTGCATTCAGTTTGCTACTTACCAAAACCTGAGAGGTTGCCGTACTTTTGGACAGCCTGAGTAATGCTCAGTGCTTTCTCCTTACCTATACCCAGCTTTATATCAAAAAGTAGAAAACAATCGGCTTTTGGGATACAAATATTTGAATCGAAAAATATGTTTTCCTTTTATCAATATCTTAACCCCACAAATGAAATTAACTTGGTGAACAAGGCCATGTCGTCTGTATTAAATAATCGATGAGGGCTTTTTTAGATTTAGGTGGCGAAGATTACCAATTCTTCAATTAGGGTTTTTTTCCTCTCTCGGTTCATGATGACGTCTATGCTTCTGAGCCGGCTCCGCCTTGGGACAGCTAGAAGATTCTCTCGTCTTCTTCTCTCTAATGGCTTCTCATCTTCGATGCTGCAAACCCCTCCTTGTTCCATCCTCGCAGCTAAACCTTGTGGAGAGGGTCTCGGGAAGCTCGTGACTATGAGTTTGATGATGAAGAATGGTTCTGATACGGACAGTTGCTTCAATTTTTCGGATAAGAAGGTGCCTTTGGAGTTGATAAGAGGAAGTGATGGAATGGTAACGATAGGGGCATCTCATGGCTGGGTGGCTACTTTGACGAAGGACGACGGGATTCTGCGTCTCCAAGATGATCTAAACCCGGTTGCATCAGATGTAAACCCGAAACGCATCCCGCTGCCTCCTCTTGTAACTCTGCCTGGTTGCCAAACCGACATCATAACAAACGTGTCAATGTCCTCATCTTCTCCCGAGGATGAAGACTGTGTTGTGGCTGTCAAGTTCTTGGGACCTCAACTCAGCTTTTGCAGACCCGCTCAAAGCAACTCCCAGTGGACCAACGTGAGAATCGAAAACCCCTGTTTCTTCTCCTCCCGAGTCATGTTTTCCAAGGGCATGTTTCGCATTCCCGGATCTGGTGGGCATCTCATTGGATCATGGGATCTCAACCACCACACATCGAAGTTTCAGGAGTTGCATTTTCAAAACCTTCCCGAGCTGACCAAGACCCAACGAGAGCTTCTAGATTTGTGTTTTACGAGCCAACACTTGGTAGAGTCACCAGCTGGTGAGACCTTCTTGGTTACGTGGTACAGGAAGACTGATGCGGAGACCATCAATGGTATATCCAAATTGAAGACAGAAGCTTTAATGGTGTTCAAGCTGAATGAATACGGAAGTGCTGTTTACACCCAAGACATTGGAGATCTCTGCATTTTCCTCTCAAAGTCTGAACCTTTCGCTGTCTCTGCTACCTCCTTTCCAGGCATCTTGTCTAACCACGTCGTAATCTATGATTTCGATGAACTCATATTTGTCCAGCTAGATGAGGCTGATTCTCCCATCGTCCTTGGTGACATTGCTACATTCGGGGCCCCTTATCATATTCCACCTCAAAATATATAAGACGGAATTGTGTCTGTCTTTGAAATTGAATGAGAGTCATGCATCCAGAATTAAAAAGCTTTGGTGCATGCACAAGCTGCTGTTGTTGTTGCTGTTTTTTTTGAAGTATTATTGCTTTTGATGTTTCCTCTAAACCAAATTTCAGTTAGTTCAAATTTCATATACTCTCAGTCTCTCATAATCTTTCATGCATCATGCATGTGTAAGTTTTATCAAAAGAATCCGAAAACTTCTTTTAGAATCTGTACACACGTTTAAGGTCTACAAATTTTGTATCGATAGATTTACCTTAGATTGGTTTGTGAGTTTTAGCAATTGACAGGAGATGCTATTCTGTTGTGGAATGTGTTGCATGTGGAGCCAGTGCCATGATTGATTCTGCAGAAGAAAGAAGATAGTCAATTGGAAGATAAAGTAATTGGTCTAGGGAAGCTGGAAAATAATGTGATATAGACTTGTGGAACATAACCGGAATTGGTGATGGTTGTGATGGCGGAATGTGTCAAGTCCGAGACTTAGATCAAGATTATTGAGGCGTTGGATAGATCTTATTGCAAGGAATCCATTGCATTTTACAGCTCGTCAATCTGAAATAAACTCGAGCAGTGGTGAGATTTTCTTCCTGTCCAAGTAACAGCTAAAACTGGTCAAATCTGAAACCTAGAAACCAGATCCGAGAAGGCTTCTTGAGAGAGAAGTTTGGGAGTCTAAACTTACTCCGATCTGTCTTTGTACTTGCAGAGAGTTGTCTTTGTACTTCCTGTCCAAGTGTCTGCGAAAATACCGAATCACTTGTTGAGGAAGTAACACGATGTCTTTGTACTTGCAGAGAGTTGTGTACGTCGGTTGGTTGCTAGAAAATAAAAAGGAAATTTGAAAATTATTAAGTAATTACCATTTTAATTAAATAGAAGAATAGGATTTTAACTTTTCTTAATAATGTTAAGTGGTTTGCTATAAATATGATGTATGCTCATAGAAGAGCAAGAACCACAGAACCCCGACACTCTCTCTCGCTCACAATCTCTCTTAAGTCTTAACCAAAGACTAATCATGAATGCTTTGAGAAACCTAAGGAAGAACATGGCGTCACTGTCGCTCTCGTCCAAGCGTGGTACCTCTTCATCTTCATCAAGCTCCTCGTCTGCCTTCGACTTGTCACCCAAAGAAATTGAAAAGTACAGGGGCATGACGATATTTGACATATCATTACGTCTACAGATAAACGGTCCTTTCCTTGTCGACGCATACAAACTGGATAACCAAGCTAACGACATACTAATGAAGGCGAGGGAGGCTGAAACAAAATACAAAGCGTTCATGAAGTTGGCTGAAGCAAACAATAATAATGAGGATTACATTAGGTTGGCAATCAATGCAAAGAATGAAAGTGATGATCTTCTTAAAGTCAGGGAGGAGAAGATGCGAAAGGCTGACGAAATTAGGAACTTCAAGGCTAGTATTCCCGGAAGGTCGAGGGCAATATTTCGCATGTTAGGTGGGGGTTCAAATAATTAGGATTTGTTTAATTATTATGCATGTGCGGTAGAGTACATCTCTACTTTTTTAATTTAAGCAAGTGTGTGTGTGTGTGTTTTTTTTTTTTAATGGTTTTTGAGTCTGGTCTATTTTCTTTAGAGTTATGTATTCTGGATGATGATATGCTAAGGTCTATGTTTTAAGTGTTTCACAAGCAATTTGAAGTATGCTTCTGCCCCGTATTAATATATATATATATTACCAAGAACATTATTCACATCAAGTAATACTGCAACCAGAGAAGGGAATCATATCAACTGATAAGTAAAAAGGCTCTAAAAACTCATGAACAGTACAATAGCATCCAAGTAATATAAATCACATAACGTTACAACATCAAGGGCTAAAACAGATAAACATCTATGTTTATTTTTGTTTTGTATAAGTGCCTTACTGGGAAGGGAATATCATCAACTAATAACTGCAGAGGTTCTAAAAATCATGAACAGAAGGGAAGACTCATCATTCTCAAAACAGAACCCCACCGTTACATCTATAGCTTGCAGTATCATGAAGAACGCCACAAATTTACAACCAGATCCGACATCGTTTCGACTTCCAAACGTTGCCTTTAAAAACGCATCGCTGAATAAGAAGTTATATTAAAACCTAAAGAATAAGAATTTGAAGTCAATTACCTTGGTGTTGTGTGACCAAAGTAGTGCACAAGAGCCTTATCAAGAGGAAACCCTTCAACAGGATCCACAAGCATTTTGATAGGAGTAGCAGAAACAGTTCCCGGTATGGTTATTGAGCTTTGTCCAATGTTAAGGTCTACAAATGTCGGTTTCCAACCATCTTTCACTGCCCAATTCAGAAGCACCTTAGCCGATGTACTCTTCCCAGAGTCTATATCCCGTACAATGACAACCATCGAACAAAACCATAAAAGAAAACCGAGAGTTCAAGTTGCTACAAGGCTTCTTGGTTCATAGATAAACTCAGTTAATATGAACTAGCACATGTTTTGTCAAGTGATTCTGATGAAGTGGTTCAAGCTTCTTCTATGGCCTTTTACTATATCATTTTGTTGTTGGATGTTTAAAAAGGTGTCAAAGATTTGTTGTTCTCTTGGTGAAAAACTTAATGGAAACAAACCTCTGTGTCCTACCCTGTCATCTATCATATTCATGAAAGACAAAAACATGTGAAAACTTCTACCAGTATCAATAATGTTAAGATTGAGGCCATAGAAGAAGCTTGAAAACACAGTTGTACGTGAAACTTCATCGGTATTCACCACAGGCATTACACGTGTATGATGACTTTTGATGAATAGAGTAAAGTCAAAGTGTATAAGAGAAGCAAATACGTACGTACCTCTAAAAAGTCTCTAACAACAAGATGATTTGTAATGTTAGATCCACAACACGGCGACTTCTTTCCAAGCTGACCAAGACCCTTACTTAAATCTAGAACAAAACAAAACAAACAAACAAAAAAAAAATTCTAGAACAAAACTTGTAAGCCTTTTTTCATACATTGGAAACACAAGAACACTGAGCCTCCTCAACTCCTTGGTAGAAGATCCAACTTGACTTTTATTGACTTAGTCTCGGACTTGACACATTCCGCCATCACAACCATCACCAATTCCGGTTATGTTCCACAAGTCTATCACATTATTTTCCTGCTTCACTAGACCAATATAACGAAAAGTTATATTTTTGACTTTATCTTCCAATTGACTATCTTCTTTCTTCTGCAGAATCAATCATGGCACTGGCTCCCATTGCTAAAACTCACAAACCAATCTAAGGTAAATCTATCTATACAAAATTTGTAGACCTTAAACATGTGTACAGATTCTAAAGAAGTTTTTGGATTATTTTGATAGAACTTACACATGAAAGATTATGAGAGACTGAGAGTATATGAAATTTGAACTAACTGAAATTTGGTTTCGAGGAAATACAGTTACATGCATAATCAAATCTAAATAAAAGCAAGAAAGTCGACTCTCACTCGATTCCAAATATTACTTGTGTATATTTTGAGGCGGAATATAGTAAGGGGACGGGTTTCTGGTACTCCTCCAAATCAGGGGGAAACTAGTCAGGCTGAAATATGCGATTTCATCGAAATCCCTGATGACAACGTAGTTAGAATACACGCCTGGAAAGGAGGTAGCAGAGACAGCGAAAGGTTCAGATTTTGAGAGGAAAATGCAGAGATCTCCAATGTCTTGGGTGTAAACAGCACTTCCGTATTCATTCACCTTGAACACCATTAAAGCTTCTGTCTTCAATTTTGCTATACCATTGATGGTCTCCGCATCAGTCTTCCTGTACTGCTTAACCAAGAAAGTCTCACCAGCTGGTGATTCCACCAAGTGTTGGCTCCTGTAGCACGAACGCAAAAGCTCTCGTTTGATCTTGGTCAGCTCGGGAAGGTTTTGAAAATGCAAATCCTGAAACTTCGATGTGTGGTGGTTGAGATCCCATGATCCAATGAGGTGCCCACCAGATCCGGGAATGCGAAACATGCCCTTGGAAAACATGACTCGGGAGGAGAAGAAACAAGGGTTTTCGATTCTCACGTTGGTCCACTGGGAGTTGCTTTGAGCGGGTCTGCAAAAGCTGAGTTGAGGTCCCAAGAACTTGACAGCCACAACACAGTCTTCATCCTCGGGAGAAGATGAGGACATTGACACGTTTGTTATGATGTCGGTTTGGCAACCAGGCAGAGTTACAAGAGGAGGCAGCGGGATGCGTTTCGGGTTTACATCTGATGCAACCGGGTTTAGATCATCTTGGAGACGCAGAATCCCGTCGTCCTTCGTCAAAGTAGCCACCCAGCCATGAGATGCCCCTATCGTTACCATTCTTTTATTATAAAGAAAATTGTACACCAACTCCATAGGCACCTTCTTACCCAATTTAGTGAAGTCATCTCTATTAGCATTCGAAATGATGAGCCTTCCCATACGTCCTCCGCAGTGCTCAGCGCCCATGATGGTACAAGGAGGGGTTTGTAGCGGGGTAGATGAGAAGCCATTAGAGAGAAGAAGACGAGAGAATCTTTTCACCGACGCAGAGCGGCTGAGAAACAAAGACATGACTGTTCTTAACCGAGAAGCCAAAAAATTTAAGAGACGAAAAAAACCCTAATTGAAGAATTGGTGATGGTTGTTCAATTTTTTTTTTTCACCTATAAAACAGAGGGATGATGACCTTGGCCACCAAGTTTTTTTTTTTTTTTTTTTTTTTACTTTTTTAAAAATAAGATATTTACGGTTGCCACATGTGTGATTTTCAAAGGGTCATTTCCTCTTTGATGAGCAGAAGTTGAACTACGCCCTTGAAATTAAACCACCAATCTGATAGAAGTAATTCTATCGAAGTTTACGGTTTAGGTGTAGAGGGTGAGATCCTTGGTCACTCCATAGAAGTAATTCTGTGCAGAAGCAAATTGAAAGATCTCTTCTTTAATCAAAAACATATTATAAAAAAAAAAAAGAACAAATTATTGAAATCTTCATCAAAGCGAAAAGTCTACCTGAATATTAGTGTTCCTCACTGTTTTGCTAAACTGAGAGCTCCTAGAGAAGACACCAGCTGACCTCTCAAGATTCAAGACAGAGATCAATGAAGGGAAATATTGTATGTTTCTTGATTTAGGGTTAAGCCAGAGAAAAAAGATTTGATACATTACTTGACCAAGGACAATAACTAAAGATGCATTAAACGTCTTTATTGCATGGAGAAGCAGCTGCAATTTTAAAACATGATACCATATCAGAAATCTTGTAGTTCATAGCAAAAGTACATAACAAAAGTTGGTTCACGAAAAACCGAAAAAGAAGAAAGAAAAATTAGGTTATATTAAAACCTAAAAAATCAGAATTTGAAGTCAATTACCTTGGTGTTATGTGACCAAAGTAGTGCACAAGAGGAAACCCTTCAACAGTGTGAGACCCAACCTCTCATTAAGCCATTATGGGCCCAGCAAAGCAAAAACCTAAAACGTGTCATGTATTTAAGCGTAAGCATCTTCTTCTTCGTGAAGCCGTTTTCAACACCATCCCTTCTCGACCTTGACGTTGGGAAGCTGCAGCAAATTTCGATCTCAAGTCACCGTCATCCACCGTGGTTGAGTTTGTTTGTGTGCGTTGTTTAGTACGGACTTGAAAGTAAGAGAGGAATAAACGAACGGTGAAGGAGATCGGAGAGATCGTAACCGTCGGAGCAACCGCTAGCCACCATTGTTCCTTTGGGTAAGGAAATGTAACTTAATTACGTATTCTTTCCTGCAAGTCCATGGGTTTGTTCTTTGAAATCCTTTTCTTAAAGCTGATTTTTTTTTTTATGGTGAAGAAGAAGAAGAAACGACTTGCAAGTAAGGGTTTTGGTAAACAGTTTATCGTCAAACCAGAATGACTTAGATCAAGATTATTGAGGCGTTGGATAGATCTTATTGCAAGGAATCCATTGCATTTTACAGCTCGTCAATCTGAAATAAACTCGAGCAGTGGTGAGATTTTCTTCCTGTCCAAGTAACAGCTAAAACTGGTCAAATCTGAAACCTAGAAACCAGATCCGAGAAGGCTTCTTGAGAGAGAAGTTTGGGAGTCTAAACTTACTCCGATCTGTCTTTGTACTTGCAGAGAGTTGTCTTTGTACTTCCTGTCCAAGTGTCTGCGAAAATACCGAATCACTTGTTGAGGAAGTAACACGATGTCTTTGTACTTGCAGAGAGTTGTGTACGTCGGTTGGTTGCTAGAAAATAAAAAGGAAATTTGAAAATTATTAAGTAATTACCATTTTAATTAAATAGAAGAATAGGATTTTAACTTTTCTTAATAATGTTAAGTGGTTTGCTATAAATATGATGTATGCTCATAGAAGAGCAAGAACCACAGAACCCCGACACTCTCTCTCGCTCACAATCTCTCTTAAGTCTTAACCAAAGACTAATCATGAATGCTTTGAGAAACCTAAGGAAGAACATGGCGTCACTGTCGCTCTCGTCCAAGCGTGGTACCTCTTCATCTTCATCAAGCTCCTCGTCTGCCTTCGACTTGTCACCCAAAGAAATTGAAAAGTACAGGGGCATGACGATATTTGACATATCATTACGTCTACAGATAAACGGTCCTTTCCTTGTCGACGCATACAAACTGGATAACCAAGCTAACGACATACTAATGAAGGCGAGGGAGGCTGAAACAAAATACAAAGCGTTCATGAAGTTGGCTGAAGCAAACAATAATAATGAGGATTACATTAGGTTGGCAATCAATGCAAAGAATGAAAGTGATGATCTTCTTAAAGTCAGGGAGGAGAAGATGCGAAAGGCTGACGAAATTAGGAACTTCAAGGCTAGTATTCCCGGAAGGTCGAGGGCAATATTTCGCATGTTAGGTGGGGGTTCAAATAATTAGGATTTGTTTAATTATTATGCATGTGCGGTAGAGTACATCTCTACTTTTTTAATTTAAGCAAGTGTGTGTGTGTGTGTTTTTTTTTTTTAATGGTTTTTGAGTCTGGTCTATTTTCTTTAGAGTTATGTATTCTGGATGATGATATGCTAAGGTCTATGTTTTAAGTGTTTCACAAGCAATTTGAAGTATGCTTCTGCCCCGTATTAATATATATATATATTACCAAGAACATTATTCACATCAAGTAATTTTTGTTCTTGATTCTTTAGAATCTGAATTAAACATGTTTTCTGACACAAAAGGTTCAATTTCATGTTTGACACCACCACGCTTTTAACATCTTTATCTTGATAATAACTAAGAAGTAAGAACCAAACAGGATCTCAGTGGCATTATAAAGTACGTTGACATAGATTCATAATAAACAAAGAAAACTCCATAAACACAAGATTCGTGTGGTACATTGTAAAGCATCACATGACATAAGAATTTCTAAAATCCTTGTACCATCAAATTCACTATGTAAATATAATAATCCACCAAAAAAAAACTTAAAACCAGAGATTGACAAGACGAAGACGATCATACCTAAGCAAAGCAGTGAACCGAAGATGCCGCAAAATCCTGCTGAAAATCCTGCTGAAGATGCCGCAAGATGTCGAGAATAAACAAAAGATGAAAGCAACACGTCATAATAGTGACAAAAAGAAGAATGTATTCGAGAAAATCACGACTCTTTTTCTACTTCTTTCTCAACCAATTCTTGGTACTTTGTTGTTGCCTTTTCTTCAAACTTTTTCTTACATTTTCAAAACTACCTTCCTACTTTCTACATCTCTTTTTGTTAAAAAATTTTCAGTTTATTCAATTTCTGATGCCGCAGTAGAGTTTGTATTTCATGAGAAAGAAGTGGAATAGATCAAGTGAATGGATCCTACGCCAGAACTCAGAACCATCGCAATGGAGACAAGATATTTATGAGATTTTAAAAGTTTCTCTATTTACGGGACAATTTCAAAGGTGAACTTAATTCAAATACATATCATCCAATAATTGCTAGACAAGGGTCCCAGAAGTTTTTATCTTCTCATTGATGCTGGACTACTAAATTGTACACAACAGAGTGTAATTTACAGCACCACTGAATACGTAAGGCTGTGTTTAACAAAAGAAAAAAGAAGAAAAAATCTAACCTCGCTGAGAATACATGACATGACCTTCGTGACAGGTTTTACTTGACCCAATTCTGGAGTATAAACTGTTGCATCAAAATCGCCACGATGCTTCCCAAGCTTATGTTGATCACGTTGACTACATCATTGTTTAGCTACACATAGCAAAATGGTGATTAACATGAGACAATACATTCGAGATCATTGCATTCTTGTTTTGTTGGTAACTAATTTCAAGGAATGGATTCATACGACAAAAACTTAAAAATTCTGTATTGAATGGAAATCTTTTTCCACTCAAGCGAGTTTTCTATCAATCTTTCTGCAAGAAGTGACGGTATTTTCATCTGATTATCATCTTCTTGCATTGACAACAGGTAGACAGAGTGAGATCAATAAAACAAAAAAGAGAGTTTATTGAAGTGAGCATACCCATTTGAATCCTTCTTTGTCTTGAAAAGAAGCACCTATTATGCTTTCTCCAAGATTGGCAATCTGGGAAGCTAGTACACATACAGCTGCTTCTGGAGGGGTTATCTGTATTGAAGAGATCAAAAGGAAAAGAAATTTAAATCGTGTAATGATAACAGCCTTTATTAGCATAAAGGAGAGGAGATGTGCAGGGAAAATTTGGTAGCAAATAACATATTAAATAGTCTATTACCTGACCCAGGAAACAGCCAACAGATGCAAGAAAAAATGATGCTAAAAGTCCAGCCAATGTTCCTTCAATACTCATAGCTCCCTCGGTTCCTCTTGGTACAATCTTAAATGTCGTAGCTAAATACCTGCAAATTTGCAACGGTTAGTAAGAGGAGAAAAATGAATGCAGACCATTTCAGTTGTCAATTGGATTCATGTCATGACATCACAAGTCCATGCCATACATGAGACAGAAAATGGACACAGACCATCACAGAAGAGGCTATATAGCTGGATAACAGTAGAACAGTAGCATACTCACGTTGTTTTTCCATAAGCTTTGCCTATCTCACTTGAGACGGTGTCAGACACTTTAGTGCAGAAACTGGAAACAAAACCAAGCCGGAAAAGCTGGGAAAAAGCTGCTCCTCCCACTTGATATATTGAAAGAAAAGCACAGACACAACCAGCAGCACTTGAACCAATCACACTGCGTGGTCCTCTTCTGCCTTTTCTCTTTTCGGCCACACCTTGTGCTTCCTTTTGCGTCATTTTAACCTTTGTTGCCGCTGTTCCCTGTGATATTGTAAATCATCTAAACCAACTTCAACGCCAGAATCAATTGCAAATTTAGTGTTCGGTAAACATAATTATTTCAATGTTGAGCATGATCAGAAGAATTACTCCTCAATCTCAGATTTCAACTACAATAAATTGCCTAACGAATTATTGTCCAACATCTCCTAAACCCAAGTACATTTCCAAAACCAAGAAACAAGCCTAAGATAAGATCAATCAAGAGAAATCATTTTACTATATCTTGGAATTTCATAAAACCCCTTCAATTATGCTTTTAAACGCGATTCACGATCTCTAATGCATCCACAATTCCTACACTAACCGATAACGAAAACACAAACTTAACCTAAAAATCTAAGGACATTCTTCATTCATCTGCTCGAAATCAAAATCAAATTAGGCAATTTCTAATGTTTAAGAGTCAGTGACCAAAGTGCACTTACTATGACGAAGTAAGCAGCGACTAAGAGGAAACCAGCAGAGCCATAAGCTCGCCAAGTTAAAGTACCGAGCAAAAACGCGGCGGCGATCCCAGAAGCGGACAATCCAGTAACAAGAAGCGGTGAACCGAGAACAAATATCAACAAATTGTTAGCCACGGCTGATTTCCAGGTTGGTGACGCCGATTGAATTAACTTCAGCGCCTCCGTCATCACTCCTTCCATCGATGCAGCCGCCACCGTGGCACCGTCGACTCTGCTTCCCGACGAAAGCATTCCGTTGGAAAGGGGCTCCAGATTACGTCGTCCAAATCGGTAAGATCTAACGAATGGAGAAGAAGAAGAAAATCCCGAGAAATTTGGGAATCTCAGAGGTGAAACTGATCTAGAAGAATTTAAGAGTAGTAGAGTACACGAAATTGTTGCCATGACTTAGCTTGCTTCCGAAGACCTCTCTCACATTGAGAAAAAAAATCAATTAAGAAAAAAAAAAAACAACGTTTCGGGTTGGATCCGGAGCTCCGAACAAACCGGATCCTTAACCCGTTTTATGTTTATTTTTTCAGTCCTGGAAATGAGTTTATTTACGGTTTGTGCCACTACTACTATTTACTGAAGAACCCAATCTTATCCGAGAAATCGGAAAGAGCAGAGAATTTTGCTGAAGAGAGAAAAACGAAAATGGCGGTTCTTTGCTCGTCTTCGACGGTGATAGTCTCTTCTTCTCCAGTTAAATCCTCCGGTTGTGAGAGAAAGTCTCCGTTTTTAGGGTTCTCTCTAACGGCTTTCTCGAAGCCGTCGGTAAGAGTTGGCATTTATGCGAATTCGAAAAGAGGATTGCAAGTGAAGTGTGAAGCTGAGCAGACGACGACGACTTCTCTCGTTCCGGCGAATCAACGATGGATGTTCGACGAAGAAGAAGCTAATGGCCCTGTAACGATTATCTATCTCCCTCTTTGTTTAGCCTCTCTGAAACTTGTGTGCTATAAAATGTCGAACTTTAGCTCTTGCTCTGAAATTTTCATGGAATTTTGTGGAACATTTCGGGAATTTGAAGTATAGCATTGGTTTTTTTCTTTCTCCCAATTGCGAGTTATTAGGTAGTGGATTTTGCCTTTGATTCCATATCTGTGTTGTCTGATTCAAATGGCTTTGAGAATTGATGTTTGTTCTTATGAATTTGTTAACTTGGAAGTTTGACTTCTTCATGTTTGGCTGGAGAGAAGTTAAAAGACTTTGGCTTGAAACTTTTTTTGAGTGATATTCTATGGTTTACAGGACATCTGGAACACGACATGGTATCCAAAAGCTTCAGACCATGTGAACACGGATAAGCCCTGGTTTGTGGTTGATGCAACTGACAAAATTCTTGGTAGATTGGCATCAACAATTGCTAATCACATCCGTGGGAAGAATCTTGCCTCTTACACTCCTAGTGTTGACATGGGAGCCTTTGTAATTGTGGTATGAGTTTCTTGAGCTATCTGTAGAGAATAAGAAATGCGATATGCTTTACTTAATTTCTTGTCTAGATGGAAGATCCTGTGATCTGGTTTTAATGAGATATACAATCAACAGGAAGATCTAAACTCTTATATAGTTGTTTGGACAATGCTTGTCACTTGGTACTTCTAATACCTTTTTCGGTTGTTTGGTTAAAGGTGAATGCTGAGAAAGTTGCTGTATCTGGAAAGAAGCGGAACCAAAAGCTGTACAGGAGGCATTCAGGACGACCTGGTGGTATGACAGTAGAAACATTTGATCAATTGCAGCAGAGAATTCCTGAAAGAATCATTGAGCATGCTGTTCGTGGAATGCTTCCAAAGGGACGGGTTAGATACATAAATTCACAGCTCTTTATTAGTCTCTTTTAACAATGAGCAAACCGTTTTTCTTCCATTTTATGGATTGAACTAGTAAACCACTTGGGGTGATAATGGTATTGATTGATTACTATTTTTTTTTTTAACTCCCTCTAACTTTGGTCTGACCATTTTGTGGCAGCTTGGGAGAGCTCTGTTCAATCACCTGAAGGTGTACAAAGGCCCGGACCATCCACACGAGGCCCAGAAGCCGCTTGATCTGCCTATTAGGGACAAGAGAATACAGCTGCAAAAATAGAAGCACCGCAAAACATCGAGTAAGCTCCACTGTTCCATTATCGCCAAGCGCAGAGAGTTTTTTCTTCTCAGGTTTCTGTAGTTTCTTCATTCAAAACCAGAGGAGGCTTTGCAGATTCTTGTTTTCGCTTCTATCAACTCTGTTATGCTATAAAGCTTTCTCAATGCGAAATTCTGTATCTCTCATTCAATTTTTTGCTGCTGACTATCTTTTTCAACATGATAAAGATGACATGTAATGAATAACAAAACCAATTAGTAAAGAACACATCAAAATTTTCATTTTAAGTTGGCTACCACAACAACTGCCATAAGCAACAGTAATCACTATTAACAAAAACTTCCTCTTCAATTGGTAACAAACCTTCGCAATCGGATCACAGGTGCAAGAAAAATGTAATATGTATGCATCAAAATTTATGATAAACCATCAAAGTATACCAAAAAATAGTAGAACCTTTCTCAACAAGATCATACCAGAGTCATTGTTTCAAAAGCTAAGTAAAATCAACTCATTTAGTTCTCTATCCATACATATACTAAAAAGACTAGTTAGGGTTTCTCTGAAGCACACAAAAGTGGAGTCTAGAGTCAACATTACCCCAGAAGAGTCCAATCTTGTCTCCTTGCTTCAAATCTCTCCTCCGAACAAACTCTTTAGCCCAGCCACGGTTGAAAACATAGTTATTTGTTGTTTCGACGTATCTCAAGAAAACCATGTCGTGCTCAGTATCCGTGTCGTGGTCGTACGCTTTAACCTTGAATTTCTTACCTTTTTGGATTGTCTGCTGCACATCTGTAGAGAGATGTCTCATAATGTGGCTCTCGGCGTCGCTATTACCCACCATAAGTCGGTTTAGATGATTGACATCGCTTTCGGTCAGTGTCTTCTTGATGGTCCACGTGTAGAGAGTACTAGGCTCCGTCCAGATTCGGGCTTGCTTCTTTTCTTCTGCAGGAGCTTTTGTGGTTGCACGAGAAAGTACACGAAAACGAAGCTTATAACGAAAACGATCCCAAGAGAGCCCAATCTTGTCTCCTGCCCTCAAACCTCTCCTGTAGACGAAATCTTTGCGCCAGCTATCCTTTAAACAATAATAGTTTGTTTTCGAAATCCATCTCATCATAAGCACCTTGTGTGTAGTGTCCGATTCGTGGTCGTACATGTTAATCGTGATTCTATCGCCTTGTACGAGTTTCTTTTGGTCATCTTCGGAGAGATATCTTAGAATGTGGCATTCAACGTCGGCTTTTCTCAGATGAAGTTGTCGGCAAATATCGGTCGTGTTTAGTTCCTTCTTGATGATCCATTGACCCGTCTCGTATTGCTGATCCTCATCTTCTTCCGTCTCCTTAATCTTTCTTTGCTCTGCTAGTTTTTCGTTTCTTGGAGCGCAAGTGATATTTGGGTAATCAGGGTTTCCACAAGGCCATGTCTCATCGTAAAAACAGAGGGTCGTGGAGACGAAACCCTTTTTGGGGTCCTCTAAGCAATAAGTTTTCTTCAATTCTTCATCTGTATTCGTTGAAGATGCAGAGGAGAGAGGTAAAGAAACGCCGAAGAGACGAACCAGAACCTCTGTTTTCTTGGATGGCACTCGTTGTTCTTCTTGGCTCTTCTTCGCCGGAGATGTATTAACGCCGAAGAGACGCGACTCCGTTTCATTGGATGGCAAAACAGAAGAAGTTTGAGTGGTCTCTGGTGATTCTTGGGTGCTCATACTCGTACGAATCTTCTTCGCCGGTGAAACAGGATCGTTGGAGATAGACGTCCCTGTTTCTTTGGATGACAAGAATGAAGAATCTTTAGGGATCTCTTTGCTCATGCTCGCTCGATTCTCTTTTAGCCGGAGAGAGTTGAACTCAATTTTAGAGAAGAGGCTCTGAAAATTTGTTGTGACTCTAAAACCAAAAAAAAAGAAAAATTGCTGTGACTAGTGAAGAGATCAAATGAGGACCATAATATATAGTTTACTAATTTTTTAAAAGTAAAAAAAAACTATAGAAATTATTAATTAAATAGTTTTAGGCCTTCTGTTGACAAAAAAAAAAAAAAAAATACTTTTAGGCCTTCAAGCCAAAAAAAAAAAAAAAATTGCTTTGACAATGCTTGATCCTGGCTTTTATGTATAAGCATTAGCATTATACACTGCTTGTTGTGACTTGTGAGTTGTGACTAACCAACGATTATGTGAAGTTCTTGTTCATCTAACTTAAGTTGTTTTCTCGGGACATTTGGTTGAAGGTGAATGCTTAGAAAGTTGCTATATATGGAAATAAGAAGAACCAAAAAGCTGGACATTTAAACATAAGATCTATTTTGAAGTATTGTTTGTTTACAACACATCAATTAATTCTAAGTTGGATACCTAAACTGCTAAACATGTATCATAAACAACACTAATCACTGTTTGACAAGAAAAAAAAACTTACTCTTCAACTTGGTAATAAGCGTTTCTGAATGAGATCACAAAATGCAGCAACTCTTAATACATTGGAGTACTGATTACTGGATTAATAGCTTCTTTTTCTTATGCTGGAGCTTTTGTGTTTACACGAGAAAGCACACTAAAATGAAGCTTATAAGTAGAGCATTCCCAGAAGAGACCAATAGTGTCTCCTTCCTCCAACCCTCTCCTTTTGATAAATGTTTTAACCCAACCATTCTTTAGAACATAGCTACGCTGGAATGCTAGACACAGCTCGTGCTCAGTGTCTGTATCGTGGTCGTACACCTTAACCGTGATTCCGGGCTTGCCTTTGTCTATCTTTTTGGAATCTTCTGGAAGGAGATGTTTCAGAATGTGCTCCTCAACAGAGCTTTTTGACAGAGTAAGTCGGCGGCAAGTAACATAGGCAACATCGCTCTTGGTCAGTTCCTTCTTGATGGTCCAGTACTGTTGCTCCTCATTTTCTTTTTCCTCTTTCAAGATAATCTTTGGATTGGTATCCTGACTATTTGTCATCGAACTTATGTCGACAAATCCAGGGTTAGGGATCATCAGAAACTGGCCAGAGAATCTTTGTGAGCCAAGCGAAAAGTTACTCTGATATCTTCTAGACAGAGTACCTGCAAACACAAGAAGAAGTGAAGGTATCAAGAGATGATATGAAGCACAGAAGTTTTTTGCTGGCAAAATCTTTTAATTACTAGCTGTGATGTTATTACTTTCAAGGTAATTTGGGTTTTGCCAGAACCAATGATGACTCTTCAAGGCTACGTCTGTGTTCATCGGAGACGTCCCCTGCTGCTCTTGGCTCATAAACGTCTGACTCTTCGTTGCTGAAGATTTAGAGAGGACAAAGAGAGGCATTTTCGTTATATTTTTATGGCAAGAAAGGATCTCGAGTGGTATTTTTGTGGTTCTTGGCTCAATTCTTCTTTCCCGGAGATAGAGATCTCTGTTTCCTTGGATGTCAAGAAAGATGAGTACTGCGATTCTTGGCCGGAGATGGAGGAACGCCGGAGAGACTACCTCACTGTTTCCTTGGATGCGAAGAAAGAAAGACCTTTTAGGAATCTCTCGCGACTTCTTCGTCGAAGATACACAGTAGTTTGGGAGAGATCGTTGAAACAAATTTAGAGAGAAACTGTTAAGAGGATCGTGAGACTGCGATATTGACGGGAGGGACACATATAGACGTGTTTTAATGATTTAATATCTTTCATTTTATGCTAGTAAACTTAAACCGTAATTTGGTCAGGAGTAGTCAAAGGAAACCGGACCGATTAACCTGAATGTACAAGCCCACTAAGAGCAAATAATAGCAATAGGAAGATGGCTTTCGCGGCTCAAGCCCACACAAAATAGCGTTATCACGTGAGTGGCACGGGCCTACAGCAATTCCATAACCACATCGAATCGATGACAATTCCTTTTCCTTTAAGAGCATCCGCCGCGCGAGAACTGGCGGGAAATTCAGCCATCGTCTCGAAGAAAAACCTCCCAAATCTGAGAAATCGGAAAAGATGACTCACACCGAAACCCTAAATATTCTCGATGAAATCGAATCGCTTGTCTCCGATCAGCTTCAAGTGGTAATTACCGATTACTTCTCCATTTCTCGATTCCTTAATTTTACTGGTTAGGGTTCTTCGATTCCCACTTCAGTAATTTTAAAATTTCTCAACAACTCGTTTATTGTTGATCGGATTAGGGTTAATTGTCGAATTCCGAAGCTTCTGATTGTAGTTTGTTGTTGTATTAGTCCTGAGATTCGGAGGTGTTATGTATAATTGAGTTATTTGGGTTATAATTACTGATTTGCTCAATCCATTTGGTTTCAGGTATCTTACAAATGGCTGAGTCGAAATTTCTCGCTTTCATCAAATACTGCCAAGAGGTAGATTGTTCCCTTCTATATTGGGAGTTCACTAGATTTTAGCTACTGCAGATTTGCTTCTGTCTCAAACCTGGGGCTCGTTTGTTATTAGGTTGCTCAAGGATTTTGTAGAGAAACATGGGAAGAGTTTGGAAGTTGTATATATTGTGTCTGGGTTGCTAAAGAACGGACCTTCCGATTACCATGCAAGGCTTGCTTCTAGTACCGAACTTCCAGGTCCCATTCTCATTCGGCGACCTGTTTTCTCTTTGTTATTTTTCATGACTGTCTTCTGTATAATGATTAATTTTGCTAGTCTTTTGGTTTTTCATCTTACTGATTCTATTTTCACCAAGAAGTAGTTACTATCTCAAATGTTGTTTTATTTACTTCAATATTACAATTGAGAAGTTAAGTGATGGCAAAAGCGAAAATGATTTGACACTTCCCTATCATTACTTCTATGCAGAAGTGGAGAAAGAGTTCAATGGAAAATATTCAGTACATATCTACAGTGTTCAAGCTAGTATTCCAATGGATCCAGCAGCCATATGGAACACTGAGTTTGTGCAAGCAGAAGAACTCTTCAGGCAGCATTCTGCCATTGATAATTGCTTGAAAGGCAACAGGTACAACTTTTCTGTTATTGGATGAAAGCTGTCCAGTACTGTTGACCAGCCTTGCCCATTCTAACTAGAGAGGTGTGACTTTTATACCAGGTTTTGTGGCGTCTCCAATTCTTGTGTAAAGCGCAATATAGAGGGAACCACTGAAAATGTTACGGTCCCGCGAACTGAAAGTGTGAGAACTACAGGACAATCTAAAAGTAGTTTAAATTTTCAAAAGAGTACATTGCCGTCAAACCAGGGAAAGAATTTTCAGCACTCAAGCCCTAATGTTGTCCATCAGGGTAAGAGTGAAACTACTGCTGCTCCAGCTAAAAATCAGTCTGCGAAATCCTCTCTGGATAAAGAAAAAGCTTTTCGTGCGCCCGCTAATAAAAAGAATGGACAGGGCGAAAAGAGCGTGGCTGGAACTGGTGGTTTGTTGAAAAATATGTGGGGCCGTGTGCCTACGAAAACAGAAGATGATACTCCAACAGTAGAGGTCAAAAATCATAATACTGATCATTCGGGTATGTCTTCTAATCCATCCACCTTAGGTACTGATCAATGGCTATGGCTTCCTTGGTGTCTGTTATAGCTAGCTTTGTTCCTCTATATAATGTTCTGTAACTGGTGCAGAAGCCCAAAAACCTTCTCATGACGCCGACAATAAAGGAGGCAGCGATGATGAGACTCGAGATGTCAATTTCATGAGAGCGCCTAAAAATGATAACAGAAAAAGGAAGGTGATATTTGATTTTTCAGATGACGAGTATGAAGATGTAATCAGCCTAGCATCTCCTAGTAGTCCAAAGGTTAGTTCACGTCCAGATGTTGAACTCAGTTCCGAAGATTCAGGTCCAAAGAAGCCTGACGCAGATGTTTCTCGAGAGATAAAATCTGAGGAACCAGAGGTCAGCAAAGAAGACAGGCAAAAACCTGCTTCTGTTGATGCTTCTACGACTTTGTCAATGGAGAAGATCCAGGCCATTGGTTCTGAAGCTAAAGTAAATCCCTCAAAGGGAAGAACTACTGAAGTTTCTAGTTCACCGAAAAGGAAAAAGGTGTTGAAGTCACGGATTGATGATCGTGGGAGAGAAGGTATGCTAAGCATCCAATATCGTTCTAAATAAACAGACGTATGCACTGCTTTAGCTCTGGTTTGGAAATGTAAATGTCTCTTACTTAAACAGTTCTCTTTTGGCTGCATATAGTAACTGAGGTAGTGTGGGAGGAGACAGAAACGAACCCTAAGAAGGAAGAGGACACTGACACAAGAAAGAAGTTAGATAATGGCAAAAGCGCAAATGCTGTTAACAGGTATGTTTTGGGAGATGATTAAGCCATTCTGTAAGCGTATTTGTTGTAAAACCCGAATACAATATAAAACCATCTATCTGAGTTTCTCGTTTCAGGGCGGTGGCGCAGAAGAAGAGTCCGGCCGTGGGAAACACAGCAGCCACAAACGCAGGAGGAAAAGCAGGAAGCAAGAAAGGCGGAAACGCCAAAGATCCAAAGCAAGGGAACATAATGTCCTTCTTCAAGAAAGTTTAAAAAGGCTTTTGTATTTATTGTTTGTTAAGTTTGATTGAGGATATATATCAAAAATCAGAACTTGGATTCATCTGACTGTATGTTTTGATCCATTGTGTCTTAAAAAAAAAAAACTTTTGAGCCGTTTCTTATTAAACCTTAAAAATTGTACTTATCCTGTATTTCAGGTAGAGTGTATCGGTGATCATCGTCGCTGGCTCGTACAAATATTTTTTAAAAAGGAATGGGCCCCACTCTGACAGGTAGGCTATCTTGATAATCTAAATTAACTAATAAAAATAAAATACATATCCACGTTTTTGGTGTAATTGAATACAAATAATTTAAGAAAGAAGGTGGATTGGTTATGGAAGAGTGTGCGAGGAATTGAATAATTTGAGATACATACAACTTGCGCAGAAGAATCAGATGATCGACAACAATTGCTTATATAAAGAAGAGCTGAATCGTAGTAATTCTTACTCAGGTCACTCTCTCTCTCTCTCTTTCTCGTCTTTCTACCATTTGACTCTTCTTCTTCTTGCTCCGAGATGTGGCGTTACGTTTGTTTACCGTTTTTACTCTTGCTTTGGAGCGATACAGGTCTGGCCGAGTCGACGATATTGCTCCCTAGTCAAGCCGGATTTGACGGTTCTGGGAGTCCGGTTTGCTCCTCGCCGGATCCGAACCTGAACTACAAACCGGTCATCGGTATCCTGAGTCACCCTGGAGATGGCGCGTCCGGTCGGTTGACCAATGATACGAGCTCCACGTACATCGCGGCTTCGTATGTGAAGTTCGCTGAGGCAGGTGGAGCTCGTGTTATCCCACTCATCTACAACGAACCTGAAGAACTCCTCTTTCAGGTTTCCAAATCGCTGTTTCAATTTTTGTCATTGTTATAATTTAATTTGTTTTGAATTTTGCTATATTTTAATCCGAGTTATTTTTCTTGGTGATTTACATTTTGGATTTGCAGAAGCTAGAACTGGTCAACGGTGTGATATTCACTGGTGGTTGGGCTAAAAAATATGATTATTTCGAGATCGTCAAAAAAATCTTCAATGTAAGTTATCTATCGTTTAACGCTTATTTGTTTTGTTTGCTCACAGAATATATATAATTCCAACTATTTGTGTTTCTCACCAGAAAGCTTTGGAGAGAAATGATGCTGGAGAGCATTTTCCAGTTTATGGCATTTGTCTCGGATTCGAGCTTATGTCAATTATCATTAGTCAGGTGACTCTCTTCTTCTTTCCTTGAGTACAAACTCTCATTTGCTCAATCAACTTGATGTGTTTTAAGTCTTTCTAGACATTGCTGCGTTTCAAATACCAATCTGAATACTGGAAATCTGTATCATTTAATGGCAGACTCCTTTCTAAAATCTCTCAAATCCTTTGTCATTGGTAACAGAACAGAGACATTCTTGAAAGATTTGATGCAGAGGATAATGCATCAAGCCTCCAGTTTGTTGATAATGTTAATATCGATGGAACATTATTCCAAAGGTGCATAGCTTTTTCATGATCCTTTTAGTTTTTCAGTTTATAATGATCTCAACTATTCCCAATATATAAATGTAATGTTTCATATTTGCAGATTTCCTCCAGAGTTGTTGAAAAAACTCAGTACAGATTGTTTGGTTATGCAGAAACACAAGGTTAGTAATGCGACCTCTAGTTTTCTGCAGAATATGGAGTTAGGTTGTTAAAGCTAACGTATTATGCAGTTGTTAAAGAGAGCAATTTGACACTAAGACTGCTTTGGTTGTTTCTCTCTTCCTATTGTTTTGTTTACCTCGGTGGTTAGGCAATCTTGATTGCTATGTCTAAACGGTTATTTTTATATGCTTGCTGATACGGATTGTTGTTATATTCCAGTATGGTATCACACCAGCAAAGTTTCAAGGCAATCCTGCTTTGTCTAGTTTCTTTGAAATCCTCACAACATGCATTGATGAAAACAGCAAGGTAATAATAGTCTTATAAACCATGAGAGTGCTCTATAAATTTCAGAAACTGACCTTACTTTGTGAACGGATCAAATTACATTTGGTTTGCAGACTTATGTTTCAACTGTTAAAGCAAAGAGATACCCAATAACTGGCTTCCAGTGGCATCCTGAGGTATACTGGCCAATTAAACTCATGTTTCTAATCCTATTTTCTCAGTGCACAGTTTTTGATTTTTAGAAAAGAAACAAAGCTCTTATTGCACTAAACTAATTCTCTGTAGAAAAATGCATTTGAATGGGGATCATCCGCGATTCCACACTCTGAGGATGCAATCCAGGTGACACAGCATGCTGCTAGTTATTTAGTCAGGTAAGATCTCTCTCTCTCATCTCAACGTTTTCCCACAATATTTAGTGCGCACTTGTTTTCTCATGAATTGCGGGTTGAATGTGGTGCAGTGAAGCTAGGAAGTCACTGAACAGACCACCATCGAAGAAAGTGCTAAGCAATCTCATATACAACTATAAGCCTACTTACTGTGGATACGCAGGGTAAAGCCACTCAGGACAATCTTTACACAATTTCTCTTGTTTTTGTTGTTGACGATTTCCTAACGATTTTTCTTTGGATCATATCATCTTGCAGGAGGGGTTACGACGAGGTTTACATTTTCACACAACCAAGATCCCGTTTCTGAGAACTTACTCGTTTTCTTGTGTGTTTGTTTGTAACTCTGATTTCTGATTTCACTTTAGGGAGCCGATTGTCTGGCTTGCCTGCATGAATTCCCTTGTTGATTTATCTCTTTGAAAGTAGATCCTTTCAACAGAAATAATTGTGTTTGGTTCGTCTTTCTAGCAAATAACATTTGACTTTTGAGATTGATTACCAAAACGGCAAAGCCGTAATAATGGCCCCTGACTAACGGTAACGGGCTCACTAAAAGCCCAATAGGGAATAATTAAATTATATAGATAATTACAAATTTAAAATAATTGGAATCACACGTTTTTTTTTGTTTTAAATTTTAAATGATGGTGGTCGTTGGTCGTTGGAGATGAAGAATGATTGATATGAAATCAAACAACTAATCCACCATTGGAGACGTGCATCTTCATCCTCTGAGATGTGGAGATTCTACTTCTGCTTAGCGTTCCTACTCTTTGATATTAGCGCGGCGACTTCTGCCGAATCGATTTTCCTCCCAAGTCAAATCCGAGTTGACTCTTCCCGCGTCTTTGATACACGGAGTAGTCATGTATGCTCCTCCCCGGATCCGAACCTCAACTACAAGCCGGTCATTGGGATTCTGACCCACCCTGGCGACGGTCGATGGGACGCTAGTCGTCACTCTCTGAGCTACGCCTACTCGACGAACATATCGTACATCGCAGCTTCGTATGTGAAGTTAGCTGAGACTGGTGGAGCTCGTGTGATTCCTCTAATCTACAACGAGCCTGAAGAACTCTTGTTTCAGGTTACTCTGATGATTTTAGCTCTTATTATCGATCCTGAATTCTGTTCACTATATATATACATAGCCTTCTTTAATCACTAATCTTACAATTTCTTGTTCTACTTGAACTTGGCCAAACTGATTTTTTTTACTTCAGATTTCAAATTAGTTTAAGGGTAGATGTTACTGTTTTGGCTATTGCTTGCCAATATTAGTTCCTCTTTTATCTTAGTGAATTTCATTTTTGCAGAAGCTAGAACTGGTGAATGGTGTGATATTCACTGGTGGTTGGGCTAAAACAGGATTATATTACGATATTGTGGAGAAAATCTTCAATGTAACTTCTCATTATTCAAACACTATCTGTTGCTTTCACGCTGAGCATTTGTGTTCGTTGACTTATTGCCTTTGTTTTACGAAAGAAATCCAATGTAATAATCTTTTGAAATCCTTATGTTTCTCACAGAAAGTTTTGGAGAAAAATGATGCTGGAGAACATTTTCCGGTATATGCCATGTGTCTTGGATTCGAAATTTTGTCAATGATCATAAGCCAGGTCACTCTTTTGGCTTCTTGCTTCTCAAGTAACTTCCACATATGTAGAGTTATAAATTTAAGGTGCTCACACTGCTTAATCTTTGGAGGAGCTTTAAGCTACGCAAGCTCAATCTTGAGCTGAGAGGGATATGCAGTTTCCATCCTAAATTTCTGACGATTTTTGTGTTTTGTAACAGAACAGAGACATTCTTGAAAGGTTTAACTCAGTAAACTATGCATCAAGTCTCCAGTTTTTTGAAAATGTTAATATCGAATCAACCGTATTCCAAAGGTGCATATAGCTATATGCTTTTACCTTTTCAGTGATCCAAAGAACAAAATATAATTGTAATGTTTCATATTTGCAGATTTCCTCCAGAGCTGTTGAAAAAGCTTAGTACAGACTGTTTGGTTATGCAGAACCACTATGTTAGTATCTCATAAGCCCTCTAATTTTCTGCAGAATATGAAATATAGCTCTCACCTTTTTGTTGCTCTTAAGTATGCTTTAATTCTTGTTTTCTTCTTATAGTTTCTTTTATCTACACAGTTAGACAAAAAAAATTGCATTTCCTGATTTCTTGTTCTTAGATGATTATATATTCTCTCTGCATTTCTGAAATGAAATGTTATTGTTTCCCAGTTTGGTATCTCACCAGACAACTTTCAAGGCAATCCTTCTCTGTCTAGTTTCTTCAATATCCTCACAACCAGCGCTGATAAAGACAGCAAGGTATAATTCAATATGTTCCTATAAACTATAATGATTTATACAAATTCCACAAGCTGACAGTTTCAATGAACGGATCTATTAATCTTCTTCTTTCCAGACTTTTGTTTCAACTATTCGATCAAAACGATACCCTGTGACCGCCTTCCAGTGGCATCCAGAGGTATTACAACACAAGTTAACTTGTGTCTTTCATTAGTCTTCTCAATCCTTTGCTAACTTATCTATCACTGTGCTGTATTGCTTTATAATGGATAGATTTTTCTACAAAAGATCCTTACAATATTACTCTGCAGAAAAATGCATTTGAATGGGGATCATCCGAAATCCCTCACTCTGAGGACGCAATTCAAGTGACTCAGCATGCTGCAAATTATCTAGTCAGGTTATTTCTCTACTGATCAATGTAGGAAGATTCAAAAGAAGACTTATGTAGTGCTTTAATTTTCTTATTTGAATGTTGGTGCAGTGAAGCTAGGAAGTCAATGAACAGACCATCATCTGAGAAAGTGCTGAGCAATCTCATCTACAACTACAAGCCTACATACTCCGGATACAAAGAGGGTAAAACCAAAAAAAAAGCTACTTCATAATTGATCCTTACAATTTTTGATGTATGTTAAAACAAATATTGGATCATCTATGATCAAGCTCGTTGATTTTTTTGCAGGAGCGGTGACGATGAGGTTTACATTTTCACGTAACAAAGATCACTTTTTTTTCTTATCCAAATATTATACCAAGTTTATATTAGTTACTAAGAACAAATACATTGTTTCTCCTTATCATTGATTGTATTCACCACAAAATACATTTGTAACCAAGGTGGTGAACTAAAATGTAAAAATGCAATTGCGTCAGCACACTTGTTTTTCCCATCTCTTCCTCGAAACCTAAAGATTCCATTTCTAAGATAAAGTTTTATGGGTTTGCCTGTAATAACCAAAATCATGAATTTGGCCAGACACAAAAAAAGGTACTACCTTGTCTGTTTCGAAAACCCATATAATTATTGACATTGTCAGATCGTATTGGGTGACGAATAATGAGACGCACAATATCAAAACTGGGCCCTCCTCCACTGAGTGATACGAATGTCGCTTAACAAAAAGATAAAATAATGTGCATAAAATACATGACCACGTGGACGGTGGAGATTAGTTTCTCGATTTGTATAAGAAAGTTGAACGGACAGAGATATTTTTGAAGAGTGAAGACATGAAAAACCCAAAATCGTGAAAATTCATATCTCCTCCTCCATTGATCATTCCTCTTCCTCTGAGATGTGGAGCTTTGTCTGGTTAGTACCGTTGGTACTATCTCTGTTTATGGATAGCATCATAACGGCGATGTCTGCGGCGATTCTTCTCCCTAGTCAAACCGGATTTGATATTTCTCGCAGTCCGGTATGCTCCGCGCCGGATCCGAACCTCAATTACAGACCGGTTATTGGGATTCTGAGCCATCCTGGTGACGGTGCGTCGGGTCGTTTGAGCAATGCTACAGACGCGTCGTCCATTGCAGCGTCGTATGTGAAATTAGCTGAGTCTGGTGGAGCACGTGTGATCCCACTCATCTACAACGAACCTGAAGAAATTCTCTTTCAGGTTACTCTTATTTAGCTCAGTCGATTCTGGATTCTTATTGTTAAGTTTGTTTTAGCTTAAGAATTTGATTTACATTTTGGAACCGCAGAAGCTAGAATTGGTCAACGGTGTGATACTAACTGGTGGTTGGGCTAAAGAAGGATTGTATTTTGAAATCGTCAAGAAAATCTTCAATGTAAGCTGAAACTTTTTTTCTTGGTTGAATTGAACTACAATGATCTTACTCATATCTATATGATCCTCTCAGAAAGTTTTGGAAAGAAATGATGCGGGAGAGCATTTTCCGATATACGCTATTTGCCTCGGATTTGAGCTCTTGACAATGATCATAAGTCAGGTGACCCTTTGTTCTTGCTTCCCATATATGTCTGTTAAGCTATATAGTTAAGTCCTACTGGATTTTGTGAAGTTTAACACCATCTGAATACTGGAATAATCTGTATAGATAAGAAGTAAGAACCTTCCTTCCTTTGTTCGCACTGTCTATTAGGCAAGCAGGGACACTGAAATTATCCCTTTCATATACTATAGTATGTAGTAGATTTTGAAATATGCAAGCTCTATTGAAAATCTCTAATATGTGGCCTTGTAACAGAACAGAGACATTTTTGAAAAAATGGATGCAAGAAATTCTGCATCAAGTCTTCAGTTTGTTGAAAATGTTAATATCCAAGGAACCATATTCCAAAGGTAAATGCAGCTTTTCATCATGTGTATATACTAATACCAAAAATATTAGTAAAATACTTCATATGCAATTCGTAATGTCTCATAATGCAGATTTCCTCCAGAGCTGTTGAAAAAACTCGGTACAGATTGTTTGGTTATGCAGAACCATCGGGTTAGTATGTTGCAACCTTTAATTTGCCGTCACAGTTATATTATGGGATATAGTTGTCACCATTTTTGTTGCTAAACATACTTATACACAGTTTTGTTGGCCTCTACAATTAAGCAACTTTTCTTGCCACTTCTTTACTATCTTGTTCTTGAATGGTTATTATCCTCGGTTCTATCTGCTTTCTGATATAAATTGTCATTATTTCCAGTTTGGTATCTCACCAGAAAGCTTTGAAGGCAATGTTGCTCTGTCCAGTTTCTTTAAAATCGTCACAACATGCGTTGATAACAACAGCAAGGTATTTTTATGTCCCCACTGACCCACCTAAAACGATTTCAGAGCCTGACCTTATAGAACAAATCTATTTAACTAAATTTCCAGGTTTATGTTTCAACGGTTCAATCAAAAAAATATCCAGTGACCGGCTTCCAGTGGCATCCCGAGGTACATATACACTCACTAATTAACTTACGTCTCTCATTTAGTCTTTTAACGCCTAGGGAATATCCTACCATCTCTGTGCAATATTCTGCAGAAAAATGCATTCGAGTGGGGATCATCCAAAATTCCACACTCTGAGGATGCGATCCAGGTGACTCAGCACGCAGCAAATCATCTAGTCAGGTTAATTCTCTATTCGTTGTTTTGTAAGAATTGATAGGAGAGTGCATCAACTCTGATTGCTACATTAGTAGAGTAGAACATTAGAATCAGTATAACTGAGAGTTGGTTAGATAATGAAGTAGTCGTTTCTCACGGAAAGGTAAGAACACTCGTAATTTTTGTAGCAAAATCTCATGGATTGAGTTCAAATGTGGTGCAGTGAAGCTAGGAAGTCACTGAACAGGCCGGACTCTAAGAAAGTGCTGAGCAATCTCATTTATAACTACAAGCCTACCTACTGTGGATACGCAGGGTAAAGCCACTCAGGACAATCTTTACATAATTCTTTCCTCTTCTTCTCCTTCTTTTTTATTTTTTTACTGTAAGTTTTAACGATTCTTTGGATCGAATAAAATGGTGGATTTTGCAGAAAGGGTTACGACGAGGTTTACATCTTCACACAACAGCGATCCCTTCTCTAATAACTTCAACCACTCGTGTGTATAGTGATATATGTATCTTCAAATCTGTTATATTATCTGTGAACTTGTTGTAACTTTGAACGTCAGCCTATGATGGCTTGTGTTTGACATTAAATTAGATAATGTATGCCTTTCTATCTTTATCGTATACATAGAAAAATAAAAAACTCATATATGTTTACTCAGTATTAATAAGATAATACAGAAGATGTGATCAGTCTGTTTTATAAGATTCGAGTTCTGTTTTACATATAACGGTAACCTGTTCTTCTAGAATTTACAGTTTCTTTACATGTTAGCTGTTAAAGAAAATATATTGTTGGGCTTAGTTACATGTTTAATATATGGGCCCATAATATATCTATATGCTGGGCTCAAAAAAACCCAATGGCCTTATAACAAATTGAATGGTCTTCTTCATTGCCAACCGACAATGTAAAACTCTGACTAGCAAAACTTCCCGGTTTATTCCTTAACCGAAATATACGAGCCAAATTCGACTGTTCAGCTTCATCGCTTTGCACTGTGTTGTTCTCTCTCCGGATGGATTCCTCCCAAGCAAGCTTCTTCGATTTCCCTCTAACACCAATCGTCTGGTCTCGTATCTAATCGTAAGTCTTCTTCCTTCTCTTAATTTTGTTTCGGTTGTTAATGTAGATCGTCTTAGGTGGAATCAAGTAAAAGAGATTGATAAACCCTAATTGTTCTGTTCTATCGTTAAAACTTTCCTAGATTAGTCGGGATTAGGAAAAGAAGTCTAGCTATAAAATCGTTGCATCGAATTTTGTCTTAGAAATGCTAATTTCCGGTTTGTACATCCTCAGATATCAGAACCGGCCCTGTATGCAAGTAGCTTGAGCTTCTGTTATGATTTGTTGAAGGGAGAGAACTTTGAAGCTTGCATTTCTTGGGAATAGGCATAAATGGGGAGGGTAATGGATTGGGCAGCAAGATCTGATCATTTGGGAGGAGTTCCAAGGAAAACTGTGATAATGGCTGTTAGTGCATTTGCTAAAGCGGTAGCGAATCTTTGTAACAAAAGCTCAGTTCACAATGCAGATACTCTTATGAATCTTGTCCGGTCAAGACCACCGGGTGTTCCTCTCATCACTGTTACTAATCACATGTCGACGTTAGTTAATATTAAAACCTCAATAATATGATCCTTTCTTGATGTCATCTCTATCCGCATACTTGTATTTTTGATGTTGATCTATTTGTTTATTTCGTGTTTGATGTAATCAGTTTGGATGATCCAGTTATGTGGGGGGCGTTCAAGGGTCTCCTTTCCCTTGATCCAGAATTGGCTCGGTGGGTTCTTGCTGCAGAGGACATATGTTTCAGGAACCCTATCTTCTCCTACATTTTTCGCACTGGTATGTCACATTTTTCTTTTTTTGCTTCTTCTCAGGTGAAAGACTGTAATCTGTGTTTTGTATGGATTTAGACTTATGTCGAAATGACGACAACTTTTTTTAGTAGATTTGGCGGATGCCTTCTTAACAAAATAGGATTTACTCATGATGAATGTTAATGATTTCTTTTGAGAAGGAAAATGTATACCTATAACTAGAGGTGGTGGAATCTATCAAGAACACATGAATGAAGCTCTCCAGCGATTAAAAGATGGATCTTGGGTAAGTTATCTTGCACCTTTAAACAAATACTGAGATCTTTTCAGGTCTTTTCTTACCTCTAACCTTTTGGATTTAACCATGACTAGTAGCTGCATACCTTCCCAGAGGGAAAGGTGTTTCAAGAAGATGTTCCTATAAGACGACTTAAATGGGGAACTGCAAGCCTCATTACCCGTTGTCCAGTTACCCCAATCGTATTGCCAATAATTCACCGTGGTTTTGAGGAGGTAACTCGTCCAGGTCCCTTCTAAGTCTGCTTAACTCAATAATCGTTTAAACTTCTACAGCTAAATGCCTGCAGGAACGAGAATAAGCCTTGAATTATGCATCCATTTTCCAAAATTCGAATTTCTATTTGATTGTATTATGTCTTCATTCGAAGGTCACTTACCCACATTGTTGTAATGACTTAGATGATGCCGGAGAACTACAACAATGGACGAAGACCACTGGTACCGCTGTGCAACAAAGACCTTAAAGTTGTGGTTGGTGAACCAATTGAGTTTGATGTTCCTATGATGGTTGAGACGGCTGTCTTGGCCTCTCGCCATGTAACCCCTCCTCTTCAAGAAGCTAAATGGCCTGTCCTCACTTCTGCTGGCCAAGAGCTAGACGAAACTGCTCAGAGAACCCTCTACATAGCTCTTTCCGAGAAGATTCAATCCTCCTTGGAAACATTGAGACTCTTAGCCAAGCGGTTGTAACTTCCGCTGGCAAACTTCATATCAGAATCCGGTTCACAATTTTTCAAGTACCGGTTTAGATTCGCAATGGTAATCAGTTATTAACTTTATTTAATTTTCTGAAGTTGAGAAATATTCTACAAATTATAGAAGTTATTAGTTTAGATCATTACTATACATACTCTAAACACTTCCTTCTTCTCACCATTGTCTGTTGGGGTGATTTTTCAACTTAGCTGAAAGAAGAAATGATCATAGATCTGACAAAAGACATTTATTTGGCTTCTCCTAAAAAGCCTATGAATCAAAAATGAATAAAAAAGTATCATTAATACAATCCAAAATCATAACCATCCTCTTCTTCTTCCACTTCGTCTTCATAGAATTTCTCATCTGTGTTCATCTCGTATGGTGCTTCTTCATCTTCTTCATCTTCAACAATCTCACGCTCTTCCTTGTCCTTCTCTGTAACTGTCTCGGTTCTCGGTTTCTTCTGTGACTTCTCAGCTGGCTGAGAGAAGAAACAAGAACAAAATTGTATAGACCTGAAAGTGATGACAACTAAGGAAACAAGAAGAGAGGATGATAAACTTACGCTAGTATCAAAGAGCTCCTCCAAAACATCGTAGTTGATTAACCCACCGAGTCTCTGTATAAGACTCAAAATCAGAAACACAAGAAACTCCAAACGTTTTTCTTCAAAAGATACAATATATTTTTACCTTCCTCTCAAGTGTTCTGCAAACTGCTTCCATGGCTGTAGCTGGCGGAGGCGCGTTCTTTTCTTCCTCAGCACGTTTTTGTCGCTTTTCCTTTCTAGATTTCGCCACAGCTGCTTTAGAAGCTTCCACAAGGTTTCTTGCATCTTCTGGGCAATTAGCAGCCTTCAGAGCTGCTTCCTTTTCTGCTTGCTCCTACCCAACAATATAAATTATTTTCCGAGTGTCTCAATCCAAGAGAAGATAAATGATATATATATATATATAGCCTATCAATCACACCTTAACATAGTCACTGTTTTGTAAATTCCAGGCCATCGTCTTCAACAGCGTTTCGTCCTCACCGAGAAGAATGTGATCCACCTGGGAAACAGTGAACAAGTGAAACTCTAGTAAGGGAAAAAGACTCTACAGCATTTCTCCATTTCATGTTCCATATTCAAAGTTTAAGCATTCGACCAAGCATATCTAATACAACACAAGAAAGCAAAATCATAGCCCACCTCAGAATCATCGTCGTCCGAACAGATGCCTGATTCATCCGAATATTCAGCATGTCCTTCACCCCCATATTTTTCTCCTTCGCCTTTCTCTGCGCACAAAAGATTCTCAAGAGTTCAAACGATAGCAAAAGAAGACAATAAAAAACTGATTAGACATCAAGTACACTCACCCGGACATTGTTTTTCCCCTTTGCTTACATTTACTTGTTCATCGCTACCAACTCCTCCCTCGTTTTCTTCTCTAGCTGATTTTTCCATTCTCTCTTTCTCTGCTCGCTGGAAAGCAGGAGGATCCGACCCACCAACAACTCCACCAGAAATTTTAATGAACTGCCGGAAAAAATTGGAAGCATCTGATTGCCATTTCTCGCCAGTTGCATAAGCATCAAAAAAAAAAAATGGAAAGAGACAAGTCCAGAGACTTACATCCTCGTGACAGCTCTTACATAATCCATAACCAAAACGTTTTAAATCCTTATGTTTACAGTTCACTACTCCTTCGTCAGAATTTGGTCTTGGGGTAAAAGCTTCTTTACGCTCAATCCTTATCTTTTCGATTTTATCAAGCTCATCAACCTAGACAAGCATGTACAACAACTGAATACATAAAACCAACAAGTAATATGAGGCAAAAAATTGACAACATCTAATCTACAACTAGAAACGATTTGTAACATAATCATGCAAATGAAATAACTCACAGTTAAACTTCCAGCCTCGGTATTAGCAAACTCATTCAATCTTTTGGTTATTGTTGCTTCACACATATGCACAATTTTTGCCTGAAAAATATTTCGAAAACACATCAAATCGAAATATCCTAGCTCTCATCTTATAACAATATTCTTTCAAAAGCTTAAATCATATTCTTACAATATCTGCTCTAGAGCACATGATACCATGAGAAAGTGCAGCTATGTAAATCGCTGCTCCACATATTCCACTTGGTTTCCGGCCGGTCTGCAAGCCAATAGATGGCCAACATTAACACAAGCCATAATAAATAACTTAAAGACAAAGAACATGTAAGCAACTATCCTTTTAACAATAAAAACACACCTGCATCCAATCTCTCTTCATACTAGATATAATGTTTGTAGCCGTACCAAAGACCTTATCCCAGAGATTTTTTGTTCTATTGTGTGCACCTTTCAATAAGTCTGCAAGTATATAATGAAACAAGAATTTGATATAACTGTTTTGTATTTTGACTAAAATAGAATGTTCTGCATCAACCCGATAAAGAAAAAGAATGGGAGGCAGAAGACGACATACTTACTGTTCATGAATCGAGGAATGAAGATTGAAGGATCAACAAGCTCCTCATAGTTCCCGTTTGGCACAAGGTACAGCATTTCACAGAGTTGCAAGTACACAGAACCTAACTCGTAACTAGAAATGAAACCAATACCAGCATTACTCGACTCGACTCAGCAGTAGACTTAAGAGGTAATTAGGCTATCAAATAAAGAGAAACGTAGTATGGGAATGAAAAAAACTCTTCCTTACACGCTAACTCGAAGGTAGCTTGAAAAATCAATAAGAAGAAACGGAAATTTCAGTTCCCTACAAGTAAAGAAAGTATTTGGTTATGTGAAGATGATAGCTTGAAGCACAAGCCAATATTAAGTGTAAAACTCACAACCGTTGAAGACTAACCAAAGGTGATATAAATCAAACCTTGGTTGAGTTACTTTTGGACCAAAGTCATGGGAAAACGGCTATGAAGGAAATTGCTTGGAAGTAGCCTCATTTCAGCCATAAGGACATTTTGTCTGTTTGTGTTCAAAGAGGGTTGCGGTTTGCTTTAACTCAAGGAAGCCCTAGTTAGCTTTGTCTATATATAGGTGCTTATGTTCATTGAGAGAGGCCAAGGGGGAGAAGAGAGAGAGAGAGAGCAATAGCACATTGTAGATCTAAGAAGAAGAGTTAGAAAGGTGTAGAGATGAGAGAAAACATGTATTAGTATAAGCTTGTCATTGTTGTTCTCTGAGTGATACATGAAGTGGTACAGAGTGAGTCTAAGTACTAGTGAAGGGTATTAGACGGGTCACTTGTAGCTTCTTGTTGTAATCACCTTCTTCTTCATAGTAAAGGATGTGGATCGAAAGATCCTAACCGGACGTAGCGGTTCGTTAACACCGTGAACCGGGTGAACAAATGCTTGTGTGCTCCTCTTCTTCCTTCATATTACTCTGTTTTATCTTCCTCTTCTTCTCCATACTTTACTTGTTTTATTCCGTGTTCTGGTGTTGATGACAAATGAGATAAAGCTTGAGCCTTTGAGGGTTTAAAAACCTTAACAGATTGGTATCAGAGCCAGGTTGGCGAAGAAAGGTGAAAGCTTTGTAAGCAAGCTCTAAAGCTTTTGTCAAGAAAAATCACACCTTTATCAAGCGACGGCTTCAGGTGGTGCAGCTCTAGAGAAGAACGATGGTTTGGAGATTATATCTCATAGAAGACGGCGTGTCTTGTTCATCTAAGAAGAACTAGATCTGCTAGAAGCGTTGAGAGATGAAGATGGAGGAAGATAGAGATTTCTGTTGAAATCTCGGATCTTGGCAGAGGAAGTTTGTCACGAGCTCAAGTGATTCTCAGAGAGTTCGATGACATGGACGACGCGATGATTCTCTCCGGAGAAGGCTGAAATTCGGCGGAGTGGCTCGAGTTTCTGATGACGTCGTGAAAGAGCAGACGGCGCCGTCACTAGCAGAACGAGTCGGAGAAGAAGCCTTGGGTTTTGTTGTCGAGGAAAAGACACATGATGAGAGAAAATCGTGGAGATATGGTGACCATAAAGTCACCGGATTTCGGATGTTGGCCGGAAAACTGTGTTACGGTGGTCACGGGTGAGGAGAAGAAAAGTCAAGGTGCGACATTTTTTTTTCCTTTCTACAAGTTGGGCCTAGATTGGCCTTTGTTTCTCATTAGTGAATATTTTAAGTGGGCTAAGATCTCTTAATGCCCAAAAGTCAAAAGAGAAACAAGGCACGTCTCTCTTGTTACTTCTCTCTCTTTCGTTGAAGTATCGAGGTTGAAGCTTGAAAGGATAGTCAACTACGACAGATGCGTCGCCAAATTTTTTAGAGATTTCGGTTGATGCTGCATCAGGTCCTGTCTATGTTGATATCAGAAAGAGGAGCTTCAGTATGTGAAAGAGATGTGAAGATTAGAGCTTAAGTTAGAGCTGCAAGGGTTGGAGATTTTTTGGCAAACTCAGAAATTTCGTAAGTTGCAGTGACAGTAAAGGCAGTCACAAGACGGTGTCTTCGGTGTGCAGTTTTAAGCTCAGTAAAAGGAAGCTTCATTAACTGTTGTTTTGAAGCGGAAGCGAGATAGAGTAAAAGCATCGGGTGAAGTTTGATAATGATCCTGGAAATGTGTTAGTCGGATTCTTTGACTAAATTCATCGGATCATAATCATTCTTCTTTCTCAAGACTCAAAATTTGGAGGCTTCAAGCCTTGTTCCACTGTTATGGCAAGAGATTGAAAAGATTCAGCTTTGGGTTTTAAGCTGGCCTTTTCTGGATGTTTGAATCAGGTTGGTAATGTCTTTTACAGTTGGTGTTTGATTGTTGTTGAATTCACAGCCTCGGAAACTGTAAAAATTTTATGGGACTAAGGGACGCCTTAGAAGCTTGAAATTTTATGAGTATTGAGCTGTGGAGTATTTGTAAAAGGGTGTTCTGGATTCAAATTTAAAGACAAGACTTCAGTGGTTGGTTGAGTTTTGAAGAGGATTGGTTGTGTGGTTCTGTCTCAGTGTTAAAGGTTAGATTCTTGTGAATCTAAGGTTCTACAGTTGGTGGATCGTCAGAGAAAGCATCTACCAGGTCATTTCAGCAAAGATGAAACAAGGTTTCTGAGTCAGTAGCTGTTCATGAGGCAGTGTACTGGTACAGAAAAATGTTTCTGTAGAAAGACACTTCTAGTGTAAACCTAGGTGTGAGCTGAAGAGTGTTTGGATTCTTATTCAAGAACATAAACTCTTGAAAAGATGGCAGCGACAAAGATTCATGTTTTGTGCAGATTTGTGTTTGATATAACACATGGTGATTCTGTTGGAATGAATCTAAGAGAGCATAGAGTTCTCATCTCGGGTGGAGCAATATTTTTTCTCAGAGTGTATCTTGCGTTTTGAGTCGGATCTTCAAACGAAAAAAAAAAAGAAGTATCTGATGGTATGCAATTGGCTATACTATTTTCTTGTGTCGAAAGTCTTCTTAGCCGAGAGGGTGTTAGGCACCGGGAGGGTGTTTGGCATCAAGGGGTGTTAGGCTGCGTGTTCTGTTCTTTTGAACAGCGGTACAAGGTAAGTATATGGTGGTTTTGCAATTGGAAAGTACAAGATTTGATTTCTCGGATTGAGGTATGGTTTGATGGTGTATCAGCCTAAGTTGTTTCATTATTAGATCATGAAGAAGGCTCTAAATAAAGAGAGGACAAGGCTGCGGGAATGAAAGAATAGTTCTTGGTGGTTCTTCTGGTTAAAGTTGATCAGTTGGAGTGGCTGAAGGAAGAAAGAGGATATGTCACAGGTTTGGACACACTTTCTCAAGCAATAAGCCATGGTTTATATTCTGATACAGAAGAACATGTGAGTTGTTCGAAGCAATAGTGAAGAGTGGCGTAACTCAGAGAAGTGAAGCTGAACTTACAGAGACAGAGTAATATCAAAATGGTTATAGTTCCTGGTGGAGCTATGTTCTTTTATGTTGTCTTGGGCGTTTAGCTCGAAAGGAAAGAGTTAAAGGCTGCAGAATTCACTATTGAACAGGGCTCTTGAAAGTTTAGTTTGCTAAGGAAAAGAGCATGTCAAGGACATGTGGTTATCAACGGGTTTTCAGCTCAAAGAAGGTTAAAATCTGAGGGTAAATTATTCTTATAGATTTGGTTTGGAGCTGATTGTTGGTAAGGTCATTTAGAAGCAAATTGCAGGTTTTCAGAAATGAATCGCAAGTTTCTAGATAAGAGTTGCTGGTTTCTGAAAATTTCAGAGAAAAAAACACTAAGATGTAAACAGAGATGAAGTTAGTGAAGTGGTTCAGTGAATTTGCTAAAGAAGATGGTGAAAGAGACAACTGCAGGTGTTGTAGGAATTGTCTCAAGGCTGTTCACTTAAAGACTATGAAAGTGTTGTGTATCAAGTTTGATAAACAACCCATCTCAAAGCTGGTGTTGCAACTGAAAATAGTATCATAAAGGATGTCTTCTCAGTGATTGATTTTTGCAGAGTAGTCAACTGTAAGATATGATTTGAGAAGTGTTATGATGCAAGTACCAAGAGTTTTGGTGGAGCATGCACATTGATGAATGTGTTGCAGGGCTATTTACAGCTGGATAATCACATCATGAGCTCAAGAAAAGGATGTGAATGGAGCTGTAAAGTATTGTCTCAGGAGCATCGCAAGTGTGTGATTGTGAGACACGTTTTGAAAACAGCTAGTAGTGGCGCTAAGCTGTTAGTGTGTTGAATCTGCCAGTGCAGTGTAATTGAACGAGAAGGTTCAAGTCTAGTCTGTTTAAACAGGCTGGTGAAACAGGAATCTCAGGAAATACAGTAGGATTAACTGTTGATGAGATTGTTTACAGAGATGAATCAAGTCTGTTTCAGAGTTTTGAAATAAAAGTGGTTCTAATGTTTTGCATTGATCTAAGGAAAGGACTACGGTTTTGTACTCACTGCAGGAGTAAGTCTTAGTGACAACGTTGGGGATCAGGTTTGCAAAAGGAGAAGTTTGTTTATTCACTGTAACAGTGTCTATGGTTTTTAACAGAAATCATAGAGAGAAGCTGTGTGACTAATTGGTTCATAAGTGGTGACTTATGAGGTTCTGTTATGGTAACAGGTTTGACGTTGTTTCAGCTTGTTATTGGTTTGCTGCTGAGTGGTAATCTAAAGCTTTCGGGTTATAAAGATTCAAGAATATCAGTGGCAGTTGAGCCGAAACACATGTTTGTGTTACTGGCTAGTTTCCCAACTCGGTTGAGGGGTGGAATGTTGAAGATTCATGGAAATGTTCTGGTCTTTCACAAAGGAAGCTTACACATCTAGATTGTCAAGTCAGAGATGTTTATGAAGGTTACGTGAATGAATCAGTATGCTGAGTGGTTACATCAGAGTTCAAGTGTTGGATGCATCATGAAGTGATCATTGAAGAGTTGAGCTTCATACAAGTCTGTATTGAAGCTGGTTTTCACAGCTCTGGTAAACTAAAGATGTATTCATGGCTCAGGTTCAGATATGTGAACAATCACATATGAAGGGCATTAAACATAAGTTAAATGCAAGAAGGATCAAGCAAGTTTATGGTGTTTTAAACTGCTAAGTATCAAGGATAAGTGATGATTCTAAGGATCCTAGACTGAATCCAAGAAGTAGAATCAGGTACTCTCTATCTCTCAAACCATATGCTGGTGATTGTTTGTTGCTTATGCTATCAGGTGGAGATTTGTGAAGATGATAGCTTGAAGCACAAGCCAATATTAAGTGTAAAACTCACAACCGTTGAAGACTAACCAAAGGTGATATAAATCAAACCTTGGTTGAGTTACTTTTGGACCAAAGTCATGGGAAAACGGCTATGAAGGAAATTGCTTGGAAGTAGCCTCATTTCAGCCATAAGGACATTTTGTCTGTTTGTGTTCAAAGAGGGTTGCGGTTTGCTTTAACTCAAGGAAGCCCTAGTTAGCTTTGTCTATATATAGGTGCTTATGTTCATTGAGAGAGGCCAAGGGGGAGAAGAGAGAGAGAGAGAGCAATAGCACATTGTAGATCTAAGAAGAAGAGTTAGAAAGGTGTAGAGATGAGAGAAAACATGTATTAGTATAAGCTTGTCATTGTTGTTCTCTGAGTGATACATGAAGTGGTACAGAGTGAGTCTAAGTACTAGTGAAGGGTATTAGACGGGTCACTTGTAGCTTCTTGTTGTAATCACCTTCTTCTTCATAGTAAAGGATGTGGATCGAAAGATCCTAACCGGACGTAGCGGTTCGTTAACACCGTGAACCGGGTGAACAAATGCTTGTGTGCTCCTCTTCTTCCTTCATATTACTCTGTTTTATCTTCCTCTTCTTCTCCATACTTTACTTGTTTTATTCCGTGTTCTGGTGTTGATGACAAATGAGATAAAGCTTGAGCCTTTGAGGGTTTAAAAACCTTAACAGGTTAACATACAGCGAAATAACGCATCACTCGTAACATAACTCAGCATGATATATGAGGGAAAGAAATCTGTAACTACGATCACTAAGATTCTAACCTGCAAGTCAAGTAGAGACAGGAAGACTGTACAAGTTCAGTTCTGCGCCCTTTAGTGAAGTTATGGTCAGTTGCGATCTTCAGAAGATAAATAAAGTAAGACGGTGCAAGAATCCTGACAGATTGATTAATATTCAGATGATATGTAAAACCTAAACATACATCAAAGAATTGGGCAGCCATGTCAATCACATCATCTCTCTCATCACCAATTCCCAAGGCATCTTTCAAATTCCTTATCTCATCTCTAGCTGCCAAAACAAAAGATGAGCCAAAGGAATGATATTTGAAAAAAAGCAAACTCATCTCTGTATACCTATTCTCTTTCTCCTTTCACGTGAGGTTGAAAGCCCACTCTTAACACTCGTCACAATGTTACCTGACGCTTGGCTCTGCAGGCACAGAAATAATTTCAAATGGTCGAAAAAAAGATAGCATCATAGTGAAGCAACTCTCTAGATATCACTGAAAAGACAGAGTTTTTTATAAACTAATATTCTAATTTAATCACTAGACTGTTAAAGAAGAAAAAGTTGATAACTTGTCATACAAGCACTAGAATAAGAGGAGCTTAGAGTATACCTGTCCAGCGGCATTCTTAACGAAGGTAACATCAGTAGAAAAATTGAAGTTTTCCAAAATCCTCCCACATAAATCACATGCCCTACAAAAAAAAAGAACAAGCTCATCATAACTCGGAGCTAGAATCATAACCGCAAGTTTAAAAATCGAAAACACTTACAAACCACCGTCGAAGGGGCGAATTCCGGGAACATTCTTCGCACAATGCTTACACCACACCATGGCTGGAGATTTTCGTCTTTTAGGTTGACCTCTTCAAGCGAAAAGACATACAAAGTAAGATATTTTTCAAACGATCTAAAAAAAACAACTTGTCTTACCAGAAATTGAACTCGCCGTCGCCTTAGATTAGCCTGCCGTCGAGTAACCTGTTTTTTTTTTCTTTCTTGTCGGCCATTTTCATTAATATGAAAAGTCCAGTGGACATGATGAAACAGAAGCCCAATTTCCCATGTCAATTGGGCTGTCCAAGTCCAAATAGGTTTGTCTTCCTTTGGATCCATTTTTCCCCGACTTCTTCGCCGTCTCATACTCTCATTGTTTTTCTTTGTTTTTTTTTTCTCTGCTGAATTTGATGTATTAATTTTTTACTTTTTATTGGTATCGTAACGTAAGGTTGATTCTATACGGTTTTTAATAAGATGTAACATTATGATATTCTATTTAGTATAATAATATTTGATTTTTATATGGTGAAGCTACATTTGTTTAAGTTTATCATAGTATAGTTAAGAAAACAATTCTTTTAAATTTGATTGTTGTATATGTATGTTATGATAATTATATATTATATTGTATATGTGGGTTTTAAACATTTTTATAGTCTTAAAATTAATAAAAAAAAAATTGTTTTACACGTGTCAAAATCTAAGATCGATAAAGTTGATACGTGACACAATCTTATGAGTTACTAACTTTGAAAACTATATTTTATATAATAAGATATGAAAACTAAATAACTCGCATTGTAAATTATTTTATCGACTATGATATATAGCAACCCGCAATAATGTATGTTGTTGAAATGTTATATCTTATCATTATAGCCAGAAGTCAGTAAAAACTAAAAAAGCGACAATAATCGAATATAAGCGTCAACAAAAACCTTGACATTTGTGTACATCGAATATACTCTGAAATCTTTGTATTAATATAAAAACAAGTAAAATATATTTGTAAAAGACCGTTATTTGTGTGTGTTTTGTTCTGTAACGCCGATGATCTGGCCAGTTCTGTCTTTCTGCTGATGATGTTCGACAGAAACAGCATTAAACGACCAGTTTGAACAGAGAGAGAAGGTTCTGATAAGAGAGACAACGTGGGTGGCAAACATACGCGGCGGCCACGTGAGCCAATCGAGCCACCGGTGCGGCGAGTGGTGCTTACGCGAATGCAAAAAATCAGTTAATGGGCCCTACAGGGTCACGCCGGGGACGCACTATCACGTGAAAAGGAAACTTCCAAGGTCAGCCAAAACGGTCTCGTGGCATTTTCGTAAATCGGATCACGTTTTAGGGGTAAACGCTAGCTCTTGCACGTGGTAATGGTGCTCGATGTGTGGCAACATTGGTAAATTAAAGCCGAATCGCGGGGCAATGGTATATGCTCCCACGTGCTAGGTCCGGAGGACATGCGTGACCTCATGTAGTGGTGATTTCGTAAATATAGGGTCAAATCTCGGGTAAAAATGGTACTTCAAATTATTTGTTTTATTTTGGCTTTCACTATGAAAGTAATAACTCCTCTTCTCTTCTCTGGCACGAGAGAGTTCATGATTAGCTTAAGCTCCTTCATCTTCTTCTCCAATTCCCGGGTTTTTCTTCTTCTTCCTCTGATCACCGGAAAATTCACCTCTTTCGAATTCTCCGACCATCTTGATCCGCCGCGTTCATCTTAAACTACCTTTTTTTTTCCTCAATTCGAGAAGGTGAAGCAGCCAACAAGTTACTGCAACTGTTTTCCACGATTTTTGCTTTCCTCAAGATTCTCGCCGTCGTATTTTTCTCGGTGAGAGCATTTCTCTCCCACGGAAAATCCAAGTTGCATATCTGATCGGAGATCAGAAAGTGCTGGTGCACGAAGTATCGATTTTCTTATGCCAGATCTGATATATATTGCTTCAACCAAATATTCAGGAACTCTTTCTGAGGTTGAATTAGTTTGACTTTCGCTGCGAATTGTATCTTTGATCTACCTAAAGAAACAGAGAGTTTTTTTCGGAGGAAGAAGAAACAGAGAGAAGTGATGACGTCGGGGACGAGAATGCCGACATGGAGGGAGAGAGAGAACAACAAGAGAAGAGAGAGACGACGTAGAGCAATCGCAGCTAAGATCTTCACCGGATTAAGAATGTACGGTAACTACGAGCTGCCGAAGCATTGCGACAACAACGAAGTACTTAAAGCACTCTGCAACGAAGCTGGTTGGATCGTCGAACCTGATGGAACTACTTACCGTAAGGTTTGTCTCTCCAATCCGGATCTCATTTTTTGTTCTTTATACACTTCAAGAACATGGAAATTTTGAATTCTTGATACAGAATTATTCGGGCTTTTTGTTAAAAGATCAATTACTGTTTGCATCTAACATGCGCCGGAGCGGATAAGTCGCCGGATTGCTAACGTGTTCCTGATAATACCTCTCTGCGTAGGTTAGCTAGCCTTAGAGGAGCGTTTAGTCAAATGTTAGATTCTTTTTCTGTGACTTTTTATTATGCGTTTCTCTAAAAGAAGATTCTTTCTCTCTCTGTTTCATGGTGTGTGTGTGACTGATTCACTTGTGTCCAGGTCTAGTCTATTCTCAGATGATACCCACCAAAAAATAAAAGAGTAGCATAGATCTCAATAAAAACTGATAAAAACAATGTCCTCTTGCACAGAATTCAAAGTGTACGTTTTGATCTGTAGATTTTTTGGGAAAGCAAGTTGGCACTTTTGCTTTTATGTCTCAAGTCTTTTTACTCAAACTTCGAGAATCGAGTCCAATGATAATCTGTCGGTTCAGGAATCCTTGACCTGATCACTGTCTATTTCAGTTGTTTTCACATTGATAGAATCAAAACTAGTTCTACTTGTAACCCTTATTATCACTAACACATTCAACAGACTCATTTCTTGGTAATTCATGTAATTAGAAGGATTATGTCCCATTGATCATGTTTGTTTGATATGTTTTCAGGGATGTAGTAGACCTGTAGAGCGTATGGAGATAGGTGGCGGTTCAGCAACCGCTAGTCCTTGCTCCTCCTATCAGCCAAGTCCGTGTGCTTCTTATAATCCTAGTCCAGGCTCCTCCAACTTCATGAGTCCTGCTTCATCCTCATTTGCTAATCTTACCTCTGGAGATGGCCAATCACTAATCCCGTGGCTGAAACACCTCTCAACAACATCATCCTCATCAGCTTCTTCGTCATCAAGACTCCCTAATTACCTCTACATCCCTGGAGGCTCCATAAGCGCTCCTGTAACTCCTCCTTTAAGCTCTCCAACAGCTCGTACCCCGAGAATGAACGCTGATTGGCAACAACTCAACAACTCCTTCTTTGTCTCCTCAACACCGCCAAGTCCCACGCGACAAATCATCCCTGACTCTGAATGGTTCTCAGGGATTCAACTAGCACAAAGTGTTCCAGCTTCACCAACGTTTAGCCTCGTCTCACAAAACCCATTCGGATTCAAAGAAGAAGCAGCCTCTGCTGCTGGAGGCGGAGGCGGATCAAGGATGTGGACACCAGGTCAAAGCGGAACTTGCTCACCGGCTATTCCACCTGGTGCTGACCAGACAGCAGATGTTCCAATGTCTGAAGCCGTGGCTCCTCCAGAGTTTGCGTTCGGGAGTAACACGAACGGGTTAGTGAAAGCATGGGAAGGAGAGAGGATACACGAGGAGAGTGGTTCAGATGATCTTGAGCTCACTCTTGGAAACTCAAGCACCAGGTAATTCCAACCCACATGTACATTTTCAAACCCGGTTGAACCAAAACCGTTCTTGATATGTTTCTCCAATTTTTATTTCAATTGTTCTCTTCCCATGTAATGCTCAAAGTTGAAACACAGCTTATAATATTCGTTTTATCTGTCCCCGACGACCGTGATCTTCTCTACCTAGCTAATATTGTACCCTTGTGAAATTGTGATTGAATCCTATCACTGCCTATTTTTTAACTGTCTTGTTTCCCAACCCTCCCGGTTTAATAGCTAACGTAAAACCCCGGTTTGAATGGTTCCAATCAGACGGTTTATGTGTACACTGTCAATAAAGACTCATAGTCAACCAAGTAAATTATGTTATTGTTCTATAGCATTATCATGGTTATTAGTAATAATAACCTTAGTCAACAATGAACGCTTCAACACGACGAAATAAGGAAGGTTTTTGCAGTGACAGAGGAGCCTCTGTTTATAACGGCTACAGATTCCATATTCTGACATAGTGACATGAGCTCGATTATGTTCGTCTTGGTCCTTACGACTTCTTTTTTTTGTAATTCACAAAGGAAGGTGGATGACGATAGTGTATCCATATTCGCTCTAATCATCACATGGAAGACAACACAAAGCTTAGGTCGTGGTCAATGCACGTACGTATAACTGAGGGATGGCCACATGCTATCCATTAGTATTCTGCCACGTGGGATTAGTAAATAAATTATTGAATTTATCCCTACCATTTTATCAACACCAGCAAAAAATATATATTTTGACAAATAAAAGTAACCATTTTCACTTGAGAACAAAATTCAAAATGTATCCATTCAGTAAATCAAATCTAATTAAATTCTGTAAATATTATGTTGTTTTATTGTTATGCAAGATGTCACCAGTGGTGACTCACCACCAATTGGGACTTGGGAGACTCCGAATTCAAGTGAAATTAAACGTATGAGTAAATCCACTTATAGGTTTAACGAAACTAAATTTCAAATTTCGTCCTTATTTTTATATACAAAGAGAGTTTTCAAATATAGTCTCAATTTATCGTATTTGACTGGATCTACCCCAAAAGGCAAATTCAAGTCTCGTAGATTTCATATTTGAAAATTTATTCTCTTGAGCATCAAGATTTTTTTTTAATATATACATAAGGCCATAAGGCATTGCAAGAGAGTTATCTTCTAGTCCAATTAACCAAAAAAGAAAGAGATTTTTTTCTTTGATTATATTGACTACTCAATAAAAGGTTTTTATTACCTTCCCCAAATCATAGATATTTGGATATTTACGTAGCTCATAAAGTCATGCGAATGCGTGTATTAATGTCTACAAATGCAACAATTTGACCCTATAAACTTCTAGCAAAACAACAAAAAAAAAAAAAAACAAAAACAAAAGAACAATTTGACCTTAATATCATATTGTTACATCGCTTCTTCTGATTAAGAAAATGAATTTCCATCAGGTCCTCTTTCTCATTCTTCTTATTTTTCTTGTTGATTTATCAGATTGCAATGTCTTAGCAGATAACACCGATGCTGGTTACAAGAACACATCAAAGTGTAACATTTACCAAGGACGTTGGATTTATGACAATTCTTCTAATCCGCTTTATGGAACATCGACTTGCCCGTTCATCGGATTGGATTGCCAGAAGTTTGGTCGGCCGGACAAGAACTACCTCCATTACCGATGGCAACCCACCGGATGCGACATCCCAAGGTGATAGTCACTTTCATTTCTGTAAATAAATCCCAATAACTTGATCGATGAAGTGTTACAATTTCTCGTTCATTGTCACGACTCACGAAGCATATAATTGAAATTATGGGAAAGTAATCTTGGAGATTTCACATTTATCATTTCATATCTAGAAATAATTGGTTGGAATTTGGAAATCTCAAATACGAATGAAATGTGATATAAAATAAATATTTGTTATTTTATAATTATGACTATTTAGCAATATTTGACCATTGCAATCATTGCATATGAATTAACATAAGTAAATTGATTAACATGAGAAATGTTTTTGAATCTTTTGTAATTTTCATGATAACATGAGAAATGTTCTTGGATCTTTTTTTTTTTTTTTTTTTTTTAAAGTTTGTCATGTTCGGGATCTTCAAAATACAAAGTTACACAGCATATTAATAATATTTTGTTAAGAAGTAAGTAATTAACGACTGAAATGTACGTGTGGGTATTTGATGGAACTATGACGTGGCAGATTCGACGGACGAGATTTCTTAAAAAGATTCAAAGGGAAAAAAATACTGTTTGTTGGAGATTCACTAAGCAACAATATGTGGGTGTCTCTAAGTTGCATGCTTCACGCTGCCGTTCCTAACGCTAAGTATACCTTCCAACTCAACAAACGCCTCTCTACTTTCACCATTCCGGTACGTAATTCAACCGGTTTATTGCTGGTTATTGAATTCGGTTAATTAATCAAGACGATCGATTTCATATCATTGCTTTGTAATTCCCCATTGATATTATATATAGGAATATGGAATATCAGTAAATTTCCTGAAAAATGGGTTCCTGGTGGATTTAGTAGCGGACAAAACAAGAGGGTTGATTCTGAAACTAGATTCGATCAGTTCCGGAAATCAATGGTTGGGATCAGATGTCGCCATCTTTAACACATTCCACTGGTGGTCTCACACCGGTCGTGCCAAAACGTAAGTGTTAACCAACGATCTTATATATGAGCTTAATTACACTACAAGAAATATGGATATTCTTAACACACCGAAAACGCTATAATATCGTTTACATGGCGGACTCATAAACGCTGTGTTTGCCGGAGCTATCTTAGAGAGGTCACATACAATAGCGCTTTTTGGACATGCTATTAAATGTACCTATATAATAGCGTATCGTTACTGTTATTGAAATTATAATTGTAGCACAAAATTTCGCTATATATTATTAATGTATAGCATTATTTGTTTGCTATAATATATAATATAATAGCGAATTATTTTTATTATAATTTTCTCTTTTGTAATTATATAGTCTTGCTATAATTTTTGCCGCTTATTATGCTATATATTTCTGATTTCATCTGCTTTTGATTCCATATTTGCTATTTAAAAAAAATTCAATTTTTAAGAAGAACTCAATAACATATCATCAAACCATTACACCAAGTATCAAACCATTACACTGATCCATCCGTTCAAGTAACACTTATTATATCTACATAACATAAGTCTCCATCCAATAGGTAAACTAATATCCTTATTTCTATAGACTACTTTTGTAATTGGAGAACTTGGAAACGATTGATGAGATCATGCAAAATCCTTACTTCATTTTCTAGATACTGGACTCGATTCCTTAAGGAATTTAGCTCCGCTTCATAGGTTATTGTTGTTGTCTCTTTCTTTCTCATAGGTTTTCCCCAAATACGGCTGTACTTTCTCTTAGGTTTTCCCCAAATACTGCTGCTATTTTCTTCTTCTATTTCACTGTCCTCAACAACTTCTGTATTCTCTGTTAGAACATGAAACAAAAAAAGAAAGATTCAGGCTTCTCGACTACAAACTTATTAAGTCACTTTATTAGCAAACAAATCTCTTTACTCACCTAAAAACGCAACTTGCGACTCAGACTTATCTTTAACCTGAGAAGAAACTAATTCCATATCCTTTATACCTTTACTTTCTTCAGGAAAAGAAAACTCAAAACCATCACTTGTATCCAGCATAGGCGATTCATAGACATAACTCGAAAACCACTTGCTTAGATCAGGAACTTCTGAGAGTTCTGAAAACAGAAGTGAAGAACCACATAAGTGAAATCAATGGAGGTAAAACAAAAACATATACAGATCTTTGCAACTAGCCAAGCAAATTCAGAAAACAAATTCCAAGAAAATGAGTTACCTTCACTATCATCCATCTTTTAATTCTCTATATTCGCTCCTCCTTCACCTCAAAATCTTTTGTATAATCCTACGAATAATCAAATGCAAAACCTGTAATTTACTAATTAGTATGCAAGAAGCAAAACCAAGAATCCCTCACAACCACAAAAACAGAACATGTCTACTAAGTAAGACTACGTGGAGAATATGAGTTGATAATTGTACATAGAGACCAATCTCAAACTCGTAACCATGCTAATCAAAATTGAGTTCCTTAAACAAAAATTAGAATCATAACACAATCCAAAGCAAAAGAAGATCAAAAGAAACCAAAGAAGGAAACATCTTTAAACGCTTATCGAGTGATATCAATCAAGCAAAAAGTAAAAAGAAGAAGAGAAGAAAGAACGAAACTAACCTAGAGGATTAGAAAGCTTGAAGGAGTTCTTGGCCATGGCAATTTGCTTAGTATCTGCGATGATTAAGAAAAAATTCAAAACTTTATCTGTTAGGCTAAATCGAAATAAAAACCTAGAACACAAAAACTTTTCTGGTTTCTCTCTTTTCAATAGTGGGTTTTTACAAGCTTCTCAATGCCATAAGAAACCAAATCACATCAAGAGGAAGACAAATAAAAAACAAACCCAAAGTCTTCAAGTAATACCTACAAAAATTAACCAAGTAAGCACCAAAACAACATATAGGAACGAAAAAAAATCTTTTTCTGCAATTAGGTTTATGAATCATAGTGATTTGAGATAGACCACAACCTTGGAGAAGAGAGAAACGAAACCAGAGAAAGAGATGTTGAGTCGTTTCTTAGTTTTTGTCTCACAGTCAATTCGTCGAACACCTTGTGTGCACAAAAACTAACCTTAGATATGCAGATTCATAGAAAAAGAGAGACAAACCCAACAAACACGGATTAGAAACTGCAGATTCAAAGGAAAAAGAGAGACAAAACCAACAAACACGGATTAGAAGCTGCAGACTCAATGGAAAAAAAGAGACAAAACCAACAAACCTTCTCCGACTAAAAAAATCTTCGTGAGACTATGAGTGAAAGAAGAGAGAAAGTGAGAAGAACAATGAAGAATTTGAGATGTAAGAAGCGGAATTAGAAATGGACAAAGGAAGAGATTTAGGGTTCGTAGGTGGAGATGAAGGGTTCAATTTGGGGGATTTTTTTTTTCTTAAGATGTGTTTAATATTTTGTTGTAAGGAGAAAATAACTTTTTTTTGGCTTAGGTGATAGACTGTGCCGCTTAAAATTTTCGGATCTCAGAGATATAGCGCTTAAGTAAAATTTTTCTCTTAACTATTGGCGGAATAGGTGATTTTAGCTTCCCGCTTAGTGATTTTCTATCTTAGCGTTGTTTTAGTGCTATTATATAGCAATAAAAATAAAATTTTATCTTTAATAGCATTTGCGAAAACTGCGCTATGTTTTTCTGCTATCAATGCCCATATTTCTTGTAGTGTTAATAATATAACATATACTATATAATCTAATGATGGTGATATGTAGATGGGATTATTTTCAAACGGGAGACCAAATAGTGAAGGAGATGAATAGAATGGAAGCTTTCAAGATTGCTTTGACAACTTGGGCTAAGTGGATTGATCGTAACATTGATCCTTCAAAAACTAGGGTTTTCTATCAAGGCGTTTCTCCCGTTCACTTCATGTTAAATCTCTCTTTCTCTACTCTTTCTTTAGTAATTATAATAAACTAATTAATTCATTAACAAGACGTAACCGTGTTATTTGAAGTGGTGGTGAATGGGGTAAACCGGGGAAGACTTGCTTGGGTGAGACGGTACCAGTGGAAGGACCAAGTTACTCCGGACGACCTAATGAAGGTGAAGCTATAGTGCGAAGTGTGATCGGAGGGATGGCTAAACCGGTGGAGCTCCTTGATGTGACGGATATGACGGAGATGAGGAAGGACGGTCACCCTTCAATCTATGCCGGTGGAGGCAATCGCTTAAATGACTGCAGCCATTGGTGCCTCCCTGGAGTCCCAGACGCATGGAACCAGCTCCTTTATACGGCTCTTCTCGGCCACTAGTTTTGCTTGGAGTCAAGTTAAAATTATAGAATTACGGCCCCAGATGTTTTGGTACCAAAAAAAGTTTGAATTTATAATTTAAGATAATTAAGCAACTTTTCCCATAGATAATTTTTATGTTTCTAGTTTCAGTCTTGCTTTATTCCCTTTTTTATGTGCGTTTTGGATAAAACGTTTTCTTGCTTGTGTGTTTATAGCTGCATTCTAGGTTACTAATATCCGGACCTAGACCCACTAAAATCCTAAGAAATATAACATTATCTTTAGTTAAAACCTTACTTGTAATGTAAGTTATTGAACTAAAATCTTATAGAACGATAGAAAAAAAATCAAAATAACAAGAATTTGCTTTTTTTTCTACCAAAATAGTTACATAATAATTAGATTAAAGAAAAAGCCATAACAATTTTGTAATAGAAAAAGGTTTTAGATGTAGAGTCCAAGTAGAAAAAGGTTATTATAGGTCAAATAGTTTCAGACTTTCAGGTTTCGAACTCTGTTATATAAATGTATAGCCCTATCTTTTGTTTAACACTCTAACAAGATTCAGACGTATATATCTTTTTTCTAAGGGTCTCCTTTTACACTTTTCTTTTCTATTAGAAACACGCACGTTCTCTGGGAATTGACTAGAGTATCGAATTCTTGCAGTTTTGGAATTAAGAGTACGTTTTTGGTTTTCTATTATGCGTGCATATGTGTCGTCCTGTGTACTAGACGTCGATACTTAGCTTCGCATATGGGTCTTGTGATCTCTTTTTTGAAGTTGAATGTATCTACGGCTTAATCTCTTGCCTTTTCGTAATTCTGAGAAACAAGAACTTGTTAGCGATTTTTTTTTGTTTTTGTAATTGTTGTTAGTTAATTGCGTTTTGTTTCAGAGTTTTAACAGATTAACCAATTCACTAGAAGATGGTAGGAGGATTTAGAGTGATTCATCTTGTGAGACCATTCCTTGCATTCTTACCAGAAGTCCAATCTCCAGAAAGAAAGATTCCGTTTAGAGAGAAAGTCATATACACTGTGATCACTCTCTTCATCTTCTTGGTTTGTAGCCAATTGCCACTTTATGGAATCCATTCCACTACAGGCGCGGATCCATTCTATTGGATGCACGTCATTCTGGCTTCAAGCCGAGGTACGGTTATGGAGCTTGGTATTACACCAATCGTCACTTCCGGAATGGTGATTCAGCTTCTTGCTGGTTCTAAGATCATTGAAATCGACAACAATGTCCGTGAAGACCGTGCACTTTTGTAAGTGTGTATACACCTTATGTTTCATATCAAAGTCTTTAAAGATTCAGAGACCAATATGGTTATGTTTCTGGGTTATAGGAATGGTGCACAGAAGCTGTTGGGAATCATCATCGCTGTTGGCCAAGCAGTTGCATATGTTCTCTCTGGAATGTATGGTAGTGTTGGGGAACTAGGAGTTGGGAATGCTGTTCTTATCATTGTTCAGCTCTGTTTTGCTGCCATCATCGTTCTTTGTTTGGATGAGCTTCTTCAGAAAGGTTATGGCCTCGGTTCTGGAATTTCCCTTTTCATTGCTACTAATATCTGGTGAGTTTAAGTACTTCAACGTTTAGCTTTCTTGGTTAAATCGTTATGCGCATTTCGATGTTAATGGAGTTTCTTTTCAGTGAGAGCATTATATGGAAAGCATTCAGTCCTACAACCATCAACAGCGGGCATGGAGCTCAATTTGAAGGAGCTTGTATTGCTCTTTTCCACCTTCTCATCACTCGAACAGATAAAGTCCGCGCACTTCGTGAAGCGTTTTTCAGGCAGAGCCTTCCCAATGTGACGAATCTGCTTGCCACAGTCTTGATCTTTCTGATAGTGATCTACTTTCAAGGCTTTCGAGTAGTTTTACCGGTGAGATCAAAGAATACTCGTGGACAGCAAGGCTCTTATCCTATCAAATTGTTCTACACCTCGAACATGCCTATCATCTTGCAGTCAGCTCTTGTCTCCAATATCTACTTCATCTCTCAGGTATCAATCTCTACAAAATCTTTAATCTGAACTAAATACTGAAGCTCTTTTACTTAAAACGTTGTGAATCTGTTTCTATAGATATTATACAGAAAGTTTGGTGGGAACTTTTTGGTGAACTTAATTGGTACGTGGAAGGAGTCAGAATACAGCGGGCAATCTATCCCTGTTGGTGGTATTGCGTACTACATAACCGCCCCGTCAAGGTAAATTAGTTCTTTGGTTCGTTTCTTGATCTGTTGTCTACCTTTTGGTTAACTTCATCCACATTTTCTTGTGTTTCTACTTTGCAGCTTAGCTGAGATGGCAACTCATCCTTTCCATGGTCTGTTCTACCTAGTGTTCATGTTAGGCGCATGTGCGTTGTTCTCTAAAACCTGGATTGAAGTCTCCGGTTCATCAGCCAAAGATGTCGCCAAACAACTAAGAGTATGTTTGTTTGTTGATCAACCTTGTTCTAAGCAAAGTTGCTGATCCAATTCTTATCTTTGGGTCTTTTGCATGACTATAACTCTTAAATTTGAGTTGATTTTTTCAGGAACAGCAAATGGTAATGCCTGGTCACCGAGACTCAAACCTTCAAAAGGAACTGAACCGATATATTCCCACGGCTGCAGCTTTAGGCGGTCTGTGCATTGGTGCACTCACTGTCTTGGCTGATTTAATGGGAGCTATTGGGTCAGGAACTGGAATCCTTCTTGCAGTTACAATCATATATCAATATTTTGAAACCGTCGAAAAAGAAAAAGCAAGCGAGCTAGGTTTCTTCGGTTTGTAAAAGCTCATTAGAACATAGAAGTAGTCAATCACCATTCATGCATGTATATCTTAAAATCTCCTAAGCTAATAGAGATAGACTCTTAATTGGCCAGGAGTTTATAGGTTAGATTTTACCTAACCATCTAAGCTGTATTGGTAAAGAGTTTCTAGAAACTATACTCCTTGAGTCTTACACGAATCTTATTCCATTTTTGGTTCAATTGAAGCATCTTACTTTTATTTATCCTTTTTGTAATCGATTATTATTCTAGTCAACGTCTGAAATATAATTGAGCAAAAACATGTTTGAAGAAAAATAAGTGATATTACAAATTTAGGCCAAATATTGTTACCCACGCCGCAAGAGAAAAGATGGAAGCATTAACGTTCACTCTTGAGTCTTGAGTCTTGACAAAGTAACAAACTTATGACAAAGAACGAAGAAGAAAACATAGAGTTCACATTACTAAAGTACTCAAAGACAAACCTTTGTATGTTCATCGTTGACAACTATGGAGATCAGCGAACAACAACTTGGCATGCGCTAGAGAGTCTTGGAATGCTAAGGAGTTCTTTGAAGATGACAGATTCTTCTTTCTTTCTGTATTTTGCCACGCTCAGAGTCAGTTTCTTGAGGATTGTTGAGTTCTCAAGGAGGTACCTCCTCACTAGTTTCATCTCCATCTCCTCCCCTTCCAATGGCCTTTCTATCTCAACATACTCGAGAGATGATAGGTAACACCGAGGTCCGGGAAAAGTATTAATTCTCCCCTTGTCCAGATAATGTCTAAATCCCTGCAAGTACAACACAGCCGAGTGGAAGAAACACAAGTTCAATATATGATACTTTCACCATTTGCATTTTAACAAAGGAGGAGGTTAATGGTTCAATTAAAAATCCTAACCAAGACAAGAGATTTCAGATTTGGGCAACTCTCAAGAAAGATTGGCAACATTTCAAAACTGTCGTGGGTGGAATTCACACGCAAGGAAGATAGGTTACGGAATAAGGGCAGTGGTTCACATCTTGAGTAGTCATAGATGACCTGTAAGAAGAAAAAGAAAAGGAATCAGGAAAAACTTAGAAGATAAAGTTTAAGCATTCAAACAGCAAGTTCAACACAGGTTACCTCAAGAGTAGTGGATGAGATGATCATATCTTTGACGAGATAGATGCTACGAAAAAAATTACGAATCATATTTCTCTTTGGTAGATCACCTGAATCAAAATTCCTTCCGTAATACAAGCTAAACACAATATTGATATCCACCTCAACAAGGGAACCGGGATTTTTGATTATGAAACTTGCAGTTCGATAATCACATAGCCTCAGATACTTAAGGCTGGGAGCATCAATTACAAGCGATAGATCTTCCACCAAATCCTTGTCACTGTCCGGAGAATGAGTGAATCTCAACAGAGACTGAGAACACACTCGTAAAACTTGTATATTATCATAGCTATTCCTCATAATAATTAAGCTTTCAAGAGCTGTGCAGCCTGAGATGAGCTTTTCTATAGCCAAATCGTCGGGGAATATAACATAACTTAGCTCCAGAACTCTGAGAGAAGGTAAAGAAACAAACTCGGGACTGGACATGGTTACGCCACAGAGATTTAAGGATACCAAGCTCTCACAAGTGTAAATGGTAGGAGGTATCTGAAACTCATCACTCTCCCATGAATCTTCGAAATACTCGAGATGTTTAACTTTCAGCTTGAGGACAGTGGTCATCCACCGCCTGATTCGAGCATTATCAGGCTCATAACTCCCTTCAACGGGGCACCTTAACCTAAAACTTTCCAAGTAGGACTCACTGTGAAAACCCAGAAATCTATCGACAAATCTAACGCATTTTTCGTAGTAGCTTCCCCAATCTAATGGTTCATAGAAATCATCACCACGCAAGTCCAATCCAGGTACGCATTTCCAGAGATTTCTCCATCTAGTAGATAAAACACTAGTCTTAACCACATCCTTAGTGCGAAGATTCAAAAGTACCTTACATAGCAATGATTCTGGCAAATCGCTTATCCTATCAACTTCGTTCGATCGCTTGACACAAACACTTTTTTCTTCAGCTTCATCCATGTCGAATCGAAAAGAGGTAGGTCAAAATGGAACGACGAGGGCTTCTCAAGAGACAAGAATGGTGGTAATAGACCGGTTCTCTAATCAATTCGGTTTATTCCGATTCGAATATCCGTCCTTGGAAACACGATTAGACTTCAAAACCGACATCGGTTTAGCATGAATTGCAATTTGTAACTTGTAAGCCAGGTGATTGGGCTTATACTGGGCTATTGGGTTATGGCCGTTAAAGCTTCTTCACGATTCCCAAATTTTCAAGAAACAAATCTGTCATTTACAAGTTTTCAGGTATAGGCTTAAATAGAGAAAGACTTTTAGCCAGGCCCAGGAGCTTAGTGTAGATTCATCTAAACCATCTCTTGTATTGGCAAGTTCTTCTACAAGCAACTAGAGTGTACGTAGATTTTAATCTTTGGGTCTTACACGAATCTTATTCCATTTTTGGTTCAATAGTAACATCTCAATTTTAAATTATTCCTTTCATGAATTCAGCAAAACCTGTCTTTGAGCAAAACATATGACCTTCTCAAGGTTCACAGGACATCAAAATCATCACAAACGAAGAAGAAGAAAGAGAGTAAAGAATTCAGATTAACCAAGTACTTAAAACAACCTTGTATGTTAATAGTCGATGACAATGAGGATCAGAGAACGACAACTTGGCATGTTTTAGATTTGGGCAACTCTCAAGAAAGATTGGCAACATTTCCCATCTGTAGCCGGTGAATTCAATACTCAAGGAAGATAGATTATGGAATAAGGGTAGTTGTTCACATCTAGAGTAACCATTGAAAGAAAAGATCATTCATAACTATACGATAAGTCGATAACATATGATTTTCTTCCAAGCTACGAAACATCACAAAAGAAGAAAGAAACATAGGTTGACAAGAAAAAAGTAGAATAAAGAAACATAGACTTGACATTAAGTCCTCAAAGACAACTTTTTTTCTGTTAATGGCCAAAGACTATGAGGATCAAAGAATGACAACTTGGCATGAGCTAGAGAGTCTTGGAATGGTAAGGAGTTTCTTGAGGAAGGCAGATTCTTCATTTCCTCTGAAATCACCCAAGCGTAGTGTTAGTTTCTTGAGGATTGTTGAGTTCTCCAGAAAGTAACTCATTAGTTTCAACTCTGTTGCCTCTTCTACCATTGGCTTTACTATGTCAACAAACTCGAGAGCCGGTAGGTTACAATGAGGTCCAGGTAAAATACTAATTGGCTCCTCCCCTGGAAATTTACTGAATTCCTGCAAGTAGGACCAAAGTGTACTAAACAAGTTGAGTATGTGATACTTTCAGTAATTGCATTAATAAGAAAGTAAGTTTATGGTTTCAGTAATCAGTCCTAACCAGAGAGAGAGATTTTAGATTCGGGCAGCTCTCCAGAAAGACTGGCAACATTTCCCACCTGTAGTCGTCGAAGTCAACATGCAAAGAAGATAGGTTACGGAATAAGGGTAATCGTTCACATCTTGAGTAGTTATAGATGACCTGCAAGAAAAACAGAAGCAGAGTATAGGAGATAAACACATTTGAGAGGTAATACAATTTCTCATATGAAAAACTTAAGCATGAACATAGAGAATTCAGCAGATGTTACCTCGAGTGTATACGAAGAGATGTCCATTTCTTTGACATTAGAGATCCCAAGGAGAAAATTACGGATCATATTTCTCTTTGGTAGATCATTCGGATCAAACCTCTTTTCAGGAGACAAGTTAAACCTAATGTCGATGGCCATCTTAACGTGGGAAGCCGGATTATTTATTATGAAACTTGCAGTTTCATGACAATCAAGCTTGAGATACTGAAGCCTAGGAGCATCAATTGCAACTACTTGTTCTTCATCCATATCGTCGTTATAGTGGCCAACAAGGGTGAAACTCAATAGAGACTGAGAACACACGCGTAAATAATCTACATTATCACAGGCACTCCTCTTTATAGTTAAGCTTTCGAGAACTGGGCAGCCTGAGATGAGCATTTCGAAAGCCCAATCGTTGGCAAACTTAACCATATCTAGATACATAACTTTGACAGAAGGTAAAGAAACGGACTTGGGATTAATGAAGATCACGTCAGAGAGCTTCAAGGATACCAAGCTCTCACATGTGTAAACTGTTTGAGGTATCTGCAGTTCATGTTCCAACCACCTCCCGTCCAGGACATGAAGATGTTTAACTTTCCGCTTAATAACTGTGTTGATCCACCGGGTGACATTAGCATTATCAAGCTCAGTCCAGTTCCATTTGTACTTCAGCCTTAAATATTGGTAGTTTAACTTGAAATTTTGCAGGCAAGATTCGCTGTTAAAACCCAGAAAGCTATCAACAAAGCTCACAAAAGCGTTGTACTCCGGGAAGTCACCATACCTTAAGTCCAAACCAGGTACACTTCTCCAGAGATTTTCCCATCTACTGGATAACACACTAGTCTTAACCACATCTTTTGTGGGAAGATTCAAGAGTACCTGACATAGCAATGAATCTGGTAATTTACTCAGCCTATCTAGATGACCCCTCCTGTCATCCGAGCGTTTGGCACGCACACGGCTCTCTGCGTCACTCTCTGCGTCTTCAGCCATGTATTGTACTCTACCTAGTAAACACCAAATCGGAAAGAAAAGAATCCTGTAAAACTATTTTCGGATGAAGAATCAACTTGGAACGATGAATCTAATATATAGAAAGAAAGAGAGAGAGTACCTGAAGAATGAGAACAGTGTGAGACAAATCGCCGTCGAATTTCCCGGCCAAAGTATCTGCTCTGTCTAATTGTGTCTCTACCCGTCTCAGTGTCACTGCAGTCAGTGGTTGATTAGCAGGCGTCCTAGAGACGAGATGTAATATTTTATGGGCCTCACATAATTGGGCTCACAATGGGCTTTTAGGTTTTGTTCGTGTAAGTACTCAATTTTTTTTTTCATTAAGATCCCCAAATTCTTTAGTCTCTGAACCTATTATTATTTAAGTCTCTGTTCTGTACTATACTGTCTCAATCAATAAAAAGA